GTATGTCTACACGATCCGGGCATTCAATATACAGCAGCAGTGGTCCGAGCCCAACCATAGTTGAAACCTGGTCCCATCCTCTTCTCTCCGTCCTCTCCCTCCCATCCTCTCCCCCTCCCATTCTCGCCCCTCCTCTCCTCTCCTCTCCTCTCTCCCCTCCTCTCCTCTCTCCCCTCCTCTCCTCTCTCCCCTCCTCTCCTCTCTCCCCTCCTCTCCTCTCTCCCCTCCTCTCCTCTCCCCTCCTCTCCTCTTCCCATCCTTTCCTCTCCCATCCTCTCCTCTCCCATCCTTTCCCATCCTCTCCCCTCCCATCCTCTCCCCTCCTCTCCTCTCCCCTCCTCTCCTCTCTCCTCCCCTCCCCTCCTCTTCCCACCCCTTCCCTCCTCTCCCTCTCCCATCCTCTCCTCTCCCCTCCCCTCACCTCTCATCCTCTCCTCTCCCTCCCATCCTCTCCTCTCCCCTCCCATCCTTTCCTCTCCCATCCTCTCCTCTCCCATCCTTTCCTCTCCTCTCCTCTCCCCTCCCCTCCTCCTCTCCTCTCCTCTCCTCTCCCTCCTCTCCTCTCCCATCCTTTCCTCTCCCATCCTCTCCTCTCCCATCCTTTCCCATCCTCTCCCCTCCCATCCTCTCCCCTCCTCTCCTCTCCCCTCCTCTCCCTTCCTCTCCTCTCCCCACCCCTTCCCTCCTCTCTCCCTCTCATCCTCTCCTCTCCCTCCCATCCTCTCCTCTCTCCTCCCATCCTTTCCTCTCCTCTCCCCTCTTCTCCTCCTCTCCCCTCCTCTCCGTTCCCCTCCTTTCCTCTCCTCTCCGCTCCCCTCCTCTCTCCCATCCTCTCCTCTCTCCTCCCATCCTCTCCCCTCCTCTCCTCTCCCCTCCCCTTCCCTCCTCTCTCCCTCCCATCCTCTCCTCTCCCCTCACCTCTCATCCTCTCCTCTCCCTCCCACCCTCTCCTCTCCTCTCTCCTCCCATCCTTTCCTCTCCTCTCCCCTCCTCTCTTCTCCTCCTCTCCCCTCCTCTCCGTTCCCCTCCTCTCCTCTCCCCTCCTCCCCCCTCCTCTCTTCTCCTCCTCTCCCCTCCTCACCATTCCCCTCCTCTCCTCTCTGCTCCCCTCCTCTCGTCTTCCCTCCCCCCCACCCCACCCTCCGATGGAAAAGACACTGCTAATTATTGCTCAGGGGTTGCTTGAATACTAATGAACCATAATAAATTACACTAATTATACAGAGGAATTAATGAACACTTTTGAATGGTGGGATCGTACATTTTTTTCGGGGGGGAGGGGGCGCAGGGAGCTCTATTTGCTTTTTAGTTTTTGTCTAACCTGCTGCATTTAAGCGTAACAGATAACGTACTTAGCGATTCTTCCACATTAAATTGTGCCACTTAATAGTACAGTACGACCCTCATTATTTGGCTAAACGTTGCTTTAGATTTCAGATAAGTTTCATTGGCTTGCCATCAGTGGAGCACATCTCATGATGAAACACCGCAATGGGGTTTTATTACCCTGTTTTGCAGTCATTAAAGCAGTGATTAATTGCTGTGAGGCTTCTTGTTTTCCTCCTGATGAATCGTAGAGTGCATGACTGTTTGTGGGACACAGCTGTGGCTGCCACATTTAGTCTACAAAATACAGTCAATCCACTTGATGTATATTCTGTGAAGCGCTTTGAGATGCCTCAACGACTTGATAAGGCGCTACATCAAATGAAAGGATTATTATTATTATTATGAGGCCGATGATGGTGGAGAGGAGGGGACGAGAGATGTGCAGAAGGCCCGGAGCCTTGACTGAATATAAGAAACGTTCACAATTCTCTGCGCCATTTGGAGTTTTTTTTTTAAAAAAAGGCTATTGCTTAAGTAATTGCTGTCGTGGTGGAAAAATCAGATTTTAAAATATATTTATGTAAGGTGTATGAAACTCTTCTAGGGCAGTGAAGCAATTTTCTGAATGGAAACAGTGAAGCTCAACAATGAGTAAATAAGTGCTGAGGGGAAAGGAAGGTAGAACATAGGTGTAGGTTTCAGTGTAAATAACCATAAGTGAAGCTGCTGCATTCTCGCTGAGACGGGTCCCTGTGCCAAAAGGGTTTCTTTAGTTAATGGAAAAAATAGCTGTGGTTTTCACTCGTTGCATATAAATCAGTGTTGTTGTGAACGGAAAACATGTGTTTGTTTTCAGGTGTGTGGTAAGGTTGACTCTGCAGATTACCAATACAGCAGCCTTGTGTTCTCAGTTTCATTACCTCCACAACTTTTAGTCAGAGAGGTGAGTTTTTTCTGGGATTTCCCCCACCCCTTTCTCCTCTCTCTCTCTCTCCCTCGCTTCCCTGTCTCCCCCTCCACCCGCCTCATTACTTATTGTGCCGAATGTGTGATTTATTTTTGTTTTATCTTTTTCTTAATTTTTAAAAAAATGTGGCATGAAAGTGTACATGGCTTCTTAACGAGTGATAAGGTGCAGGTTGCTCTTTGCTGCTATGTTACATATATCTATAATATTTGAGGGAATGTGCTGTTTGCTAAAATTGCTTTGCTTTGCTATTGTCCTATATCCCTCTATTATATATATATATATGTATATATATATATGTATATATATATCCTATATATGGTTACTCAATCCACAACTGTTTTGGGGACACTGCCATGCGCAATTGACTGCCGCATTTCGCCCACAAAACACACAGTCACTCCACTTTGCAGTATATTCTGTGAAGCGCTTTGAGACGTCTCAACGACGTGATAAGGCACCATATCGAATGCAAGGATTATTATTATTATTATTGTGCCTCAGCAAGCGTGACTTGCCATGTCTGCCTGTTCAGGTGGAAAGGAGAAGGGAGTTTCTTCCGGTTTCCTGGTCAACAATGCCCCAGTTTTTTTTGTAAATGAGCATTCACTTCATGGCTGTTTTGCGAGATGTTGCTGAGTGCAAATCGGCTGCTGCATTCGCCTGCAAGTAGGCAGTCACTTTACAATAAAACTCTGACTCACTTTGAGAATTTTCGAAATGCAAAGGCACTATTTCAGACCCAAGGATTATTATTATCATTTAACATTGCAGCTAATCGTGCGTCATGTAACTTGTTTCGATTGGCTTTTGAAGGCGAGGAGGGTCCTCTTTGCTTAGGAACGGAATCATTTTTGTACCCGGTGTCAGTGTCCTGGGCACGATACCCTAGGTGAGGGGCGCTATATAAATGCAAGTTGTTGTTGTGTCCATTTCAGTATGGGCCCAGATACGCAGCAAAAAAAAAAATGCCTTCAGGAACTTAGCATTAATTGCAAATTTGGTTACCTGGTGTGAAATTTCCGTTTATGTGCCAGCTACGAGCTCTGAATGAAACTGACTGATGATGCGGGTGCCAAATGATAAATAGTTTTGTGTCACTGGTTCATGGCTGAGGGGGAGGAGAGAGAGGGAAGGAGAGAGGTGGTGGTGGTTGAAGTAGGGGGGGTTGGGGGAAGAAACAATAGTATTCAATGTGCCATTCTTCACTGTCAACTTTGCATATTCCTTCAAAAATAATTGGTCACTCGATCCACGACTGTTTGTTATATTCAGTGAAGCTCTTTGAGACGTCTCAAAGACATGATAAAGCACGATATCAAATGCAAGCATTATTATTATTATTTTATTCGCAGTGGCAACGACACAGACTGTTTGACAGAAAACTGCGGCCGTCATTTATGTTAATGAAACAACCTGCGACTTGTACATGGGAAACGTGACATGTGGGGTGGGAGGGCGGCTTTAGATGTTACATTGTGTTCTGATGGACCGTTCACTGTGAAGTTAAAAGCATAGTTGTGCATTATGAAGCCACCAAGTGGAGTCCATTTCTGTACATTACCAGTATCGATGGGGTCTAGTTGACCCGGGGCTCCGTGAATCTCTTCACCCTTTTAAGCAGGTTTTCTTATAAGGCAATCTCATGGATGACGACTTCTGTGACTAGATAGTGCCTTTCACAGGATTTACTCAGAATTGTAGTGGCTTATGTTTGTAGGTGAATTGTCCAGCACCCTGGGGGACGTCTTTCTGATGTGAAGGACGCTATACAAGTGTAATTTGTTTGTTGTTGTGGTTGTTGTGAATCCAGCAGCCCATTTTCACACACCAATGGTCCCACAAACAGCCACGAAGCAAGTGCCCCACTTTACCCGGGGGATTGAGGAGTTCCTGTGTGTCAGCTCAGGATGGTGCCCTTCAGGGTTACTCTGCGGAGGGAGTTCCCTGATTTGTGCGATTCAGATTACTTAATTGAGGAGTTGTGTTAAGCAATGCCTCGCTATGTCCGTAATCATTTAATTAGTCAACAAATATCAGCAGCAAATATCCTCATCGGGATGTCTGACACTCACCTATAAAAATAGCCTCTTTGTATTCAGGCCTATTGGCTAATTTGTTTTGCAGTCAATTGTATCTTTTAATCTGATTTCGCTGACAGTGCATCACAATTGAATAACTTGCAGCAACTCAGTAATATTCTCATTAAGCCTGAACACGGTTTCCTTCTCTGTAACCTAAGAGCTCAAGTCCTTTTTGACCCAACCACCAATTGCCATCTCTTAATCGTTCTGCTTTGCTCTTGCTGTGTGGCTTGACGTATTGTGACAGAATTTTACTCAGGTTCTGGATTGATCAAACTCCACTTCTGCTGAGCTGTGTTTTGACCTGAGCGATAGGTGGTCAATACTTTTCGAGCCTCTTTGAACACACTTAAAAGCCCCATTCAACTGAAGGTCAAACCTGTGCTAAATTCTGAACCTGTGCTCCCGACTGTCAAAGTGTCAGCCTGGCTCAGTTGGTAGCATTCTTGACTCTGAGTCTGAAGGTTGTGAGTTTAAGCCCCACATCGGGACTTTGAAGTCAGAATCTAGGCTGACACTCCAATGCTGGGCTGGGGGTATCCTGCATTGTCGGAGGTCCCATCTTTCGGTTGAGATGTTAAACCGAGTTCAAGTCTGCCTGTTCAGACGGACGTTAAAGATCACATGGCACTACTAGAAAAGAGACTGGAGTTTCTCCGGATGTCCCTGTCAACAACAACAAGATTCCATTTATAGAGCGCCTTTCACGTCGGGAGGACGACCCAAAGCGCTGTACAGTTGGGTCAGGACCCGAGCAGGGGTGAAATGGTCAGGGTGAGGGGAGGGAAGGGAGGGAGCAAGGAGGGGGGAAATGGTCAGGGTGAGGGGAGGGAAGGGAGGGAGCGAGGAGGGGGTAGAGAGTCGAGAGGGGAGCTGAAGGCACGGTCAAAGAGAAAGGACTTGAGACCGGCCTTGAAGGAGGAAAGGGAGGAAGCGGCGAAGGCACTGGGGGATGGAGTTCCAGAGCCGAGGGGCTGAGAGGCTGAAGGCCCCGGCCACCGATGGTAGGGCGGTTGGGGCGGGGGATGTGGAGCAGACCGGAGCCAGAGGAACGGAGGGTACGGGCAGGTAGGTAGGGGGATAGTAGGTCGGAGAGGTAGGAGGGAGCAAGGCCGTGAATGGCCTTGTAGGTGAGGATGAGGATCTTGAATTCGATCCTCTGGGGGATGGGGAGCCAGTGGAGGCGAGCGAGGGTGGGAGTGATGTGGTCCCGAAGCCTGGTGCGGGACAGTACACGAGCTGCAGAGTTCTGAATGACCTGCAGCTTGTGGAGGGAGGTGCCGGGAAGGCCGGCGAGGAGAGAGTTCCCATAGTCCAGCCTTGAGGTGATAAAGGCGTGGACCAGAGTTTCAGCAGCGTGAGGGGTGAGGTAGTGCCGTAGTCTGGCGACATTCCGGAGGTGATGGAAGGCGGTGCCAGTTGTGGCGCGGATATGGGGGAGAAAGGACAGCTCAGGGTCGAGACCCCGAGGTTCCTGATGGCTTTGAGAGGTGGAGAGTGCAGCCTTGGATGCTGATGGTGTCAGCGCCTGAGGTGCGGAGGCGCTGACGTGAGCCAATCAGGAGGGCCTCGGTTTTTCGCACGTTGAGCTGAAGAAAGTTGTCTCTCGTCCAGGACTCGATGTCGGACAGGCAGCTGTCAGGACATCGGTGGTCGTGGAGTTGAGGGTAGAGGAGGAAAGGTAGAGTTGGGTGTCATCCGCATACATGTGGAAGTTAACCCCATGTCTGCGGATGATGTCACCGAGGGGGAGCATATAGAGGGTGAAGAGGAGGGGACCGAGGACAGAGCCCTGAGGGACACCGCACGAGACAGTGCGGGGGCGGAGGAAAAGACGTTTGTGGAAACAAAATGAAGACGGTGGGAGAGGTACGACCTAAACCACTCAAGGACAGGGCCTTGAAGGTTGAGGTGGGAGGACAAGCGGTGGAGGAGGATAGCGTGGTCGACCGTATCGAATGCTGCCGATAGGTCGAGGAGGCAGAGGGAGCCCTGGTCGCAGATGGTCAAGATGTCATTGGTGACCTTGACCAGGGCAGTTTCTGTGCTATGGGCAGCACGGAAACCCGACTGAAGGGGTTCGACTAATGAATGGGTGGAGAGGAAAGAGCGCAGCTGGGAGGCGACAACTCTTTCAAGGCAATCCCACAGATAAAATTAGTCACTTGCTTTGTGGCTGTTTGTGAGGCACTTGTGTGTGCAAATGGGCTGCTGCGTTCACCTACAATTACAAGCCACTACACTTCACAGTAAATCCTGTGAAGCGCTTTGAGATGGCCTCCCGACATGAAAGGCGCTATACCAAATGTAAGGATTATTATTATTATACTAAATTTAAGGATTATTAACTGGATATGACACCTACACTTCATGCCAAAAGCCACTTGGTGGCACTGAGGGCAGATATTGATTGGGTTGCTCACCCCCGGTCCAAGTCCCGTTACTTTCTAACTCCTATGCGCCAAAGAAGTGCAAACGTGCCCCAAATCTCTACCAAGGAACTTAGCTCGTTCCTACGTTGGGGAAAAAAAAAGCTGGCCGTTTATGTGAAATCTTTTTTTTGTCTGGTTTGTTCTTGCTTGCGTTCCAGCTTCACGTTTGCCTTTCTAGGTTTCCTTAAAAAAAAAATTGTTTGGGATATTTTGTTCGGTTGTTGTGGTTACGATGCACAGAGCAAGTTGAATCTTATTGAAAGTGCGTCTGCGCTGTGGGATTCTGCAACTTCAGTATAGTACTGTAATCCGCCAGGAGAGGACAGCATTTCCCCCCTTTTGAATCTCAAAAGGTTTGGGCTCCTGTTGTGGTTGGTTTAAACTAAATTTCGGACATTTTAGAATTGCATAATTCTCGCTTGTTCCTAAATAATAATAGTCCTTGCATTTGATATTAGCGCCTTATCACGACTTCTAGACGTCTCAAAGCACTTCACAGAATATACACATACATAAACAGTGGTGGATTGAAGTGATCAATTTTTTTTTTTTTGATTGAATTATTACTGCTGGAAAAGCGTCCGCCAATTGACTAAGAAATGGGTTCCTACTTACTGCTGGGTAAACATTCACCCTGCCAGGAATTGAACCCAGGTTTCTCGCTTGTGAGGCGATTGCTCTCTAACCACTGAGCTACAGGACTCCACTAATAACAACAATTTGCACTTGTACAGTGCCTTTCACATAGGAGAGCATCTCAGAGGGCTTTACAGAGACCGGATGCGAGATGGGTTGGGTGGGGGGTGGGGGGGGGTTGGAGTTGTTGGAGAGTAGATGGGGTTATAGAGGGGTTTTGAAAGTGGGCGGGTGGGGGGGGAATTGTTAGTTTGGTTGCGAAGTGGAGGGATTTAAGGGAGAGGTCCAGAGAGAGGGAGCAAAGTGGCTGAAAGCTCATCTGCCGATGGTGGGCAAATGAAGCAGGCCTGAGACGGTGGAGCATTTAATCTGCTCCATTACCTCTGTGGGGTGGAAGGGGGATTATATGCTAATGTGACAGCCTTTCAGTGTTGAGTGTTTTCATATTTCTTTCTCTAAAAGGATATAATAATAGCCCTGCGTGAAGACCCCAATATAAATGCAAGTAGTGGTTGCCATTGCAACACCAGTCTGGGTTCTCCTCCGTAAGAAGCAATAACTTTTCAACAGTTGAGAAAACTTGCACAAAATAGGTCGAATACAATAGTAGTTTGCATCAAGGGAACACATTGATTTCTGACAGTGTTGCTGTAAATCTGAGGCAAAATGGGTAGCCCAATGGGTTACACTTGTAGGGCCTTGGGTATTTGTATGTAGAGGTAAATTCGCCCCTTGACAGCTGTCAGAGCTTAATGGAATGAGTCTTTGAGGTCTTCTCAACCCACTTCCCAGGCGATCTCAGTATGTCCTGAGCAGCACTTTGAGACATCCTACTGATGGAAACGGCACCGAACCAAATGTGGAGAAAGGTGGTGGAGGCAAGGACACTGGACACGTTTAAAAGGCAGCTTGATTCTTCTTCAGGAAGTGATGGGGGGCAATCGGGAGGGCATGTGTTCTGGAGGGACGAGATCGGATGGGCCGAAGGGCCTTGTTCATCCATCTTGGAGATCTTGTGTAGTGTCTTGGTGCATTAACGCACTGTTTCTTATATCCTGGACGTGGACTTAAATGCAGATGAGATGTGATTCTCTATCTGCAAAGCTTCAGGTTTCTGCTGTACCTGACCTGGGAATGCTTGATACAAGGTGTAGTTTTTACCAGTAACTATTCGATCAGTTCTATGAAGAAATCTCAATTCAGAGGGTCGCGTTAGATCTCTATAACAAAGTGTCATTTATTCAATGAATCCATCCTACAAAGTGTATCTGTAAACAAGTCCCAACACTAATACAATCCCAATAAAATAAACACAATATGGGCTATAGCCAAAGATCAAAATAAAGTGAAGTATTTGAAGATTCCTACGATGTATGGCAGAGTGCAGTTTCTGCAGGTTGGCATGATTGGCATGTGAAGGGGAATTAACAGAGAGCTAAACACAGCCTTGTTCATCCAGACGGATCTCTTGATCTTGTAAAGATTTCTATTATTATTATTTTCGCTCATAAAATACACAGTCAATTCACTTTACAGTATATTGTGTGAAGGGCTTTGAGACGTCTTGAACACGTGATGAGGTAACAGCACCTCTTTTAAGGCTTGTCTCAAGACATTCCTTTCTATCTGCGCCTTTGGTCATCTTTTCCCTCGCTCTCTCCACCCGGTTCAAGTGCCTTGAGAAGGCCTCCTGACATGAAAGGTGCTGTGTGTATATACATGTATATATGTATATATATATATGCAGTAAATGAAAATTAGTATTGTATTATATTGTAGTGTCTAAAGTTTATTTGTGTGTGTGGGAGCGGGGGGCGGGGGTGGAGGTGGGGGAGGAGGGAGAAAGAAAATTGACGATTTATGAAGTATAGGCGTAAAAAGCTTGCTTACACTAGTAGGAATTTCTGAAATATCCCTGCTTAACTGGTTGTAGCAAGTCATCTGCTGTAAGCAATTATGTGTTTGCATTTTATTGCATGGTTAGAGTGTGGGCTCGGTCCAACGGGAGGTTTGAGGCTGTCTGGTGATGCACTTATACATACCAAGCACAGGAAATGCCACTTGATCTGCCTGATTGTTTACACTTGTTTTTTTCTCTTTTATCTTGGGGTGTGGTCACCTGCTCAATAGCATGCCACGTGGTTGCTGGTAAAACAGGAAGCGGGGTAAGTATTTTATTGCAGGGAAATTATCTACTTGTTTTGCAATAACTGCTTTAAAACTGTGTGCATTTTTCTGTTTTTTTTTACACACACACTCCCTGTCCCATCACCCCTACCAACACTTTCTCCTCCGAATGTTAAGGTAACAGTTCAGGCGCATTATTCGAAACACCCGAAATGTAGTTCCATCAATCCACAATTATTTGTGGGGCACAGTCAATCCACTCTACAATATATTCTGTGAAGCGCTTTGAGACGTCTCAACGATGTGATGATACGCTATATCAAATACAAGGTTTATTATTATTATAATTTGCAAATTAAGTGCCTTTTGGATCGCCTGTTTTGCACGTATATTTTTTCATTACAACGAAGCAGAACGAAGCAAGCTTTTGAACTAATTGTTTGGCAAAAGAGTGGGATTTACCGTATTTTTTAAAAAAAAGAGTTTGTCACCGCATTGAGAGGAGAGCACAGCTCTCGATGGCAGGATTTTAGTGTCTTGACACATACGGACACCCATCACCATGCTTAAGAGTATCCAAACTAAACTGAGATTTCCACATATGTAGGCTACCACACGTGGAAATTTCCCCGTGACCGGAATGGAATACGCACTCTCTCCCTGGAGGGGCACACTCTGCTTACCTAATGAGGTGCAGTTTGGAGAGAGCCAAGGCTTGAGGAACCCAGTGTGTGCATTGGGGGTTAACTGCTGGAGTCTAACCAGCGAAAACTGCATAGCCTGCCATTGTGAGCACTGTCTGGCAAGCTTCCCGCCACCTCTTGTCGAGCTTGGACAACCCTTACCATGAGGACTTTGGTTTGCAGAGTTAACAGGAGCTGGAGTGGGAAAAAATCCTTACAACCCCTCTCCCCCTCCCACAACCCCCGTGACAGATGCCGGTAGTTGAGTGGAATTGTTATAAGTAGACCCCCTCGAACAGCAGAAGCAATATCTTCTCAGGAACAGATTTATCTGCATGTGTAATTAAGAAACAAGGAGCACGTCAGTGGGGAGGGGCAGCTCTCAGACACGATAGGGAAGGTGGGGGGGTGGGTGCGGTGAAAGAGGATGATGCAGTGCAAGGAACGGTCAACAGGGACACCTGCTCTTGCTGTTAGTTGAAGCACAAACTCCCTTTTCTCCCGCCACCCACCCTAATGACATAAGGTATTGCAAGGATTTTTATAAAATCATTAAACATTCATATATATATAAATAAAAAAATATATATATACACATCCCAATACAACTCATTTTGTGGTCTAGAACTCTACTTTTTTCTGCCTCAAACCCTCTTGAGTTTTCTGATCACTTAGCCTGAATTTACAGCTGTCAATCGGACTGATTAATGCACCCACCTTCACCCGAGCCAGAGTAGTGGAGCCCCTGGCTTATGTAAAGTGAAGAGAGAGAAGGGAAAAAAGGAACCATCACCCACACGTAATATGCTCTAGGCTGCTTTGGATGCTTTTGGGTTTCATGCCAATATGGAACAAAAGAAATCTGAATAGTACTTTGAGAACTAACAAAGTTACAATTCCCACCAGAGGGAAGAGGCTCGTTCACACTTACCTAAACCTGTTTTAATCTCTGGAACATCTTTTTCAAAGTTATCCGGTACATTTTGCTGCCCTTTTCTGAACTGTTTCTACGTCTGTACATTGTGGTGGCCAGAAATGCGCCCAGTACTTCACATGTGTGCAAAACGCCAAATACTGCAGATGCGGGAAATCTGAAACAAAAACCGAAGTCGCTGGGAACACTCAGCGAGTCAGGCAGCATCTATGGAAAAAGAAAAGTGAGTCAACGTTTCAGGGTTGTGGACCTGATCAGTTCCATTTGTTTCCAAGTATTGAGGTTGGGTTAACGGCCCTGCAGATGTCTGGTATGGCTCTGTCACTTTTCTTGAGTATAGAATCTATGTTTTCTTGCAAGTAGGAACCCAGTCGTTAGTCGATTGGCGGTTCACTTCTCTGGGGATAATAACTCCTTCAAAAAATGATAATAATAATAAATTGATCCATCAATCCACGACCGCTGTGCTCAGTTGGCTGCTGTGTTTTCCCCACGAAATATACGGTCAATTCACTTTACAGTATATTCTGTGAAGCGCTTTGAGACGTCTCGAAAACGTGATAAGGTGCTATATCGAATGCAAGGATTATCATTATTATTACCAGCTTGTCCAAACCTCTCCGGTCTTGAACGACTCCCTCAAACTGCCTTTTCGTTCTTTTATTTTAAAAAAAATCTCCTCACTTGCCTCACTGAGTATCCTGGGGTACAGTTCACCTATCCCAGGAGGTTTGTTATTCTCTCAGCCCCTCTAGGGCCTAAGATGTTGCTCGTTTATGAGCAGTTCTTCCTCTTGTGGCTATTTGGGAACGTAGGCTGTGGGTACGGTCTCCCGACCTAAAGTGTCAACGGTAGGAATCAAGAAGTGTATGTTAGTGAAATAATGTTCTGTAGTTAGTAGGGAAAACAAAGGGCTGTAACTTATAATGGGGGAAATCCGTCCAGAGGCACACAGTGAGTTGGTTAGAAGTAAACAATGTGTTGGTTAGACTTTGTGTACTGGTACTTAGATTGAAGATATGTCCTCTTGTGTGTGTGTGTGTGTGTGTATAATATATATATATATAAAGACTCCAGTGCAGAGACCAATGAAGATCAAAAACCTACCCAAACAGACAGGAATATATCAGACAGGGACTGACTATCATCTGTAGATTTTCTCCTAATGGGGTTCTCCGCGTATGCAGTAAAGGGATCCTGTAATTTATTGTTGTCTTGTTTTAATTTCCTCCAAATTGGATTAGATGTTGGACCGAAATCCCGTCTGCCTATTTGGGTAGACTTTGAAGATCCCGTGGCTGGCGCTGTTTTAAGGAGGGTGGGGAGAGAGGAGAGGTATTTTTATGTCTCATTAAAAGATTGTATCAGTAACATGAGGGAAGTGAAAGAGGCTATATAAATGCAATTTGTTGTTTATTATTGGGATGGACACCTGTCGAAATGGGGATTGACGATAAGGCAAAAGAGTGATGCAATGAAGAATATGTTAGTATCGGTAAAAGATGACAGTTTGCAGTGCAAAATGTGTGACTGGGAGCTGACTACACTGTGGTCAGAGAGTCTGTTGACCAACCTACAAAAAAAAAGCCATGAGTCATAGTTCAATATTGCTTTTTACAAACTTGAAAATAGAGAAGTAAAACTTCCACAAACTGCCCTTCCTCTTTTCAGGCTTCTTTGCATCTCTTTGCAATGACATCTTGATCATCTGCGGCCAGGGCTCCCTCTGCCTCCTCGTCCTCCTCGACCTATCGGCAGCATTCAATATGGTCGACCTCGCTATCCTCTTCCACCGCTTGTCCTCCCACCTCAACCTTCAAGGCCCTGTCCTTGAGTGGTTTAGGTCGTACCTCTCCCACCGTCTTCATTTTGTTTCCACAAACGGCTTTTCCCGTCACAGGGAGAAGCACTTTTTTATTGTAATCTGTGTTTTCAGTACCTCCTTCCATCACCTCCGAAACATCGCCAGACTACGGCACTACCTGCCCGTACCCTCCGTTCCTCTGGCTCCGGTCTGCTCCACATCCCCCGCCCCAAACGCCCTACCATCGGTGGTCGGCCTTCAGCCTCTCAGCCCCGAGGCTCTGGAACTCCAACCCCAGTGCCTTCGCCGCTTCCTCCCTTTCCTCCTTCAAGGCCGGTCTCAAGACCTTTCTCTTTGACTGTGCCTTCAGCTCCCCTCTCGACTCTCTACCCCCTCCTCGCTCCCTCCCTTCCCTCCCCTCACCCTGACCATTTCCCCCAATGCTCGGGTCCCGACCCAACTGTACAGCGTCTTGGGACGTCCTCCCGACGTGAAAGGCGCTTTGTAAGTGAAATCTTGTTGTTGTTGTTGTTGCAAGTGGCTTCTACAGCATTATCAAGAGCCTGGTAAAAATCCAGCTGCTGGTTTGACCCACTGACACAAGCAAGTGTGACCTTGTCTACACTTGTGAGTGTTCAATTGAGGACTATCCCTGGAACGTTTTGGAGTTTAATGTCAGTGTAAAGCCACTGTGGTGTGCAGACGTTCACAAATCTAAACTGGGTGTGTGTAAAGCACTTTGAGACGTTCTGCTTCACGTGAAAGGCGCTAAAGCAACTGCAAACTATTGCTCGTTTCCCAGAGGTTCACAATGTTTCACATGTTTCAAGGCACTTAATTAATCTGCGTTTGATTTAATCGTTTAAAAAAGTACTATTTAAATGAAACTTATCAAAACACCTGGTTTGGTCAAAACATCACCTTCTGAGGTGTCGGCAAGTGTGAGATTACGAATATTTAAGTTGTACTAGTTTTATTTTATAAAGACTAAAATCAGGGGTGTGGGGAAGTTCAACTGTAATTTATTTAAACCTTGACTTCCATATTTTTGTAGTCATTTCCTGCCATAAGCAAGTGACCTCCTACGTGGAGGAAGACGTATGTGTGTTTGGTGTGAACGTGACTGGTTTATTTCCCCCCCCTCCTCCTCCTCCTCCTCCTCCTCCTCCGACGCTTGGGAATTACCCTTTCCTTATCTCTTCACCCTCCCCCCACCAACTGTTTACTGCCTCCTCCGCTACGCGTATTGTGTGTGTGTTTGGGGGGTGGGGGGAGGGTGCTTGTAGCATTTGTGTTTTGCAGCCTGTTATCTGAAAGTGTTGCACCACCTGTGTTTGCACAAGTTTCCATTAAAAATAAATAAAATGACTGGCGAGTGTGGGGGAAGAAATAACAGGTGCTGTCACAAACATTAGTGATCACATTTGATTTTAATAGAACTGGCATGCAGTAGGTGTGGAAGTCTCCTAGGTTAAAGCCCGTTACCCTCCTAGTGGGCACTGCACCTCCCTCCCCCCCTCCTCCCTCCCGCCCAACTCCTCTTCAAGTAAAAACTTGCCCTCCTAAAAGGACTCTAAAATTCTGGTATTCTAAAAGGGCACGTTGGAGAAACTACATCTGGTTCCAGACTTGCACACAATCTTGCTCGCATTTCAAAGCATTCAGAGTTTGGCAATTTCTTTAAATTCAATCACTGTTTTGAGGGTTTCGAAGAACTGTGTGAAAACCAGCTACAATATGAACGATTTACTGTAATATTTATCCTTGCATGACGTTCGAACACCTTGAAGCTTTTTTGCACACTTCTCTGTAAAGTGCGGCGGCTGTGTTTGTAGGGGAACGGACGGAACGTGGAATCCTGTAGCGTAGTGGTTAGCGCGCTCACCTCATGAGGATAATAATCCCTCAAAAAAATTACCAACAAAGTATAGTCAAGATCCACTTTACAATATATTCTGCGAAGCGCTTTGAGACGTCTCAAAGACGTGAGAAGGCTCTATCAAGTGCAACAACAACAACAACAAAATTACATTTGTTAAGCGCCTTTCACATCGGGAGGACTTCCTAAGGCGCTGAACAGTCGGGGATCAGGACCCGAGTGTGTGGGGGCAGGGTTGGCATGAGGGAGGGCAAAGAGGTAAGAGAGCGGCTGAAGGCATGATCGAAAAGGAGGGTCTTGAGTCTTGCAAGGATTATTATTATTATTATGGTTTGCCAAATTCTGCAAGCTTTGAACTGCTAAGAAAATAATGCAAGTCTAGATCCAGGTGATGCCTCCCATGTGTCCTGTGTTTGTGTGTGTGTGTGTGTTGCAGGTAAAGCGGGGCAACCAGCAATTTTTAATGGATTATTATTATTGCAAAGCGATACGCTGATCAACTAAGAACTGGGTTCCTACTTACTGCTAGGTAAACAGAGGAGTGTGGAATAAGGAAACTTGCCTAAGGTTTTGACCCCCCCAGGAATCGAACCCGGGTCTTCTTGTTTGCGAGGCGAGCATGTTAGCCACTTGCTAAGGGACCTAACGTAACCTTCTGGCTCAGAGGAAAGGGTGCTACCAGTTGAGCCAGGCTTGATACCATATCCGCGACAGCTTAGCACTCCTTTCTCCACTGAAAGCGATGGGAGGTTGTGTGTGTGGTTCATAAACCACACAAAACGGGTAGGCCCCAGAGAAGCGACCCCATCTGAGAAGCTGGTTTGCTGCCTCGGGGAAGTGTGAATTGGAGCGCTTACTCACATTTTCCGTTAACACCTGGTTTCTCGTGCACGATCTTTGGCGTGTGAAAGTGCCGAGAAATTTTAACTGAGGTCTTTTAACTTATTGATTGAAATGTTGCTGCATATAGGTGGGGCTTCGCGATGAGTGGATTATAGCTCTTGCTTTTTGTCACATCGTCTGAGAGGATTGCAAGACTGTAGCGTCATCAAAAGAGTTCAAGTCACTGTGGTCTGTGGTGGTCTGACACTCTGGGTTGCAGCCCAGTGTCACAGTTGGCTATTTAGTGTTTCCTTGCTTCCATCTCAGAGAAGTGAATGGAACACTTTGTGTTAGTCAGCCTGGCTCAACTCTGAGTCAGACGTTTTGTGGGTTCAAATCCCACATCCAGGACTTGACCTCACGTAGTCTAAGCTGACGTTCCAATAGAGCGCTGGGGATGTGTTGCATTATCTTTTGGCTGAGCGTGTTCAAGTGGATGTTAAAAGATCACGTGGCACTATTTGAAAAGGGAAGGGAGTCTCTCCTGATGTCCAGGCCGACAATCCCCCAAATAAAGTTGGTCACTCACTTTGTGGCTGTTTATGGGACATTGCCGTGTGCAATTGTGCTGCCCCGTTTGCTTACAAATGCAGTCACTCCATTTTACAGTAAATCGTGTGAAGCGCTTTGAGACATCCGACAGGATAAGGCGCTATGCCAAATGCAAGGATTATTATTAATAGTGTTGCTAATAATCATCCTTGCATTTGATACAGTGCCTTATCACATTGTTGAAATGTCTCAAAGTGTGCAAACACTTGATTTACTGTAAAGTGCAGCGACTTTGGATCCTACAGTCGATTTGCACGCAGCATTGTACCACAAACAGCCATGAAGTCACCATGGGGTCGGGAGAAAGTTCCTTTTCGAAGATGAGTCTGAATATGAAAGATCGAGATCTTTTGTTTTTATTTTGACAGACAACCAGGTTCATTAACAAAAGATGACGTGTTACAGCTGAAGGAAGTCTACAAGTGGTTGACCCACCCTCTCCTTTCTGAGGAGCTGGGGGTGCCTGTCGATGGCAAGGTATGCTCTTTGTCTCCGTGTGTTTCCCGTGATTCAGTACGTCTTGATCAATCACCCGCACGTGCACTTACTGGCAAGCATTGGAATCGTATTGAATTGTGAAAAATGAAGTTCTTCTGCGTGTACGTCAACGGATCAAGGCGACATTTCCCGCGATTCAGTGCAGCCGTTAAGCTTCGGAGTGATGGAGGGGAGAAGAGAGCAGTGTTATGTGTTGCAAGATGAGTAAATCGACCAGTGCAGTGAAATCTAAGCGGTTTCGATAGGAAAGTGAACTGGACTCGAGTCAATGACTTAGGCGATTGTACGATGTATAAAGATAAATATATTTTTTAAAACTTAAGATTTTAATGATCCTATTTGACGCTCTGAGAAAATGTAATGTTCCTGGTTCTGAACTGGGTCTGAACGGGTCACAAAATTGATACGTGGTTATTTAACAAAGAAGAAACTGTGTTTCTTCCCAATACCAGAGCTTATTTGAAGTGAGTGTGATCTTCGCCCACCCTGAAACAGATGGAGATTGCCATTTCCTGTAAGTCGACGCATTTTATTACTTTTTTTCTCTTGCGTGCCTTTGGGGGGTCTTTGTGCAACGTCTACAGTATCAGCGGTTTCATTGTCATTGTCAGTAATTATTGTCATTTCCCTATGGACAAAAAAGTACATTTCCAGGTGATGGGTGTACGAAAGTTGGAGGCTTGAAGGGGATACGGAGGTATGGGGGGGTGACGGACATGGGAGGCATGTGAAAATATTCTTGGTGGTGGGGTCAACAATTCCCCAGACCAAATTGGTCACTCACTCCATGACTGTTTGTGGGACATTGCTGTGCTCAAATTTACCTACATCTGTTACTCTTACCCACAATATGCAGTCATCGCAATCCTCAGTAAAATTCTGTCCTAAAGTGTTTAATTGGTAGTCAATTTGCGCACAACCTTGCCCCACAAACAGCTGTGATATGAATGATCAATTTTAGTTGGGGGGATTGTTGGCCAGGACATCGTGAGAGACTTCCTTTTTGCGCTGCGGACGCAGAGAGGCACAAAAGCAAAAGTAAGGATTAATATTACTCAATGCGCTAACGCTGGGTACCCTGCACTGCTTGCCTGGTTGCAAGCATTCCCCAGCTGGTTTGCGAAGTGATATCAGCAACTGATGACCCAGAAGCGGGTCGGACGGCCATTTCTTTCCCGTGGGCCATTTAATATTTCTCTTGGACCCGAGATACCATATTCTAACTGGTGGAAGGAAGAGGGATGGGGGTGGGGAAAGGGAGTGTAGTTCTTCTCTCATTGAGTCACAGTGTAGCACACTGATTTTGTAATGGTCTAAGAATTCAGGTTAAATAATAACCTGTCGGGGGCGCGAGGTGAAATTCCAGCCGTTCAATCAGCCACGAGGCTCCTAAACATTCCCTTTGTGCTGTGGATTGAGCAGCGTTGAGTTCAGTGACCAAGAGAACCATGATGTTATGTTGTGTTTTATTGCGTTTATTGCGAATTGTTGTTGTTCTCGGCCACTGTTAAGTACATTGAGACGCTACCCAGCGTGAAAGGCGCTATGTAAATGCAAGTTGTGGTGGTGGTTTCAAGACGGACGGGTAGAGGGAAGGAGTTCCAGGGACTGGCGGACAGGGTTGGGGGTGGGGGGGGAGAAGAATTAGTTGGTGGGAGCCAAGGAGGATGACCTCCATATTGATCATGTTGAGCGACATGAAATTGAAGCTCCTTCGAGCCTTAATATGTGACAAGCAGTTGGTTGGAACATCAATAGACCTAGAAGCAAGGGTAGAAGTAGAAAAGTACGTTCCCGTGAGCACTGAAGCACGGGTTTTGTGTTTGACAGGGTCTATCAGTCCCGATCCCCTATTCAATATATTGCTAATCTTCTGCTATGACCTCGTCTCCAGGTGTCTGACACATGTGGAAACCAATCACCAATGCTTTAAGAGTATCCAAATCAAACAGATTTGCACATCTGTATATCACCTACACATGGAAATTTCCCATTACTTTGTGATGGAATGCACACTCTCTCCCCTGGAAGGACACACCCTGCTTACCTAATTCCAGAGAGTATTGGGCACACGTTGGTGAGAGTCAAGGCTTGGCGACTCCAGAGTGTAGGTTAGGATAACTGTTGGAGTTTAACCAGCTAACCACTGAAAATACTGTCTGGCAAGCTTTCCAGCTGCTTGCCCGACTAGGACGACTCTGGCTATTGTGGCTTTGGCTTACAGGGTTAACATTAGCTGAATTGGGAAGAATCCTTAACCCCAGTCTCTAGGGGAATCCAGCGTGGAGGACGCTATCTAAATGCAAGTTGTTGTTGTTGTTGAAGCTGTTTGGTGCTATACCAAATGTAAGGAGTATTTTTTATTAGGCAGGGTTTGAAAGGCATACAGTAATATAGCATAAAGGCTGGGAGGAAAAGCGGTGGCAGACTGGATAATTCAAAAATAAATGCTGCCTTGTTTTAAAATGTCCAATAGCTATATTTGATGATTACCATTAGAGGACCTTTTTAGAATCTAACCAGCAATGTTTTTTTTAATCAAGATGTTGGTGCTAACCTGTGGGCGCGATACTGTGGGAGATTGATACAAGTGCAATGATTCAATTGGGTTGTGTGTGTGTGTGTGCGTGTGTGTGTATGAGGGAGAGTGCAACTGAGATAAGAAAACCTTTGCATATTGCCCACAGCACATCATTTCGTCCGCTCTTCGCTCTGTCACTCTGTAGGAGTTCGATGTCGCGGTGACGAAGCAGTGAAAGCACGTAATTCTTTTTGATTTGCCACTTTAGCCCTACTGGAAAAATGTGGTCGTCTGCGAGAGTCTCTCTGAGCAACGAGACTGATAGCATTTCTAATAATAATCTTTTGCATTTGAAACAGTGCTTTACCATGTCGGGAGTATGAGTCAAGTGCTTCATAGGATTTACCCTGTAAAGTTCAGTGACTGTGTATTTTGTAGGTGAATGTGACAACCAGTTTGCGAAATAATAATCTATTATCAAACGGCAGTATCAAAGGGATTGTCCAATTTTATTTTGGGTGATTGGTGGCCAGGACACAGTGAGAAACTGCCTTCTCTTTTCGAATCATGTCGCAAGATACATTAACGTCCATCTGAACAGGCACAGGCGGGACCTCGGTTTATCTTCGCATCCAAAGGACGGCTCCTCTGTCAATGCAGTGCTTTGCCGTGCTTTTGTCAGATCTTTCCTAAATCTGTTTCTTATCTGTTCCAGGGCCTCAGTATGCCGTGACTGTTTTCGACCAACAAAAAACAAGCAGGTAATTTTTTTTCTGGTCAGACGGGTGTCTTGACACATGCGGAAACCCATCACCATGCTTAAGAGTATCCAAACCAAGCTGAGATTTCCATGCATCCCACCTACACATGGAAATCCCAGAGATAGAATGGAATGCGCGCTCTCTCCCTGGAGGGACGCTTCCTGCTTACCTAATTCCAGAAAGTGTTAGGCGCAGGTTGGGAATCCTAGAGTCCATTAAGGGTGCTGCTGGAGTCTAACCAGCTAAGAAGTAAGTGGTTTATAGTGCTGTTTTGATGGTTCATTTGAAGCAGAAACTCCACTTGTAAACCAACAGGTTAGTTTTCATGGGAGGTGAATAGTTCAGGTGTCAGACAAGTTAGGGGCTCTTCAGTCTTCAAAGGAGACATCTCAGAGGAGACCTCAGAGAGTTGTATAAAATCTTAAATGGGATTGAAAATACTTTTGAATGCATCATCACAGGGGAACAAGAGGACACAGGTTTAGAGTTGCAAAGGGCAATTTCAGATGAGAACACTAAACAACAACAAATTATACCTGTAGAGCCCTTTCACATCGGGAGGATGTCCCAAGGCACTGGATAGTCGGATTTAGACCCGAGCAATTTTTTTTCTAAAAAGAACAGCTTGATGTTGTGATAGAAGGACAGCAAGGTTGGCGTTTTGGAAGAAGGAGATCAATGGACCGAAGGGTCTTCTTCATCTGAACCAATCTGGTGATCTTGTGATAAAAACACGATGGAGTGAAAAGAGTAGAACAACAACAACTTGCACTTATTATAGCGCCCTCCACACACGGTAGCGTCTCAGAGCGCTTAACAGTGGCGGAGCCTGACTCCGAGGAGGGGGGAGGTGGCCATAAGCACAGTCGAAGAGGAAAGTTTTCAGGCGGGACTTGAGAGAGGGGAGAGAGGGGGCACGGTGGAGGGAGAACCACTCTTTCAACAGTCATTTGTGTACAGATAGCTAACAAATTGTTTGCTATCTGTACAGTATTTCAAGAATAATATATCAAGTGTCGTCTGTATGTCATAATATATTTTCTCCACACTGCTTCAGATAATGTCACAGAGACCATGTCCCGCTCCAGCCAATGCCATTTAAAATTTGGGTGATTCAAGAGTCTCTCCCTGTATTCAAGATGTGTCAGCCTGGCTCAGTCAGTAGTGCTCTCGCCTCTTGAGTCAGAAGGTTGTGGGTTCAAGCACCACATTGAGACTTGGAATGACATTGTCTAAGCTGACACTCAAATGCTGTGCTGAGGGTGCGCTATTACAGTGTACGAAAAAAGAAGGGAGCTGGGCATTCTAGCTGGGAAGGGAGGGTTGGGGATGGGAGGTGGCTGAGGAGGTTGTGGGGGCAGAGAGAACATGACAGTCAGCGCAATCAACGAGGTAAATCTTGAGGCGGGTTTTAGAAGTGGGAAGGGAAGGGGCAAGGCAGAGGTATTCCCGTGATGAAGTTCCAGAGAGCAGGGGCAGATTGCCTGAAGGCTTACGCACAAATGATTAGGGTTGTGGTGGGGGAGGGAGCTTAGTGTATGAAGCGCTGGTGTTCGCTGAATAGTTTTGAGCTGTAAAGTAAAGTAATGATGTAATTGAAGATCACCACATCCTGTGTAGCGAGCCTGGGGTTCTGAGAACCAATGATGACCGAGGTCTTTGCTTTGATCTATTCCTTTCAGTCAGTTTTCACACGAATGGCAGTGGTGAAAGCCTTGGAGAAGATAAAAGACGACGACTTCCGACAGTGAGTTTAAACCGTTTTTATTTTCTCTCTCTCGTGCTCGTTTCTCACACTCTTCCTTCCCCCAAATGATGCAAAATTCCTTTTGGTTTGTTTCTCAGTAAATCCTGCGAGAAATGAGATATGAAGATAAATTTATGATGTGTGTTTAGTAATGAACAGATCGTTGGGGAAACCCTGGACAGACAGGCGGAGGCGTGGGGTGTGTAAAAAAAATGCAGTCGGATTCCTTTATAACGCGGTGGTCGGTTTGGGGGTGTGGAGGGGGAGTCCTAAAATGAGAGGCCCACAGTATTGCATGTAGCTCCTTTCACGTCAGGGGGACGTCTTAAAGCGTTCACAAGATGTACTGTAAAGTGCAGTGACTGTGCATTTTGACCACATGCACACAGTACAAAACTGACTAACATAATCACACACACAGCCCAAAACTGACCAGTACACACACACACACACATACATACACAGACCTAAACTGTCCAACACACAATGAAAGGGATCGATGGGTTAAATAATGAACGTGGACAACTCTTCCAGATAGAGTGATCCGTTAGTTACAAGTATGTGTTGCCGCCCCCATTCTCTGGCACTCCACTCCCGAGTCCCTTCCCCTCGCCACTTCCTTTGGCTCATTCACAGGATTTCATTGCAAAGTAGTGACTGTTTTTGTGGGTATGGGTTGGAAAGACGGGAGAGGGTATGCGTTCATGTGTGTGAGTGTGCATGCGTGCATGTGTGTGCACAAACAGGTATGTGTATGTGCGCATGAGTTGGGGCAGAGAAGTTAGTGACATATCTTTGTTCCTTTGTGTTTTAAACCCCTGTGTTTTGAAGTCCATATTTTACCATGAGGTTTTGTTTGACAGGCAGTTTTGCTTATGGCCTGAAGCTCCTAAGACTGCCTGCATTGCTGAGGAAATCCAGTGTTCTCACACCCCGGTCTATGTGGCAGGTGGGACTATTTTCTTTCAGCAGGTTATGTGCTTTATTCCTAATGTTTATGTTACAGTATCAATAAGTTTCCTGCTGGCTTACTGTGGATCAGTATTGATGGCAGCTCTGCCCAGCCTTCGGATGCTGTGTACAATAGTAAACCAACTTACATTTTGTAGACCGGGTATACACATCAGCAGATCACTTTACAATCCTGGCTTGGCACCCGAGTCGAGGGTGGGAAACAAGGGAGGTGTAGGGTGATTAGTAGCTGATGTGGGGAGAATTTTCTTTGGAAGGTTGTGGGGAGAAAGTTTGAATGTTGAATGTTATATTGCGTTTTAATATTTTTTTCTCAGGAAGATACAACAAATTCTCCAGAAATCTACCGCAGACACCCTGGGTGATAGATGGAGAAAGGAAAATGGAGTCTTCGGTGGAAGAACTCATAGCGGAGCCACTGACGGCGATGTTTAAATCAGATAGTAAGTTACAATTTAGGCTAGATGAAGTGCTCTCATCATCTGCTATTCATCCGGGGATTATTTATCAGTATTATTATATGTGTTTTTCTATATATATATATTCGAATTACATTCCACTTGGCTGTGTGTCTTTCCTGTTTGTGTGTGTGTGGTGTGTGGGAGTGTGTGTGAATGTGGTGTATATATCTGTGTGTGAGCGTGAGCGAATATATGTGTGTGTGTGTGTGTACGTGTGTATATGTGTATATAACTCAGTCCCTTTACACTCATGCAGACCTGCAGCTGACACAGTCTACTTTTAAAGGAGTCCCCGCTTGGACTCTTTATCATGGAATCGCCTTAGAAAAAGCTGACTTTTTGACTCCTGTAGCAATCCAACACTGCCTGGTCTGGCTCAGGAAACCTGCTATTGTTATTCTAGATCTGTCCCCAGGAGCGTTTCCTGCACAATATTTCCCTGCATTTGGAAAAGTGATGGTGAAATCCTGGTGTGTGTGTGTGTAAGAATTGTCCTCATGCTATATTGCACTTGTGTGTATAACACTCTAGATACATAAACTGTACACTGTACAGAAAGCACCTGATACACTCGACAAACCATTACATCATATCTTGTCTTTTACTCTAATGCAATGGAAATCTTGATAGCGTTCAGCTTGTGTGTGCGTTTTTTTTCATAGAAGTGGGAAGCTCTTATCATTCAGTGTAATTCTTAAAAGCGTTCACTTTTTTTGTAGGTTTCAATTTCTCATCTTCAGGAAGAGAAGATGTAGACGTCAGAACCTTAGGATATGGTAAACCTGAATTGTCTGTACGTGATTAACCAGTCGCTCTTCAGATTGTGCCCACGGACGCGGTGGGGGTTAATTAAAACTGATTGAATTGTAAGGAGGTGGGGGAAACGAGTATATTTTTCCTTACAAAATGCCGATAGCACTTTGCGTTTGTGAACTTATTGCACTGGTGTTTCTGTCACCGCGAACAGGAAATGTTTGCAGGAGCTGAAGGTTGATGCTGTTTTAGCACAGAAAGGCTGAGTGCAGATAAACGCCAGTGACTGTCTTTCAAAGGAAGCCCATAAATTTGATTGCTTCCCATGAACTGTGTGAGTCGATAGCACAAGTTAGCCACAGACCAGCCACAGGTGAACTTGGCTGGTATACAGTGATCTGGAATTCTCTTTCTCCAATCCTTTTGTCTTGCCCTCTACTTCCCCTCTTTTAGATAATGACTGAAGACTTTCCTTTCCGACCATGCTCACAGTCACCTCCTTCCTCCCCCCACCCCCCAGCTCAGCGGCAGGCTCCACCACTTTTAAGCGCTCAGAAACGCTGCCCCATGATCACTCGGTTGTGTGCGGAAAAATAATAATAATAATTGTTACATTTGATACCACACCTTTCACATCAGGAGTTTGTCTCAAAGTGCTTCACAGGATACACTGTAAAGTGCTGTGGCTGCTTAATTTAATCATAATAAAAAATAATAATACTTGCATTTGATATAGCGCTTTTCACATCTTCTAGACATCTCAAAGCGCTTCACAGAATATGCTGTAAAGTGAATTGACTATGTTTGTGGGTGAAACGCTTTATAGATGAAGATTTATAGATGAACACTGCAGCAATGTCCCACAAACAGCCATGAAGTGGATGGACCAATTTTATTCGGGGGAGGGATTGTTGGCCAGAACATCGGGAGGGATTTCCTTCTCTTTAACAGTAATGGAATTTGTAACCTCCAATTCCCAAGGATGGCATCACACAAACAATTCACCGCTCCCCCAATGATAGCCTAGACTATGAGGTCAAGGTCCCAACGTGGGCCTTTTTGAACCCAAAACCTTCTGACTTAGAGTGCTACCCACTGAGCCAGGTGGACACACAAACTATTTGTAAACCATTTGTCAATCAGATATACAGTATCTCTCGCCTTTTTAGATCAGAGGTTGAAAAGGTTAATCAGTTTCAAGGGATGATGATTTTCTATCAATATTAACATTGGAGCTAATCTGTGTGTCTGTTTCCCACCTTCCCTTTCCATCTCTTGCTAGGCCGGCCCTTTGCAATTGAAGTCTTAAATCCACATAGATGGTCCTGCACTCAGGAAGAGATCACAGAGCTTCAGCAGGTGACCACGAGAAGCCTGGATGTGAAATTATCCAAATCTGTGATTCTTTTGTGTTGCTTATGTGTTGTTGTGTCCTTTACAGCAAATTAATAAGTCTACTGATAAAATCCGAGTTCGAGATTTACAGATCGTAACCAGGTAAGTTTTCCCGCATCAAACCAGAGCGCGGGTCAAAGTCTCCCCACTTCAGTATATTTTACTCGGGCTCAATTCCCGGGCAGAGCGAAACCTTAAGCAAGTTTCCTTACTCCACACGCCTCTGATTATCTAGCAGTAAATAAGGAAGCCGGTTGTTAGTCGATTGGTGGATCGCTTTCCGGGATAATAATCCCACTCAATCCACGACTGTTTGTTGGACACTGCTGTACGCAATTGGCTGCCATGTTTCTCCCCAAAAATTCACAAGTCTATCCATTTTATAATATATTCTGTGAAGCATTTTGAGACGTCTTAACGACGTGATAAAGCGCTATATCAAATGCAAGGATTATTATCGTCTTGTTTAGGGAAGCAGTGGGCCATATGAAAGAAGGTGAAGAAGAAAAGACCAAGTGCTACAGTGCTCTGATATGGACCCAGAGAGCGATAGAAAGGAGCGATATCAACTTTCTTCAGGACATGATGGTATTTACTGCACTTGTTTCTCAGAATCTATCGATTGACTATGTTGTTTCGTGGGTTTTTGCAGGGGGGAGAGGTAAAGTCTCGGGAGGGATCAGCACTACAAATATTAGTATGACTGCTTCATAAATCACATGCTATTATGACATTGAATTGTATATGTGGTGTGGGTATGAATGCACAGCAGTGACAGTGATCTTTTATATCCTGTGACCTATATTTTGTTTCTCTTTGCTCTCATCCATTTTCTCCTCTTCTACTCTTCGGAGGGCTATTTGTTTTTCAACTCCTTTTTCTGACTGTTGTGCAGTGGTTCCATGGGTGCCCTCAATGGTTCCACCAGAGTCTTGTGAAGGCTGACTGAGCGTCGACAGGCTTTGACAGACTCCCATTGGGAGGCTTCGCAGCTGAGCCTGCGCCCTCTTTCGCCTGATGTCCACACGGACGGCTAAGCCAGCAGGCATCTCCGTCTACTGAGCTGGAGTAAAACACTGGGTTGACTTTTTTATTCATTAAGACGTTAATAATAATATTACTTGCATTTGATATAGCGTCTTATCACATTGTCGAGATAGCTCAAAGCGTTACACAAGACCTACTGTAACTTGTAGGCAAAACGAGGCAGCCAATTTTGTACACTACAACATTCCCACAAACAGACACGGTCTGAGTGTCCAATTTTATTTGGGGGATTGTTGGCCAGGACACAGGGAGAAAATCCCTTCTCTTTTCAAATAGTGCCATGGGATCTTTACTGTACACCTGAAAGGGCAAACTAGACCTCGGTTTACGTCTCATCCAAGTGACGGCACCTCTGACAATGCAACACCCACCGTCCCCCAGCACTGTCAGCTTAGACTATGTGATTCTATGGAGCTTGAACCCACAACCTTCTGACTCCTAGCCGAGAGTGCTGTCACTGAGTCAGTCTGATACCTAGATAGAGGAGGTGCAGAGGAGATTTACATGGGATGAGTGGTTTGATCTATGACCGGAGACTGAAAGAATTGGAACATTGGCTGCTATTAAGGCCAAATGATAATTGTGCTTTGTGGAGGGAATCCAATGAAGAGGAGGGAAGGAAATAAATGTGGGTGGGATGAAGAAGGAAGTTGACAATTGTCCAATAAAGTGCTTTGTGACTTGAAACGCGTGTCTCTTTAGGAGCTAAAGCTTGATCAGAAGACTCCACTGCGGGTTCTCCACCGAAGGCCTCTGGCTGTAAGGTTCCGTGTAATACACAGCATGAAAGTGGACTACATAGATCAACATCATTTCCGCCTTTACCTCAAGACCCAGGCTGGCACGTATCCTTTGTCCCTGCACTGTTAATGAAGGAGCCGGTGGAAATGTTCAGAGTCTGCTTTACCAGCCATCACTGGCGTCTCATTCCACACTCTTGTCAGCCCTCTGAGAGAAGGTGGTTTCCCATCTTCTGCTTTTACTCCTTGAGTCATAATTTGGGATCCATGTCAAGACTTGAAACCCATATAGTCTCAGATGAACTCCAATACAGTGCTGGAGGGGGGAGGGGATGGAAACATTCATAAAGCTGAGGCAGTGTTTATACAGCGCCCTTCATGTGGAATAGCATCTCGGAGGATTTATAACACAATACAGTACACACAACAATCTTGTGAGTATTAGGGGATCCCTGTCCAGTTACTTTACTTGAGTCCCAGCTACTTGTGTAGGATAGTTCCTGGTACTGGGATAGCGAGACTCTCTCCCCCATGATGGGCGCCCTGTAAACTCGCGTCGTTTTTTCACCTGTAGTTTAGGTGTTTTGGAAATGGGGTGTCAATCCCGGGTGAGGCCCCGATTAGGTGCAGAGAGAGGGTGGGTAGGGGTGGGAATCTGTTCAGAACATATTTGAGCTTAGTCGCCTGTCGCTGAGCAGGCATTTTAACGTGAGGACGAGTGAAACCTTTTTTCTTAACAGTCAGATTAGCTACATTAAAGAATTTGTACATGGGGATTTTGGCCGCACAAAGCCAAACCTCGGGATTCTGATGAAGACGACGGTGGACATTCTCGAATTGGATGTGGAGGTGAGAGATGTTCCGTTTGTTTGGTCTGTTTCCCGGTCGAGCGTTGCACTCGAAAATGCGGATCAAACAGTGAGGGGTTTGTGTGCAGGCAGTTGTACGCTATATTGAACTTGCTGCTGTATTCTTTGGCCAAGAAGGCAGGCAGGCAACCTGCTCCCAGACCTCTGCTGACTGCTGTGTGGTGGCGGAAGCTACAGGCCTGCAGGCTGGAAGCCACATTTCCTGAAACTCCTTCCTTCCCTACGGGAAGCACTTGGCCTCTGTTCAGCGGTTCACAGTGATGGAGCTTCACAGTAGACATTTCAATTTTGAAATACCTTTGTGAGACTGACCACTTCCCTATTGCGTCCACACCTGAATGAAAACAACAAGAACAGCAAAGTTGCATTTGTATAGCGCCTTTCAGGTCAGGAGGACGTCCTAAGGTGCTGGACAGACAGAGTTACGGATCCAAGCTGAGGGTTGGGGTGAGGGAGGGTGGAGGGCGAGGGGGGGAAGCAGGGAGATCAAAAGCATGGTCGAAGAAGTGAGTCTTGAGGTGGATCTTGAAGGTGGTGAGGGAGGGGGCGAGATGGAGGGACTCCAGGATGGAGTTCCAGAGGGTGGGTGCAGAATGGTGGCAGGCCCCCCCTGACAATAGTGGGATGAGCAAGGTGGGGGACGTGAAGCAGGCCGGAGCCTGCTGAGTTGAGGGAGCGAACAGGGTGATGGGGGTTAGGAGGTCGGAGAGGTATGGGGGAGCAAGACCATGGAGGGCTTTGAAGGTGGGGACCAGGATCTTGAACTGTATCTGTGTGATGGGAATGCAGTGGAGTTGGGAAAGGATGTTGGTGATAGGGTCGCAGAGCCTAGTGCGGGAGAGGACATAGGCTGCAGAGTTCTGGATGATCTGCAGCCTGTGCAGGGAGGAGTTGGGGAGGCCGACAAGCAATGAGTTTGCATAGTTGAGCCTCGATGTAATGAAGGTGTGTATGAGGGTTTCGCATCCTGCGGTGTGAGACAGTGTCAGAGCCGGGCGACATTGCGGAGGTGGGGGAAGGCAGAGTGGGTCATGGCACAGATGTGGAGTAGAAAGAATAGTTGAGAGTCAAACAAGACTCCAAGGTTTCGGACTGACTTAGCAAGGTGGAGTGTGCAACCATGGATGGTGATTCGGTCAGCGCCTGAGGTGAGGAAGCGCTGACAGGAGCTAATCAGGAGAGACTCGGTCTTTTTGACATTCAACTGAAGAAAGTTAGCTCTCATCCAGGACTTTATGTCTGACAGACATTCTGTCAGGACAGCAGTGATCCTGGAGTCAAGGGTGGAGGCAGAGAGGTAGAGTTGGGTGTCATCCGCATACATGTGGAAGTTGACCCCATTTTTGTGGATGATGTCACCAAGTGGGAGCATACAGATATTGAAGAGGAGGGGACCAAGGATAGAGCTCTGAGGAACACTGCACGAGATGGTTCGGGGATTAGAGGAGAAGCCATTTGAGGAGGTGAAGTGCAGGCGGTGTGAGAGGTACAATCTGAACCAATCAAAGGACACAGCCATGAAGGTTGAGGTGAGAGGAGAGGCGGTGGATGAGGATAGAGCGGTCGACAGTGTCAAAAGGAGCAGAGAGGTCAAGGAGGACGAGGAGGCAGAGGGAGCCCTGGTCGCAGATGGACAGAATATCATTTGTCACTTTGACCAGAGCTGTGCGCAGCACAGAAACCCAATTGGAGGGGTTCGAGAAGATAGTTAGGTCCGATGGATAGTTAGGTTTGATTTAAGCCAGGTGCACTCAGCAGAATCCGCCTGAGCTTTAAGGGAGCGTAGGTGGCTGGTGTACAAAGAGGATTTGCGTGTGTAGGCGACGGTTCAGGAAGAGAGGGGAGCGAGGGAATTGAGAGTGGAGTAGACGGAGCTGTGGAGAAGAGTGACCGAGGAGGATAAGTCATTGCGGGAGGACGCCCAGAGGGGAAGATGTTCAGATGACTCCAAGGCAGCCGAGAGGGAGAGAGGGGAGATTTTTTTCCAGGGGCGGTAAAAGAACCGCAGTGTTGTTGTACGTTATTCAGTAAATATAATGAAATTATAATTCTTGTTTGTTGTTGCTGTATAAATCATTGGTGAGACCATACATAGAGTACTGTGTACAGTTCTGGCCGCCGCAGTACAGAAAGGATATTGGAATAATCGAGAAGGTACAGAGAAGGGCAACCAAAATGATTGAGGGAATGGAGGGACTGGATTAAGAGGAGCGACTAAGTAAATTAGACATATTCACGCTGGAAAAGAGAAGATTGAGAGGCGACATGATTGCTGTCTTTAAGATTCTAAAAGAGCAAGACGATATAGATCATGACAGGCTGTTTCAACTTGTCCAGAATAGTAAAACCAGAGGACACGGCCTGCGATTGAAGGGGGGTAAATTCAGAAGGAATCTACGTAAACACTATTTCAGTAAGCGAACAGTGAACCTGTGGTATAGGCTCCCTAAGGGGACGGTTGAAACAGGAAGTGTTGATTCTTGCAAAACACAGATTAGATAGTTTTCTTTTAGGAAATAACATGGGATATAGTAATAATAATAATAATCCTTGCATTTGATATAGCGCTTTTCACGTCGGGAGGACGTCCCAAAGCACTTCACAGAACACACTGTAAAGTGAATTGATATATTTGTGGGCGAACGCGGCAGCCAATTACTCACAGCAATGTCCCACAAACAGTCGTAGATTGAAAATGACCAATTTATTATTGTTTTGGGTTTTGGAGGGATTATTATTAGGCGTGTGGAGTAAGGAAACTTGCCCAAGGTTTTGCCCTGCCGGGAATTGAACTCAGGTCTCTCTCTTGCAAAGCGAGTGCTCTAACCACTGAGCTACAGGACTCCACAGTACATAGGTAGTTTGGGACATATGGGCAGGCGACTGCCAGGGAAGTGGAAGGAAAATTTAGATGGACCTTGTTTTGTTTTTTTGTCGAGCATGTCTTATGTTCTTATGTTGTAATCAGCCTGGCTCAGTTTGTTAGCACTTGCGCCTCTTGAGTATGAAGGTTGAGACCCACATAGTCTAGGCTGACACTCCAATGCAGTGCTGAGGGTGTGTTACATTGTTAGAAGTTCTGTCCTTTGGCTGTGACGTAAAGCCAAAGTCCCATCTGCCTGTTCAGGTGGACATTAAAGATCCTCAGGCACTGCTGGAAAAGAGAAGCGAGTTTCTCCCAGTGTCCTGACCAACAATCCCCCCAGATAAAATTGGCCATTCACTCCATGGCTGTTTGTGGGACATTCCTGGGCGCAGATTGACTGCCGAGTTTGCGCTCAAAATACACAGTCACTACGCTTTTCAATGTATCCTGTGGAAGCGCTTTGAGACATACTCCCGACGTGAAAGGCGTTGTATCAAATGTAAGGATTGTTGTATCATAATTACTGGGGTCTTTTTTTAAAAAAAAAGTTGAGAGCCACGAGCAAACTAACCTTCCGTCTCTTCAGTCTGTAGATGTTGACTGGCCGCCCAGATTGGATGAATGAAGTGCTGACAGTGAACTGGAGTTGGTAACCTCGGACATGAATCATTCGGGATCACTTCAAACCAGCGCCCATTCCCTGGTTGCAAATGGGCTGCTGGAGCTGACGTGGGCTTTGATAGTAAAGGAGGGGCTTTTGCCCCCTCGAAAAAATTGTTTTATAGGTTTAATGGAGCGTGCAGTTTGCAATGTTAAATGGTTAGAGAGATACCTGCGGCAAGTTAGATATGATTTAGTGCCTTCTCTCGCCCTGCGGGGAGCAATCCATTAGCTTCCAATCCCCCATTTGCACAGCGACTGTTAATATTTGTTGAGCCACATGCGACTGAGTCAGTAGCTAGGGGGAACGGTGTAAATGGTGCTTTTGTTGTGAAGTTATCTGACAAAAAAGATGCGGGGGGGCAGCCCGTGATAAAATGTGCCTTGAACTGCACCGTTAATTCTGCTCCACGGCAAACTGCTGCAGTTTAAATTCTTCCTGTGACCCCCACCCCCCCCTCACCCCCGGTAATTTCATCAGGATTGCTTTACAGGAGACTGAGCTGTTTTTATCATCCTCCATCTGCATTGCCGTGCCACAATCTCCTTGCGAATGAGATGAACGGGAAGCTTCAGGGAAGCATCTTTGCTGAACTTGTCGCATGTGTAAACCAGCTGTGATCCGCAGTGGGTTGTAACGCTGATTATGCCGAGCCGTTTTGATGCGTTGTGGCTCGAAGGTGAAAGATATTTTGTGGCGTCAGGAACAACGAAAGAAGTGAAAGTGTAAATATCGTAAAATGTAATGTCTCAGTTTGTTTCGCGAAAGAAAGTCTATGTAAAACCGGTTTCACTCTCCAATACGATTTTAAATGCAGTTTTTAATCTCTGCGCTTGTTTTCATTAAAAATCACCTTAAACCAATGGATTGCAAATAAGGAATTCTGTTCAGCCGGACATTACACTTTTGAAAATGCTGATATTTATTAGTTATCAAATAAAAATAATAATCTGGTTACTCCAACCACGACTGTTTGTGGGACACCATTGTGCACAATTGGCTGCCTCATTTTGCGCCAAAAATATACAGTGAATTCACTTTACAATATAATCTGTGAAGTGCTTTGATACGTCACAATGATAAGACGTTTTATTAAATGAAGCATTATTATTATTGCTCAACTGATGTGGGGGAGGGGAAAGGAGGTGTTTTGATATTGTGGAGTTTTGTGATAAGATTACCACACAAGGAAAATTGTTAGAATTAACGTCAACTAGTTTTGTCCCCCTTTCTCCCCCCCCCCCATCAACACCGATCCCATGGTACTGTTTGAAATGAGAAAGAAGTTTCTCCCAGTGTCCTGGGCAACAATCTTCCAGATTAAAAAAAAATTGTTCAGTCACTTTAGGGATGTTTGTGAGATATCGCTGTGTGTAAATTGGGTCAACAACAACAACAAAATTACATTTATAGAGCACCTTTCATGCTGGGAGGATGTCCCAAAGCGCTGAACAGTTGGGTGTCGAGGCCTGAGCATGTCGAGGCCAAGAGGGGTTGGGGTAGGGGTGAGGGAAGGCAGAGAGGTGGGAGGGAGACCAAAGGCACGGTCAAAGAGAAAGGTCTTGAGACCGACCTTGAAGAAGGCAAGGGAGGAAGCGAGGCGAAGGGACCGTGGGATGGAGTTCCAGAGTATGGGGGCAGAGAGGCTGAAAGCCCGGCCACTGATGGGAGGCCGGGTTGGGCGGGAGACATGGAGCAGGCAGGAGCCCGATGAATGGAGGGAGCGGGCAGGCTTGTAGGGAGTCAGCAGGTCAGAGAGGTAGGAGGGGGCAAGGCCATGGATGGCCTTAAAGTTGAGGACGAGGATCTTGAACTCGATCCTCTGGGGGATGGGGAGCCAGTGGAGTCGGGCAAGGGTGGGAGTGATGGGATCGCGGAGCCTGGTGCGTGAGAGTACACGAGCTGCAGAGTTTTGGATGATCTGCAGCTTGTGAAGGGAAGAGTTGGGAAGGCCCATGAGAAGGGAGTTCCCGTAATTGAGCTTAGATGTGACTAATGTGTGGGTGAGGGTTTCGGCAGCCTGAGGGGTGAGGCAGTGGCGGAGTCTGGCAATATTGCAGAGGTGTTGGTAGGCAGTGCCGGTCATGGCGCGAATGTGGGGGAGAACGAACAGTTCAGGGTCAAACAAGATACCCAGGTTCCTGACTGGCTTAGTGAGGTTGAGTGTGCAGCCGTGGAGGCTGATGCTGCCAGTGCCTGAGGTGTGGAGGTGCTGGTGTGAGCCAATCAGGAGGGCCTCGGTCTTGCTGACGTTGAGTTGGAGAAAGTTGGCCCTCGTCCAGGACTTGATGTCGGACAGGCAGTCGGTCAGGACCTCAGTAGTCCTGGAGTTCCGGGTGGAGGCAGAGAGGTAGAGTTGGGTGTCCTCCGCATACTTGTGGAAATTTACCCCATGTCTGCGGATGACATTACCAAGGGGGAGCATGTAGAGGATGAAGAGGAGGGAACCGAGGACAGAGCCCTGAGGAACACCGCACGAGACAGTGCAGGGGCTGGAGGAGAAGCCGTTTGCTGTGACGAAGTGGAGGCGATGTGAAAGGTAGGACCTAAACCAGTCAAGGACAGAACCTTGAAGGTTGAGGTGGGAGGAGAGGCGGTGGAAGAGGATTGAGTGGTCCACGGTGTCAATAGCGGCGGAGTGGTCGAGAAGGATGAGGAGGCAGAGGGAGCCCTGGTCACACATGGTCAGGATGTCGTTTGTGACCTTGACCAGAGCAGTTTCTGTGCTGTGGGCAGCGCGGAAACCCGATTGGAGGGGTTCATGGAGGGAGTGGGAGGAGAGGAAAGAGTGAAGCTGGGAGGCAACGGCTCTCTCAAGGACCTTGGATAAGAAAGGGAGATTTGAGATGGGCCGGTAGCTGGATAGCTGTGATGGGTCAGGGGAAGGTTTCTTCAAGGTTGTTTTGAGGGGGAAGGAACAGTGCCAAATGACAGGGAGAGGTTACTGATGTCGGCGAGTAGTGGGGCAAGGAGGTGGAGCTGAGATTTAAGGAGGGGGTGGGGATGGAGTCCAGGGAGCAGGTGGTGGACTTCATGGAGGTTACCGTGTTGAAGACAGAGGAGGGAGTGACAGGTTCATAGGTGTGGAAGGAGGGATGGGTAATTGTGTGGGGTGGGGGTAGGGAGTGGGTGGAAGTTGGGAGTGCAGTGGCAGCCGAGCGGATTCCCTCGATTTTGGACTCGAGGAAGTCCAGCATTTTCTCGCAGTGAGAGTCAGAGGAAAGTATCTGCAAGGCGTGTTGGGGAGGGCGGAGGAGCCGGTTTGTGGTGGAGAACAGGAGCCTGAGATTGCCTTTTGCCTCCAGGATTAACCTGGAATAGAAGGATGATTTGGCTGAGGCGAGAGCGAAGCGGTAGTTCTTGATGAGGTCCTGTGTTCGCCTACAATCATGCTGTCTCTCAACAGAATTCATTTGAAGCAATAACAGCTTCATGCTGTAGTGGAAAGATTGGTGGGTGAGAATACTGGAAGGATGAGATCACATGGGCCAAAAAGCCTTCTTCATCCAAACCGATCATGTGATCCAAGCCACATAATGTTCACCAAGAAAATAATACTCGCAATTTTTTCCCAAGATTTATGCATTTTGTTTATTTTTTGTTAATGTATTTCATACAAATTTGAAAAACTATAAATATACACAGGAAAAATATAATTGTTTTAAAACTGCGTAAATACCTCGGAAGACCACATAAGTGCAAACTAGGAAGTACATCATTCTGGTCACTTTCCGCTTCCCCTCGCTGCTGCTTTCAGTTTGCATATAGAGGAGAGTATACACGCTGTAGAAATAAATGTGGCTCAAAAGGGAACCGGGAGGAAGACAAAAAGAACCACCCAGTGTGGGTGGGATTCTGGTTCATACAAGTACTAGGTGCATCCACTTAAGAGTCTTGATCAAAAGAGAAGAATTCACAAGAGAAGTTTGGATGAAAGAAAGTCTTTCAGCCCATTTGGTGTCATCCACTACAGAACACCCACCCACCCGCTGTGCTCTGATCATAGCATTAAACTGCTTTTTTAAATGAATCCAGTTCTCAACCACTTTTCCTGGTAACCCATTCCAGTCGTTAATTACCCTCTCTGTCCTCTGGAATTGCCCTTTGCAATCCTCAACCTGCATCCTCTTGTTTAACTATCTCAGTGTTTGAAAGTATTGTTCTGGATTTACCTTTCTCAATTCCATCACACGAATGAGAAGCCTCCAGCTTGTTTAATCATTGCTCATCGTTTATTCCTTGAACACTGTTAATTGTGGATGAGATGAAAAGGACCTTCATCCTCAACCTTCGCTCTTCACTACAGCAATGTGACAAGTTGGCTGAAGGCAAAATGGTGACATCGAGGCAACGTTTCTTAGGCCTTTCTAAATACAAAAGAAATTAAGCCTTTTCCATAGCTGAGGACAAATCAAAAAAATGAATGTCAAGTACGCCTCCTCCCACCCCTCCCACTAGGTATAGAGGTAACATATTGGGGTTTGCGGTATGGAAGATTGGTTAGACTTTGGCATTTGCAGATTTACCAAATTGAAAACTGCATTTAATGCAACTAAGCCAGTTTACAGAAACATTTAGACACCGTCCACCCTTTCCCACTGCCAGCGTATACAATACATTCATCTACAAAAATACACGGTTACTACACTTTAGGTAAAGCACCCTGAAAACATTCATCTACAAAAAACATGGTCACTACATTTTCGATGAAGAGTTTTGACACAGGTTCCTGGTGTGAAAGGGTTATATCAAATGTAAGGAATATTATTAATATGTTACAGGATGATTATTCAAGTACATTAATTGTTTAAACCGGGTGAAAGGTGAATTGTTTAACATTCAGATTTTTTTTTTTACAAGACCAAAGAGCAGAATTTGTCCTGTACGTTACATCTACTGCCTGAAGAACAATCATGAAATTGAAAAAAATATATTTAAGTATGTATGACAACATATTAAAAAATGTATTTAAAAATCTATAATTTCTGAAATTCAAAACAAGCACTTAAGTATAGGGTAGAATTTTTGTTAGTGACATTCATTTCAGTAAGAAAAATAAGCAAAAGTATCAGTAGTAATTGATATTAGCTGTACGATCAGTTTGTCAAATTTACGCTGCAAAATGATAAAATAAAGCCTATATTTTTAGTATTTTGTTTCAGTCATCAAAATTAGTTTTACATTCAAAATGTTATCCTATTGAGTCATGATCCTTGAATTCATAACCTTGAACTCGCTGACATTCTTAACAGAGAGCTGCTTTGTCCTTAGGTGCTATGATACAGATGAGACATGTTAAACTGAAGTTCCATCTGTGCCTTTTCAGGTGGACATTAAAGAACCCATTGTCACTATCGGAAAAGAAAAGGTAGTTTCTTCCAGTGTCGAGACCAGCAATCCACCAGATAAAAATTGTTCACTTTAATTGGTGTTTGTGGGACACTGCTTTGCGCAAATTGGCTGCTGTGTTCGCCTACAAAATATACAGTCACTGCAGTTTGCAGTAAATCCTGTGAAGCGTTTCGAGATGTTTTGTTGACGCAATAAACCGCTATATCCAATGAAAGAAGAATTAATATAATGTGAGAACTTTCCCTGCAAACTTTTAAGTGCTATTGTATAACAAACAATTAAATTCATGGGGTATCAATTCAAAGTATATGGAGCTAGAGTGACACAGCCACTACACACATTAAGGGAAGCCCTTTTTACATTAAAAAAAATCATTGTCAGTCAACTTGCTATTTTACAATGCAAAATTCAAATCATTCACAAAGTCAACTTAACATAGTGGAAACATTAAAATGTTAAAGAAAGAACATGACTGTTTTGGTCTGAGAACTCTTACTATATTGTAGCATGCATTGGAGGAGTGGGGAAGGGTCAGATTCTGTGAAGCACTTAGAGACGTCTCAACGATGTGAGAAGGCGCTGTATCAAACACAGTGTATTATTATCATGGAAGATGAGTGAGAGAGATTTAGAGGATTATTTCCTGCACTGAGCCTTGGAGAGTATTCCTCTCTGAGCGAGAGACTGAGTGAGTGCTCCTCTCAGAGGAGACTAATCCACACAGACTGAATATGACTTTTGCAAAGCATTTGTTCCCTCTCTGGGTGCAGCTGGGTGCACCCACTCCCACTCCCCCAATTCCCCTCCCTTCCCACCCCCCCCCCCCCCCACCCACCCCCACCCACAGCTGAGGAAAGATTGACTTTGGGACATACAGAGCTTTGCCACTTTATAAAACTAACGTGATTGCCCACAAAAACTGTGTTTGAGTTAGCCGTTTGCTAGAGTACCAAAGTCCTTCAGTAATCTCAACACATGGTCAGCATTTTTTTAGTACCTGAGAAAAGTTTCTTGAGTAAAGAATGGCTGCTGAGCCCCACACCAATTCCAATGATAAGTTTCAATACTCTGAATGACATTTGTTTTAAAAAAAAAGTACACCCGAAAGATCAATAGCTTCAGTTTCAAATAGACTGCACTAACTACTTGTGCATCCAAGGCAATATTTTTAATACCTATTCCAGGCCGGAGACCAAAAACATAATTTCTGGTCACTCAATCCACGACTGTTTGTGGGACACTGCTGTGTGCAATTGGCTGCTGCATTTCACCCTGAAAATACACAGTCAATTCACTTTACAGTTTATTCTGTGAATCGCTTAGAGACGTCTCGAAGATGTGATGAGGCGCTATATCAAATGCAAGGATTATTATTATTATTCAATCGCACTCGACTTTGTGACAGCTGTAAAGTGAAGCCTACCCACAGAGATCAAACTTCGCCCTCTGTTAGTCAACAAGCAAAGCAACCCACTGGCCTCAGTCAATCACTGTGGCCGTTACGTCCTTCATCATAAAATCTTTGAAGAAGTCTTCGACGTCAAAGTCTGCGGAGGTGGTGGATTGGAACTCCTTCGCGAAACTCAAGTCCGCGTGGTGCGTGGTGATCGAGTTCAGGAGATCCTCGCTCTCGGCACCACCCATGTTGTACATGCTGGTCATCTCCATACGTCCTTCGTAGTTCAGGTCTCCGAGACTTCCCATGAGAGTCGACTGTGAGTTGATCTCATCCGTTTTGGCTGTGTTTACCAAGCTGTTGTGCAGCATCTGATTGCTCTGCAGGCACTGCTGGGGCATGGTTGACAGATTCGGCACTTTCCACATCCCTGAGACGGACGTACAATCCCTCCCTTGGCTCACGCTCCCCAAGCGCACGTCGTTGTTGCCAAGCAACCGCACGGGGACGGCTTGGCTCTGGCCAGCGGTGTCCAAGGAGCAGCTGAAAACTCCGGGCTGTTGAATGGATTGGGCTCCGGTGCCATTGACGTTTTGCCTGTAAGCCACCTGGATGAAAGGAGCGTTTTGTGTGTGTGTTTGCAAACAGTTCAGCACATCGTCTGTGAGCACAGGCAGAATTGCACCATTCCCGTGAAGGTAAGTCTGCCCGTCCAGTTTCTGAGCCCCGCAGTAAGGGTCGGGCTGATCCACTGTTTGAGTGCCGTAAGTGCCATGTCCGTTCATGTTGTAAGAGGGACGTACGTCCATGGTCTGGGGACCAGGACCGTACGTGTTGACTGCAGGCGCCACCCGATGCCAGCTTGAAGCAACAGTGGTGGGAGGCCCCACTGCGGTCTGCTGGGGGGCAGGAGGGAAGAATATATGGTGGTTCTGACTGACGGTGCTGTTGGGGTGATGCTGGCTGAGGTCTGGTGGTGCTTGCTGCGGGCAGGGGAACGAGCTGAGAGGCTCTGCACGAAAAGAAAAAGAGCAGGAATTATTTTTTTGACCGTTATGTTACACCGGATTCACAGACATCGGCCGAGCAGCAAGGGAACGTTCTGAACTGATAGGAGCTGCTAAGCATCGGGGATGGAAACTGTGACTCGTGATGTGTCAATAAACACATCATTGAAATGTTCAGTTTGTCAATAACTAAAGATATTCACCGGTCCACACGTTTAACACTATCTCCAGGGTCAACTGGACAGTTAAGATGGTGAAAGGAAGTTTTGCCAAACTAAAAGGCAAGCATCTTAGTCCGGCTGCTTTAAGGATCTACACTGGGAGAGTCGCAAAAGCACTATAATAATAATAATCCTTGCATTTGATATAGCGCTTTTCAAGTCGGGAGGACGTCCCAAAGTGCTTCACAGAACACACTGTAAAGTGAATTGACTGCATATTTGTGGGCGAACGCGGCAGCCAATTGTGCACAGCAATGTCCCACAAACAGTCGTAGATTGAAAATGACCAATTTATTATTGTTTTTGGCTTTGGAGGGACTATTATTAGGCTCTGTGTGGAGTAAGGAAACTTGCCCAAGGTTTCGCCCTCTGCCTGGAATTGAACTCAGGTCTCTCGCTTGTAAAGCGAGTGCTCTAACCACTGAGCTACAGGACTCCACGACTCCTATGACATAGGAAACCCAGATGTGTTGTATGTAACGCTCGTGTCATGAGTGAAGCTCTGAACTCTGTTCGGGTGTCAATCTCCATCCTGACTGAATATTAAATACTGAAGGGGGTGTGGGGATAAGGCAGGGCAATGGGATTGAATGAACCTCTTGTTTTGAGAGCTAGTGCAGTCTCGATGGGCCGAATGATTTCCTTCTGTGCTATAAACCTCTCTGGTTCTCTGACCGTGTGAATGACGCTTGTGGTGGGGTGGAGCCCCAGAGTGGGTTCAGCTCCGACACATCCAGGATTCGCTCTTTACAAATCCTTTTTGTTAATCTTGCAATTTAGATACCCGTGTCTTCAAGTTGAGCTGAAGGAAACTTGTGTGTGTGCATTCATACAGGTCACTTAGTGCTCTCCTACCTGTCTTAATCCTTGCGGTTGCAAATTGTCTTGAAACAACAGGGACTACAGGCAACCTGTCTGATCGGTTTGCACCTGTTAAAAAAACATATGTACAGTTTTACAGCTGTTCAGTGCCGTGCCGTAACGCAATGTTAAATCCATTACTTTTCTGTAGTTCCTGAAACTATACAAATGATATATAAATATTATGATAATCATTACATTTGAAATAAAACCTTATCACGTCATTGAGACATCTCAAAGCACCTCACAGAATATATTGTAAAGTGGATTGACTGTGTATGTTGTGGGTGAAATGTGGCAGCCGGTTGCTGTCTCGGAGAGTGCCTAACTATGGCAGTTTGACGCCGAGCCAGGGAGAAAAGGGAGATGAATGTAAGCGTGATCGGAGAGGAACATTTTCAGGTGCAATCTGGAGACCGGCAAAGAGTGGGGCAAGGCGGAGGACGGAGAGGTAGTGAGAAAACTGAACGGAAAGCCAACTCAGAATGCACTTAATTTCCTCTCAAAGCAAAGCCTTCAAACAGGTTGCCCTATGTTCCCACTCGGCCTACCTGCTGGAACTTCTCACGGAAACCAAGCTCATTCCTGACTAGACTTTCAGAGAATGGAATGGCCAGGCTGGAGATCAGTCCTCATACCCACCCCTACCCCCCACCCATGGGTTCCTTTCCAGCAGGTCAGTCTGACTAACCTTGAGTGAGGGGGAAGGTGGGGGCAAGATTTTAAGCTGAACTGAAGGACACAGCCTCTATCCATTCCATTTTCAAAAGTTATTTGCCCGCTAACAATGATAATAATCACCTTGCATTTGAATAGCGCCTTCTCACATAATAATAGCGCCTTATCACATCTTCGAGACGACTCAAAGTGCTTCACAGAATATACTGTAAAGTGAATTGACTGCATATTTTGTGGGCGAAATGTTAAGTGTTTAAGGATCCACTATGGGCAAGGTGGGCCAGCGTGTCTATAAAACAGAAGCGCACAGTGCCTGTCCCCTCTCAGCACTGGACATGGTGCAAGTCTTACCTGGTACCCAGTCCTGCATCAACTTCTGGAAGACTTCTGCTGTCCTCTTTCTCTTTTCATGAAAGCAGTTAACTGCACACAACAAGAGAACATAAAAATAAATACATAAATAAATAATAATCCTTACGTCTGATAAGAGTACCTTTCACGTTGGAGGTCGTCTGAAAATGCTTATAGGATTTATTGTAAAGGTAAGTGACTGTGTATTGTGGGTGAACAAGACAGCCAATTTGCACACAACAATGTCCCCACAAACAGCCATGAAGTGAATGGTCAATTTTACTTGGGAGATTATTTGCTAGGACTACGCGAGATATTGCCTTCTCTTTTCGAATAGTGCTATGGGATCTTTAAGATCCACTTGAGCAGGTGGACAGCACTTTGGTTTAACATTCCATCCGAAGGACAGAAGCTCCGTCAATGCAACATACCCCCAGCACTGCATTGGAGTGTCAGCTTAGACTACGTGATTCCAAGTCCTGACATGGAGCTTAAACCCATAACCTTCTAACTCAGAGGTGAGAGTGCTACGCTGAGCCAGGTTGACACATGGCATTCACGTTGACACAGTGTGAAAATGTACGAATATATTTCATCGATATTACAAATAGGAATTAATTTGTTGTGCAGGGGCATTATACAGGGGCAGAAGACTGCTATTAAGATACGTTCTAACCAGGACTTCCAAGTGCTAAATCTGTCCTGTAGTTTTATAATAATAATAATAATCCTTGCATTTCATATAGCGCTTTTCACGTCAGGAGGACGTCCCAAAGCGCTTCACACAACACACTGTAAAGTGAATTGACTGTATATTTGTGGGCGAACGCGGCAGCCAATTGCGCACAGCAATGTCCCACAAACAGTCGTAGATTGAAAATGACCAATTTTTTTTTTTTTTTTGGTTTTGGAGGGATTATTATTAGGCGTGTGGAGTAAGGAAACTTGCCCAAGGTTTTGCCCTGCTTGGAAAGGAAGTGAGATTTGGATTCAACCCATTTTACCTTATAAAAGATTAAAGAAAATTAGCAAGTGCTAGACTGGCCCAAATACCGTGAATCCCCAATTCATTAAATCTTCAGTTGATACAATTCGAAATGCACTCAAAGAATGTTGCATGTTTTATGCTTAAAATCTTTTAGTACTTAGCAATGCTAGTGTGACTGCTTCTAGATTCTGTGAGTTGAAAGCTTTAATTGCTATAACAGCCAATAACTAAGAGTTTATAATAATAATCCTTGCATTTGATATAGCGCATTATCACGTCGTTGAGGCATCTTAAAGCGCTTCACAGAACATAGTGTAAAGCCACTTGACAGTGTATTTTGTGGATGAAAGAAAAAGAGTTAGGAATGGAAGGTCATATTAAATCGAGTTGCCAATCTAGATGATACTTAAATGCAAAGCTCTCTGCAGGTGGACTGTACCTCTCTCATCTGGAAGGTATCTGAACTCCATGGGTTCACTGACTTCCTGATCAGAAGGTCTTCGAAGCTGCATTTTCACGGTCATGGGTTCAGAGATGTTTGTTTGGCAATAGGCTGGCGTTCTGAAGACGATGGCAACTTGTCGGTGGACATCAGCTTGTGAGAAGGAACCTTTGGCCTCCCAGTTGTGAGTGAAAAAACGCACTTCGATGTCATCTGCGCATGTAAATAAAAATAGTCAGGCGTTCACTCCCACTGCTTTTTGCACTCTGCATAAACTCTGGCATTGGAAACGTTCACCCACAGTTACACTCGCTGACCAATGCAGGGGTGGACTTCATTTGATCTAATCTCCATTTATTCCCCCCTACATAATAGTTCCAGTCTGCTCAGCCCTCCGCTGAATTGGTGACAGGCCACCTACTTGTCTTTTTGTTTCTTTGAATAAATTACCTATCAACTCCTTAAACTTGAATTCTACTTCTGTTTTGCAGCCATTGGAACACTGTAAAGAAGGGACAGTTGGAGTAGCAGACATTTTCAAAGCCACGCACCAAGCGCTTGGCATTAAATAATGCTAATCCTTGCATTCAATACAGTGCCTTATCATATCTCCGAAGCGCCACAAAGCGCTGGGCAAGATTTACCGCAAAGTGTAATGACTGTGTATTTGTAGTTAAATGTGGTAGCCAATTTGCGCACTGCATTGTCCCAGAACAACCATGGAGCGTGTGACCGATTTTATCTGGAGAACTGTTGGCCAGCACAAGATATTGGTCTATAAAGAGAATGGTGCCTTTAACTATTTCATCCTTCTTTATCTCCACTGTTGAGTTCTCTGTCAAGTGAAGTGCTCCAGACAGCTGTCCTTTGGTCATCTCCCTCTCTCCTCCTTCCCCACATCTTCCTTGCTCTTAATAAGAAAGTACAGTGTGGCCTTTAAAGACACAGTTCATGTTCTCTCATCTTCCATCGTGACATCATCAGCTCTGCACCCATTCAGGGTGCACCCATTCACCCATTCAATGATTTTACAAAAATCATTCTAGGTTGCAACACAGCAACTTCTGCTATTGCCAATTTCTTTTAACAAAAAAGGAAGAGGCATTTCCACACTCATCAGCAAAGTCAATTCAGTCCGTCCACACTTTAGTGGTTGTGATATGCTGAATCATCACAAAATCCTAAATGCTAGATCCAGTGTGATATATCGCACACTTTCTGACCTCTCTCAATCCACTCCTTGCCTCCTTCAGGCAACAAAGATGAGATTTGCCACTTTGCTTTCAACAGAGCGGGAAGTAAGATTGAAACTTCCTGCTCTTCATTGTTTGAATTGTGGCTGAGGAAAAGCTCCACATGATTTCAGCGTTGTATGTGTGTGAGTGTGCGGATGCATGAACAGAACCCTGAATTCAGATATTAATAACAACAACAACAAGATTCCATTTATAGAGCGCCTTTCACGGCGGGAGGACGTCCCAAGGCGCTGTACAGTTGGGTCAGGACCTGAGCAGAGGGGAAATGGTCAGGGTGAGGGGAGGGAAGGGAGGGAGCGAGGAGGGGGTAGAGAGTCGAGAGGGGAGCTGAAGGCACGGTCAAAGAGAAAGGTCTTGAGACCAGCCTTGAAGGAGGAAAGAGAGGAAGCGACGAAGGCACTGGGGGATAGAGTTCCAGAGCCGAGGGGCTGAGAGGCTGAAGGCCCGGCCACCGATGGTAGGGCGGTTGGGGCGGGGGATGTGGAGCAGACCGGAGCCAGAGGCACGGAGGGTACGGGCAGGTAAGTAGGGGGCTAGTAGGTCAGAGAGGTAGGAGGGAGCAAGGCCGTGAATGGCCTTGTAGGTGAGGATGAGGATCTTGAATTCGATCCTCTGGGGGATGGGGAGCCAGTGGAGGTGAGCGAGGGTGGGAGTGATGTGGGCGCGAAGCCTGGTGCGGGACAGTACACGAGCTGCAGAGTTCTGAATGACCTGCAGCTTTTGGAGGGAGGTGCCGGGAAGGCCGGCGAGGAGAGAGTTCCCATAGTCCAGCTTTGAGGTGATAGAGGAGGAAAGGTAGAGTTGGGTGTCATCCGCATACATGTGGAAGTTAACCCCATGTCTGCGGATGATGTCACCGAGGGGGAGCATAGAGAGGGTGAAGAGGAGGGGACCGAGGACAGAGCCCTGAGGGACACCACACGAGACAGTGCGGGGGCTGGAGAAAAAGCCATTCGTGCAAACAAAGATATGGCTAGCTAGCACCTTATCACAGCTCACAGAGCTTCCTATCAGTTTCCTGACTGTATTGTAGGCAGTAGCAGCAAATTTACACACAGCATTCTCCCACAAACAGTCATGAAGTGAATGAACAATTTTGTATCTGGAGCCAAGATACTGGGAGAAACTCCCTATTATGTTTCACAATGTTATTAAAAAGCCTCTTTAGTAACATTAAAATATGAACTTTCTGCAATTACATTTTAAGAAAAAAATAATCTTACATTTTAAGACTAAATGGAATTTGGGGCCTAGATTTTTGGGATAGTTTATTAGCGAAGGTCAGATCTGATCACCAGGGTCCAATCTGCACTTTGTTCTAAAATCTTTGCATTTGGTATAGTGCCTTATGAGGTCAGAAGGATGTCTCAAAGTACTTTACAGGAATTATTGTGAAATGGAGTGACAGTGTATTTGTAGGCAAAATCTAGGTCTATAACAAATTACTCAAACACAATAAATCAGTATAATCTAGAATTCCATCAACCCACAGTTACCTTTTTGAACCTTGTCACACAGTAGGAAAATTTCATCTCCTCCTTTAACACTTCCAGTGTTTTTGTTGATGCGACAGATTTTTAGCTCGGCTGTATTCGGGGCTCCTGTGAAGAAGAAAGGCATCGTAAGCCATTGCCACTGGTGCCATGAATGTATGCTAAAGTGTTTGACTCAAATAGAACTCAAAAATGCTAACATTGTGGATCAACAAGTGTTCCTCTTGAAGGTTGCAAGGTTATTGACACCCTATCACAGGGAGAAGCACTTTTTCATTGTAATCTGTGTTTTCAGTACCGCCTTCCATCACCTCTGAAACATCGCCAGACTACAGCACTACCTCACCCCTCACGCTGCTGAAACTCTGGTCCACACCTTTATCACCTCTCTCTTCACTGGCCTTCCCGGCACCTCCCTCCACAAGCTGCAGGTCATTCAGAACTCTGCAGCTCGTGTACTGTCCCGCACCAGGCTTCGCGCCCACATCACTCCCACCCTCGCTCGCCTCCACTGGCTTCCCATCCCCCAGAGGATCAAATTCAAGATCCTCATCCTCACCTACAAAGCCATTCACGGCCTTGCTCCCTCCTACCTCTCCGACCTACTATCCCCCTACTTACTTGCCCGTACCCCCCGTTCCTCTGGCTCCGGTCTGCTCTACAGCCCCCATCCCAATCATTATACCATCGGTGGCCGGGCCTTCAGCCTCTCAGCCCCTCGGCTCTGGAACTCCATCCCCCAGTGCCTTCGCCGCCTCCTCCCTTTCCTCCTTCAAGGCCGGTCTCAAGACCTTTCTCTTTGACCGTGCCTTCAGCTCCCCTCTCGACTCTCTACCCCCTCCTCGCTCCCTCCCTTCCCTCCCCTCACCCTGACCATTTCCCCCCTGCTCGGGTCTTGACCCAACTGTCCAGCGCCTTGGGACGTCCTCCCGACGTGAAAGGCGCTCTATAAATGAAATCTTGTTGTTGTTGTTCAGTAAGAAATCTCACTGTGTGTCAAATAGACTCATCGAGACTCTGGTTCCAAGGCCACTTCAGATCAGAGCCAAGTCAGGAAACCCAAACCCTCAGAGTCTGATACAGACCGACGACTGTCGGATCAGGGACGAGGTTTTTCGGGAGTGGGTGAGACTCCGGGCTTCATTATCAGCAACTACTCACACAAACACCAGCTTTCAGTGACTTGGGACACAGGTCCATCAACTATTGGTTGGAAATGTTAGCTGTTGGTAATATACTGAAATCTAATGGGAGGAAATAGCCTCACACATGTTGACGCGTAGAAAAATACACGAGCCACATCCCACCCATGACTCCCCAGGAGGCCACTACAGTTATTTAAACAATAAGATACTAAAGGCTGATTGGCATTGGTCTTTATCAGACTTTGAGTCATTGGGATTTCTGATTTGGGATTTTCAACAAATCTTGAGACATTTAAAATAGGGTTTGTGACCTAACTGGTGATTTGCGAACAACTCATTTTTGACCTCATTGCCTTAGGCTGCCATTTGTGTGAGATTGTCATTGATTCACATTTGTGCTGGAAGCACAGCAGAGATGGGACACTGTAGGATTTATAGTGTAAGACTAGACGCTGTAGGATTTACAGTGTAAGATTAGATGCTGTAGGGTTTAAGTGTAAGACTAGACACTATAGGGTTTACAGTGTAAGACTCGACACTGTAGGGTTTACAGTGCAAGACTAGATGATGTAAAGCTGACGTAGGCCAGTGAACAGGAGAATGTTAGTAGGCAACAGTGCGATATTGTTACTCACTGTTATCGTATATAGGGTTCGAGATAACTGGCGGAAGAGCTCTGGTAAACGTGCCATGTTCATCTGGAAGAAATACTTGGAAACACAGCCTCACCACATTCAGATCATAGTCTTCAATTTGAAGCAGTTGCTCCTGTGGGACTGGAATCAAAAGAAGAAAACATCAAAGCATGTCACAGGGGGAAATGGTGAGAATAGATGTATCAAAAGCAAAGGCTAAGTTAAATGGGCTTGTTCTCATTGCTTTAGCGATAGGCTGAAGGATGTGGGTTTACACTCTTGAGTGCATTTGGGTCACACCTCTTTCCCACCACACAAATACAAGAGAATTCAGTCTCAACCACCAAATGAAAATGCCTATTCAAAACAGCCAACCCGCTTATGAAGGGGGAAAGTTGTCCATTTAAAAAAGATTTCACGTTGGGAATCTGAGCTCATAATAATAATCCTAGCATTTGATATAGCGCCTTTTCACGTCATTTTTTTTTTATGGCACAGAAAAGGCGAGGACATGCAGCAAACGCGATTTAGGCAAGCGGAGGAGAAGAATAGAAGCATCAACTCCTCCCACTACCTCCTACAAATGCTCACTGACGTTTGCTTGTGGTGAAAGCCTTTCAGACTATCAAGCGCTTTAGCTGTTCCTCACAACAAAAGCGGCGACGTCTGATAAGGTCAAACCATAAACCGGGTCACACTGCCTTTTGAACAATATGACGACTAAACATAAAAGCTGTTGTCACGGTCGAGTCATCGCACCTCCGCCCGTGAATAGGCAATGTCGCAGCCCACTTTGTGTGTGTTTTTTTAACCGACGTACGTAACAAGAGGAAAACCTTCAACCAAAAAAAAGGTCAAACAAAGATGTTAGATTTTCGATTCAACTTTTTTTAAAAAAGAAACTCTCATTATTTTGAAAACGTTTATTGGCCTTTTGCCACCTCAGCTCATCACTTATTTGTGCACCGGATTTGAATTTCAGCGCTGACATTTACAGCTTTTTATTTAATTAAGTATCACCCCCTCTTCCTCCCCCCCACCCCAGTTCCCCAAAGGATCTGACTCATTCTAGGGTATGCTGCACAGTTACTTGTCACCAATTGTTTCCTGCCCTGGGTGACCATTCTTTGTTCTCACCCAAAATCCATGTCAAGTCTGTACCAACCCCTAGATAGTGATCAGTAGTGGGGAAAGCTGATTGATATTTCTCTCCCTAGGCCAGGTCGAGATCAAGATCAACTATAGTGCCCACTGCAGCAACCCTACTGAGATCAATAACTCAGCAGTCAACCAAACATGGGCCTTCCCTTTCCCCACGTTTCAGCGCCTCACTGAACGAACCTGCTGAACCACTGAGGGAGCCACACCACATTGTTTGAACAGTTTGCAGATCACAAGCAAAGTTATTCGAAAGAGAAGGGGAGTTTCTCCCAGTGTTCTGGTCATATATCAAAATATAAAATTATATGATGAGGGGCAGTATATAAATGCAAGTTCTTCAATATTGTGTTATTTGAAATCTCCAAAAAAAACTTAAATGAATGCTGGCCTTAGGATGAGATGTTAAACCAAGGATTTTACTGTGAAATGTAGTAACTGCGTATTTCGCTGGGCAAATGGGACAGCCAATTTGCACAGAGCAATGATCTGCAAACAGCCATGAAGTGAATGACTGATTTTACTTGGTTGATTGTTGGCCAAGACACCGTGATAAACTCCCTTCTCTTTTCACATTGTGCGATGGGATCTTTATTGTATTCATTGAAAGATGAAAAATATACATTATTAAAAAATTCCTAACTGTAAGTTACTTACTAACTGTAAGTTAGCTTTATACCGTGTTTTTTAAAGTTAATCCTTGTATCTTCTGTCCCCTTGTTAGAGATTTCCCACTATTCCCCAGTTATAATAAATATAATAATAATCCTTGCATTCAGTCACGTTAACGAGACGTCTCAAAACGCCTCACAGAATATACTGTAAAGTAAATTGTATATTTTGTGGGCGAAACACGGCAACCAACAGCACACAACATAGTTTACACCACCCAAATTAAGGGGAGGAAAGCATAAACATAAACTGCCTTTGAACATTTTTCCATCTACATTTAATGATTGCTCTTGCCTCTTGTTGACCCTTTCCATCATTAGCAGCCTCCGTCAACTTTCTGCGCCTTCTGGCTTGTCTCAGCAAAAGCTGCTGATGACCCAAGGGTAACAGCCAAAACAACTCAACCTCCGACGTTACGGGTGCACACCTGCTTCTAGCCTATTGGGAAGTGTAAGCCAGAAGCCCTGTATTCAAATCATCCTCTGACTTTCTCTACCGAACTGTGTGGAACTACCTACCCTCTGTTCAGCTTGTTCCCTGATCAACAGAGCTGAGAGCTGAATTATTGGCAGACACCTCTGACTCAAAGGACAAGGCATTGAAGCATCACCACGCCACTTAATTCTAAATCCCCCAAAAGTTCATCGCTTTCTTTCTGATACCAAGATTTTCACCCCAAAGCCGCCCACTGGCTGTACCCTCCCTGCAGGAGAGGGGGCCCATCATGGTTTCGTCCACAAGTGCGACGGGTGTACAATATCAGCTTTTGCTTATCAGTTCCCCCACCCACCTCGGAATATTCAACTCCTACACCGGAACCAGGGTAACAGCCAAAACAAATCAACCCACGCTGTGAATAGGCAGGTTGGAACGGAGTCGAGACAAAGATTGCCAAGTGGCCTGACCTTGAGCGGCGGGGGGAGAGGGGAGGGGTTTGAAGGTAAATACACTTAAAGAAGCTGAAACACCGGGCGATGTGAAATACTATCAATCTGATTCAGCATTAGTAGTTTTTGCTGAGACAAACTAGCAGGTGCAGAAGGTTTGACGGAAGCTGCTAATGATGGAAAGGGTCAACAAGAGGCAAGAACAATCATTAAATGTAGGTGAAAAAATGTTAAAAGGCAGTTTATGCTGCTTTCTCCCCTCCTCCCCTTTTTTCTCTCTCTATCTGGCATGGAAAGTATCACTCTTAGAAGAACCAGCACAGACACGATGGACTGAATGGCCTTCTTCTGTGTTGTGGATTTCTACGGTTCCCTGCTTTTGAAGATAGTATCACAGTACATCGGATGTGAGCCTGGCTCACTCGCTACCATTCTTGCCTCTGAGTCAGAAGGTGGTGGCTTCAAGTTCTGACATTTGCACTTTGAGCTCACAATAATCTGAGGGGCCACTCCAACTTGATACTGTGAGAGCACAGCATTGTTAGAGTTGCCGTGCTTCAGAGTGAATAAGACCTTAAATCCAAGTTCCGCCTGCCTGTTCAGTTGGATGTTAAAGATCACATGGCACTATCCTCTCCCCATGTCCTGGCCAACAATCCCCCAAATAAAATTGATCGTTGATTCGTGGCTGTTTGTGGGGCATTGCTGTGCGCATATTGGCTGCATCATTCACCTGCCAGATGGGCATTCATTCTACTTTACAGAAAAATCCTGTTAAGCTCGTTGAGATGTTTGATGCCGTGATAAGGCACTGTATCAAATGCAAGGATTACAATAAATATAAAAGTGTTCAACACATAACAATAATAATAAAATAATCCTTGCATTTGATATAGTTCTTTTCACGTCTTATAGACGTCTCAAAGCGCTTCACAGAATATACTGTAAAGTTAATTGACTGATGGTAGGATGGGTCGGGCGGGAGACATGGAACAGGCTGGCGCCCGCTGAACGGAGGGAGCAGGCAGGTTGGTAGGGAGCCAGCAGGTCAGAGAGGTAGGAGGGGGCAAGGCAATGGATGGCCTTAAAGGTGAGGACGAGGATCTTGAACTCGATCATCTGGGGGATCGGGAGCCAGTGGAGTCGGGCGAGGGTGGGAGTGATGGGGTCGCGGAGCCTGGTGCGTGAGAGTACACGAGCTGCAGAGTTTTGGATGATCTGCAGCTTGTGAAGGGAAGAGTTGGGAAAGCCGATGAGGAGGGAGTTCCCGTAATCAAGCCTTGTGTGGGTGAGGGTTTCGGCAGCCTGAGGGGTGAGGCAGTGGCGGAGTCTGGCAATGTTGCGTAGGTGGTGGTAGGCAGTGCCGGTCATGGCGTGGATGTGGGGGAGAAAGGATAGTTCAGAGTCAAACAAGATACCCAGGTTCCTGACTGGCTTAGTGAGGTTGAGTGTGCAGCTGTGGAGGCTGATGCTGCCAGTGCCTGAGGTGTGGAGGTGCTGGTGTGAGCCAATCAGGAGGGCCTCGGTCTTGCTGACATTGAGTTGGAGAAAGTTGGCCCTCGTCCAGGACTTGATGTCGGACAGGCAGTCGGTCAGGACCTCAGTAGTCCTGGAGTTCAGGGTGGAGGCAGAGAGATAGTGTTGGGTGTCCTCCGCATACATGTGGAAATTTACCCCATGTCTGCGGATGATGTCACCAGGGGGGAGCATGTAGAGGGTGAAGAGGAGGGAACCGAGGACAGAGCCCTGAGGCACATGCATGAGGCAGTGCAGGAGCTGGAGGAGAAGCCGTTTGCTGTGATGAAGTGGAGGTGGTGTGAAAGATAGGACCTGAACCAGTCAAGGACACAACCTTGAAGGTTGAGGTGCGAGAAGAGGCGGTGGAGGAGGATTGAGTGGTCCACGGTGTCAATAGCGGCGGAGTGGTCGAGGAGGATGAGGAGGCAAAGGTAGCCCTGGTCACACATGGTCAGGATGTCGTTTGTGACCTTGACCAGAGCAGTTTCTGTGCTGTGGGCAGCGCGGAAACCCGATTGGAGGGGTTCATGGAGGGAGTGGGAGGAGAGGAAAGAGTGAAGCTGGGAGGCAACGGCTCTCTCAAGGACCTTGGATAGGAAAGGGAGGTTTGAGATGAGCCGGTAGCTGGATAGCTGTGATGGGTCAGGGGAAGGTTTCTTCAAGGTGGGGGTGATTGTGGCTGTTTTGAGGGGGAAAGGAACAGTGCCAGATTACAGGGAGAGGTTAATGATGTCAGCGAGTAGTGGGGCAAGAAGGTGGAGCTGGGATTTAAGGAGAGGTGTGGGGATGGGGTCCAGCTAGCAGGTGGTGGGCTACATGGAGGTTATGGTGGTGAACACAGAGGAGGGGGTGGCAGGTTCAGAGGTTTGGAAGGAGGGATGGGTAATTGTCGGATGGGTAATTGTATGGGGTGGGGGTTGGGAGGGGGTGGAAGTTGGGAGGGCAGTGGCAGCTGAGCGGATTGAAGTGACTGATTTATTATTGGCTTTTTTCTTGAGGGATTATTATCAGGCATGTGGAGTAATGAAACTTGCCCAAGGTTTCGCCCTGCTAGGAATTGAATCCATGTCTCTCGCTTATGCCTTCGCCTTGCTTCCTCCCTTTCCTCCTTCAAGGCTGGTCTCAAGCTCAGTGTCCTGTAGCTCAGTGGTTAGAGCACTCGCTTTGCAAGCGAGAGACCTGAGTTCAATTCCAGTCAGGGCGAAACCTTGGGCAAGTTTCCTTACTCCACACAGAGCCTAATAATAATCCCTCTAAAACCAAAAACAATAATAAATTGGTCATTTTCAATCTATGACTGTTTGTGGGACATTGCTATGCGCAATTGGCTGCCACATTTGCCCACAAATATACAGTCAATTCACTTTACAGTGTGTTCTGTGAAGCGCTTTGGGACGTCCTCCCGACATGAAAAGCGCTATATCAAATGCAAGGATTATTATTATTATTATTATTTCTCTTTGACCGTGCCTTCAGCTCCCCTCTCGACTCTCTACCTCCTCGCTCCCTCCCTTACCTCACCCTGACCATTTCCCCGCTGCTCAGGTCCTGACCCAACTGTCCAGCGCTTTGGGACGTCCTCCCGATGTGAAAGGCGCTCTATAAATGAAATCTTGTTGTTGTTGTGAGGCGAGTGCTCTAACCACTGAGTTATAGGACTCCCTAAAACATGACACTTTTAAAATGCAGGAGGTAAGATGTTGCATGACATCAAGCACCGGCACAAATCAGTTTTTTTAAATTATTTTGGGGAAGAACATCTCCGGGAGGCATTCAGCAGAGGTTTTGTTTTAAAGAACAATACAGTTGTTCTTTAACCTGTCCCTTCCGCTTATCAGAAAATGACAAAAAAGGAAGATCTTTTGCTTAAAATCAACCCTGAACAAAAATGCATCACTTTTTTCTGCTAGAAACATAACTTAAATTGCGACTTTGCAAAGAAAGCAAACTCATTTCTCAAGTCTTCATGATCTTAAAAGCCTTCAGAAGTCTATCGGCTTCGTTTAAAATGAGCCACATGAGAGCTGCCTGCAGTTTGATGTAGAGCAGATGGAAAATTAAAAGTGGAATATAAAGCCCGTAAGCCTAAGTAAAGATGACTGATAATATGCAATGTAAAACTACTGCGTTTCAACAACTCGGACAAATGCACTGGTCTCAGGGTTTCAGGAAATGAAGGCTTGTTTTTCCAAAACACCAGTTGTTAAAGTGGTACCCAAGAGGGTATCCTGGCCAACAATCCTCCAAATACACACACAGGCTTCAGTGCTGGACAGTGAGAAAGTGTGAGAGGAAGTGATAGGAGAAGGAGAGACAGAGAAGTCAAACACGCGATATTTACAGAATGAACTTGTTGCCTAAATTACAACTTCCTCTTTGCGAGCTGAGAACTGTGAAATTCACAGCCCTGCGAATCTTGAATGCCATCAGGAACTCACCACCCTGCAATCTGCTCTCATGAGTTATTCTTAAAGACCTTTGTATTCACCTCTTGGCGGACAAGGAGTTTGCAAACCAGAACCATATGAAAGTAACAAACCAGAAGAATTATTGAAGCTGGTGTTCAAATGTTGAAAACTGCACCTCAATGTCAGTTTCAACTCTACAAGTAATGGGGAGAGATTCATCAGAACTTCTTAACTTCTTATTCTTAAATATTTTTGCAGCCGTTTTTTTTCTGTGAGTTTCTTTTAAGAAACTCGAGTTTTTTTCATTTTTATTTTTTTTTGTTTGTTTTAAGAAACTCAGAACAACTTTAAAGCCAAGACTGAATTCATAATGGAATCCTGTAGGGTAGTGGTTTGAGCACTCGCCTCGCAAGCGAAAGGACCATGGTGCAATTTCTGGGTGGGGCGAAACCTTAAACAAGTTTCCTTACTTCACACGCCTCTGTTTACCTAGCAATAAGTAGGAAACTGATTGTTCGTCGATTGGGGATTGTTTTCCAGCGGTAATAATCCTTTCAAAAAAATAAAAATGAAAAAAAAANTTCGGTCACTCAATCGACAACTGTTTGAGACAGTCTGTGTGAAATAGGCCTCATGGGAGAAAGAGGAGAAGCAATGCAACATAATAATGATAATAATATTCCTTGAAATTAATAAAGTGCCGTATCACGTCCTTGAGACATCTCAAAGCGCTTCACAGAATATATTGCAAAGTAGATTGACTGTATTTTGTGGGCAAGAAGTGGGAAATAATTGCGCACAGCAGTGCCACAAACAGTCGTGAATTGAATGACCAATTTATTTTGAGGGATTATTACCCCTGGAAAGCGATCCACCAATCGACTGACTTGATGTATAGTGAAATATTCCTTGTAATGTCTGCTCGGCACTCTGAGTATATTATATTATTAATTATTATTGTTAATATTATTAAGATAATATTACTTATAATCCTTACATTTGATACAGCACCCTTCTTGTCAGCAACAATAACAACAAAATTACATTTATAGAGCGCCTTTCACGTCGGAGGACGTCCCAAAACAGGATGTCTCGAAGCGCTTCACTGGATTCACTGTAAATTATAGTAGCTGTGTGTTTTGCAGGCAAGTCACAATGTTCTATAAAGTAGTTTTATTGACAAAGTTATGGCATTTCAAAGGAAGCTAGACTCAAACGTAATGTCCTTTTGTGTATTTTAAGTAAAACAGCCTTAAGAAAAACAAATTCCTCTTTGACGCAGAATATTTGTCGAAAGAATGGGAGCTGGCAGACAGCAGACAGCATTCATTTCAAAATCCAGGCCCTGTTTTCTGTTCCCCTTTTTAATCACTAAAGATCACAGATGCCAGGCCCCTGTTAGTGCACTTAACAGCACGAAAATTACTAAAAAGGTTCAAGTGCCAAGGCGTTGCACACATCCGTCAGATGATGCATTTGCATTCAGGAACTGCTTTCGTGTTCCTCTTTCTTCACCACCGTCTGTTTACTATGAAGTTCGTGGTTGCTCTGTTGCTTGGATTAGAGCACAACCCTGCAGCTTATGACTTACCAATAGGAATACAGTCCTACTTGTTTATGTCGACATCACAAGGACCGAGCAGATTTTGTCGACATAAATGGGTTTCGCCCACAAAATATACAGTCAATTCACTTTACAGTATATTTTGTGAATGGTTTTGAAATGTCTGAAGGACGTGATAAGGTACTATATCAAATGCAAGGATTATTATTATTACTATTATTATTATAAGTGGGTTTCCACAGAAACAAATAAACAAAGTGCGTCAGGCACCGGGAAATGTAGTTTGTCCGGGTTTGGGGGACGACTGAGCGCTACGCTCTGCAACTCCAAGGGGGAGAGGGAGAGGTGACCACGCTTGCACCCACGTGTCCCAAAGTGAATCGTTTTAGTGCTTCAGAGATTATCCCTACTGTTTTTGTAGAACAGTAGCTCGCAATCTCCCCAATACTCTTCCCATGAATAATCTTAGGTTTATGGCTATTTGTTTACAAAATATTTCCTTCTGAACACCGTACAGCACTTAGTACAAGTATCTGCCCCAATGGCAGGATTGGGCTCATAGTCCTCTGTTCTTACCCCCTTCCCTAACCCCCAGCAAAAACCTCCCAACACTCATTGTCAAGGCCCCTACACGAATAGTGACCCGACCAGCACGGACACAACTCCGAAATATAATATGATATATTGTTACTCAATAATAATTATATATCAATTATATATATATACTGATTTGACATTGTTGTATCAAATAGTTATATAACGGCCTTACCATTAAAGGGGTTGAGACATCGCTGAATCCGGAACAAAATGGCTTCTTTTACCTCTCTCCTACGGACACACTGAATGCCTAAGTTCTGAAAACTAGAAAAGATGGGACATATTAATACACAATTCCACTATCAAATAGTCCCTTTTAGCACGAGTTACTTCTTAAAAAAGGAAAATAACATTCTTGCATCAAATTCTAAATGTGTACAAGTGAGACACCAGAACAACATGTATTATTATAATAATAATAGTAATCCTTGCATTTGATATAGCACCTTATCACGTCTTCAAGACATCTTGAAGCACTTCACAGAATATACTGTAAAGTGAATTGACTATAGCATCTTTCAAATACGTAGGACAGTGTCTCAGGCAGAGTACTTAAATATGACGGTCGGAGACAGATAAGAGGGGAGAAAGAGGACAGCTCAACAACAACAACAAAAATATTTCATTTATAGAGCGCCTTTCATGTCAGGAGGACGTCCCAAGGCGCTAAACAGTTGGGTCAGGAGCTACAGAGAGGGAAGAGAGAATAGAGAAAGGAGAGGCAGGAAGAGAGCAGAGAAGAGAGAGAGGAGAGAAAGGGGAAGAGAGAGGGTAAGAGAGGAATTAGGAGTGAAGTGAGGAGAGGGGAAACAAAGAGGGAGAGAAGGAAAGGTAAGAGAGGGAGATAGAAAGTGAGAAAAGAGCTGAGGTGAAAGAGAGAGAGACACACACACACACACATTATGCACACATACAGACATTTAACATGTTATACAAAAAAAATTGAAGAAAGAAAACTCTGTACTAAAATAACTACAAGAACATCAGGTGTAGAGAACGTAAAACTCTCTTGAATATTAATTGTGCATTGACTTCAAATCCCATGTTACCATGTTTATCTGCTCTCAAACAGTTGATATCAGCAGCAAGAATATGAATGAAAAGTCAAATGATTTCCAAATGGAAAAAGAGACATGATCCAGAACGGCTGAGTTGGAATCCTACTCGGTGCAGAAACAAGTACAACTTTCCTCCGCCTTTGTCAGTTTTTTTATTAAAAAAATATATAAATAAATGCTATTTAGATTTTTTTTTCTACCTCAAGCATGAGGCTGCTCTAAGCCGTGGAAAATTGTGAAGGAGGACAGCTCTCGGCTGATTTGCATAATGCCGCGGTTGAGTACGCTTAGGAAATCCCCACTGCATTTCCCACATGGAAAAACCATGACGTCACCATCGCACAATGGAATAGTGACTGGGAAGTAATAGTTTCAGAAGCAGCGGGTTGGAATAGCTGGGCTTGTGATTGAGGAAATTAGCTCTAATGCGGCGCTTTGACACTCTCCTCGACAAGATTGCGACATGCACTTTGTTGTCATACGCCTATTACCGCACCGGCGAAGAGACCACACGAGACAGCTCTCGACCTTGCTTTGAAACTGGAAACGCAGCCACCTGACCGATTGACAGCGGGGGTTGTTGAAGGGCAATTTCATTACAGGAAGCAGATCTTTACACACACACACACACACAGAGCAAATTAACAGTTTTGAATGGGGTTACCAGGAAGGGTGGTTGAGGCCGGGGATGCTGGACTGATTTTAACGCAACAGCTTGATGCATTATGTAAAGGGCATCCAGGTACAGGTGGGTATTCTGAAGGATGAGATCACAGTCTCTCTCTCAAGATTGCTCCTGGTGAAGAAGGCCCTTTGGACCCGTTTGATCTCTTCCTTTCCTCTCAAACACAGCTGAAAGGCTCTTCTTTATTCAAAGCTCTTGTGATATTATGATGTAACCTTTATTTTTATTATAAAACAATTGCTTTCCACTCATACTGTCAAATCTTAATGTACAGCGTTGAGAGATGGTATTATTCAGTTTGAATGACTCTATTTAGCCTCAGTGATTTCCAGTTATTATTTTCGATAAAGATGTCAGGTTTATCAATTTTGTATCTTTGGTGGGTCAAATTTATAAACTGTCCATCGTGAACAAGTGTTTCACATTTCAAACAAGATGTAAAATGTAGTATATATACTGTCCAAAATCCCCTGCTTACACCATATGTCGCAATGTCTTACACTACTCCGCACAGGCACACACCCTCAAAATTACACAGACATTCACAACGATACAAATAACAAAAGCAAAGCAATATTGGAAGTATTAGTCAAAAAGTACAGACACACATACACACAAACAACAGAAAGAATCATATTTTCCTTTCTTAGTTTTGCTCAGAAATTTAACAACTATTTATTCTCAAGCAACAGTGTATCAGAGTGACTTGTCTTGTTTCATTCCCTGGAAGAAAATCAACATAGGGAAGCTATCGTCTCAGCACATACAACCACCACCCCCTCCACCCCCACCCCCACACTTCCTCAGCTCAGTGGAAAAGAACTTTAGCCACATCAGTTGTCTTCATCCACTGACTTCTCAAATGGGGGAATCTTAAAATGCTATTTCATTTATTTTTGAATGTAAATAAATATACAGTAAACTCCTGATAACTCGTCACTCCAAGGTAAAACGGTTCGGTGACGAGTTATTCGGAGTGGCGAGTTAGGCATTTGTATAACTACATGAATAAATGCAGCTGGGATATTGACAGCATGATGTTTAAGTTGCCAGTGGCACATTAAGTCAGGGAAGAGTTATCAAGAATTTACTGTATATACAGTATATATATACACATACACACCTATTCTCACAAATGGAAAATAAATAACAGCGAGAAACAAAATGGGTCTGTCAAATTTGGATTTAAAAAATAATATTTGCCTACCACATTACAGTCACCACAATTTACAGTAAATTCCATGAAGCGCTTTGAATTGTCCTCTTAATTGTGTGAAACTTTCCTCCCCTTAAGATTTATGCAGCAAATTAGGGAAAACTTTTAAAGATTAGATGCAAGGATTCTTCTCTCAACCTGCTGGACATGAATTGAAAACTGTACTAAGGAAACCTGTCTGGATCAACAGAACTGAAGCATTCTCTTTGACTGGATTGGGGTTTTTTAAAACATATTTCTAAGTGTTCCGAGACACTACCTGCGAAAAGGACACTATGTAAATGCAAGTTGTTGTTAAAATACCCTCCTTCTCAATGGATCAATTATGTACTTTATGAACTCTTCAAAACACTGTGCAACAATAACCATGCTGTAAACAGGCTCAGAATTCTGGTGAATAATATTGTGAACAAAAAAGGCTTCGGTTCAAACATATTTGGGAAGACAGACAGTGTAGAAACAACTTTAAAGTAGAAAATAAAGAGACTCCCAACAGCGGGTTGGAAGAACCTAGTGGCAGAATGATTGACGAGAAAGAGAGCACCAGAAAATCAGGGTGAGCAGCGAACAGAGTTGGAAAAATAGAGTCAGGTAACATGTACAACAGATGGCTTTTAATAAATAATAATAAAAATCTTTGCATTTGATAGATCGCCTTATCACGTTGTTGAGACGTCTCAAAGACCTTCACAGGATATACTATAAAGTGGTGTGGACTGTGTATTTTGTGGGCGAATGTGGCAGCTAATATACGCACAGCAATGCCCCACAAATGGCCATGGATTGAGTGCCCAATTTTATTTGGGGAATTGTTGCCCAGGACACCGGGAAAAACTCCTTTCTCTTTTTGAACAGTACCATAGTCCCCCTATGGGACCTTAGTTTAATGGCTCATTTGAAGGACGGCACCTCTAACAATGTAACACACCACCCCCAGCACTGCATTGGAGTATCATCTTAGACCACATGATCTCAAGTCCTGACGTAGGGCTTGAAACCACTACCTTCTGACTCAGAGGTGAGAGTGTGACCAACTGAGCCAGGCTGACACAGGAAGATCATTAACCCCCAAAAAACTTGTTTTTGCTCCATAGACACGAATCCAAGGAAGATAACAGCAATGAATGGATGAATTCAAAGGAGATAAACAATCTAAAACCGCCCTCCAACAAAGGTCAAATGCATCATTTCGGACTGTCCCCCAAAGTGGTGAGACACAATGTATTTTTAACCTGTGACGAGCATTGAGTTACACATCAATAATTTTCATGTTTCACTTCCATATTTTTCAATGTTTTCTTTCTCAGGTCTTTGCCAAACACTGTTCCCCACTTACATTGCCTGTGTTCAAATCTGTACCGATTCTAGGCTATGTCCTTTACTTCTGTCCTTTACATCTTTGTCCTTTCGAATACCAGTGCAAACTTGCTGCTTGACTCACGCTGTCCAGAAATAGTACATTTCACATTCTTAATAACCATCCTCCTCTCCTCTACCCCCACCTCCATTTTGTTTTCCTTCCACACAACCTATTGGTGCCCTGGAAGACTTGAATCATTGGAAGATACAGAGGTACATGCAGCACCCATTTTCCTTTGGTACCTGTTGAGACAGCCCTGGTTTCTGCTCAGCGGATCCAACTCCCATCTGCCTGTCCTGGAGGACTATGGCACTGTTCAAAGACATCTGTACGCACATAAGTATATAGAGAAGGTAGAGCGTGAAGAAAGACCAGAGGGTTCATGGCCGGGGGCATTTAAGCATTCTGCCCCGCTCTCGGGAACTCCATCCTAGAGTCCCTTTGCCTCGTGCCCCCTCCCTCCCTCCCTCCCTAGGATTAAAGCCAACTAAAGACCTTTTGTTATCGACCATGCTTTTCGTCACCCTTCTCAGAAGTGCTCTGAGAAGTCCTATGTGAAAGGCTATATATAAATCGTTGTCAAGCCAAATTCCCCCCAACCTCATCTCCGATCAACGCTCTAACTACAGTTTTCTCCTTATTGTGAGTTCCCTTCCAGGGAGGTAAAAACAGACCAGAGAAACCCAACTGAAACTCCCTAAGGCCATTTGTTGGGAGTGGGAGGGGGGAGCCTTTTTGGAACGTTTCCTGAAGCAGTGCAAACTTGCACTGAAGGCAAATCCTAAAGGCAATTGAGTGAGCTCCAGAGGAGCGAGCAGAGGCAGGAGAGAGGGCAGAGCCAGGGGAGAGGGTAGAGCCAGGGTCTCTGAAGACTTGAAGTTTGTGGTGTGGTTATTGTGCTGTGCACACACACTGTCTTGTTTCTGTGCACAGTTGAAGCATTTGGAAGAAATGCAGTTTTAAGTATGGTGGAACCTTAAATATCCATCCCAAGAAGACATGAGGCAAAGGGAAGGCAAGTTAATGGGAGAAGAGCTTGTTGCTTCTGAAGCTCAAACAGACATCAATCCACAAACTTCAGGACGCTTTACTTCTTTTTCCAAAATCCTTTCATCCTTTTTCTATTAATTTTTCTGTGTGATTATATACATTCTATATAATATTGTACATGGGGGAAGGGAGCATTCAATACAAGGAGCAGTGTTATGATTGCAAAAGACATGGATTAGGTTGCAGTTGGAGTATTACGTTCAGTTTTGGACACCTTATTTATAGAAAGAGCATCACAACCATTGAGAGATTATAGCCATTGATGGCCTCCTTCATCTCCGAGGCTCAGAATTTCACCTAAGGTGATTCCAGGAATAAGCAGTGCAGATGGGGTCATATCAAACCCCCACTGTAGGGCTTGAACCCACTGCCTCAGAGCCGAGAGTGTTACCAGCTAACCCTGGCTGACACCTGTGGAAAACAGAGCAATGCACTCAGACTAGATAACTGCACAGACACAAATTGGGCCGTATGGCCTCCTTCATCTCAAGAGACTCAGAATTTCACCTAATCTTAGCCATAATGTGATATTGTGGCAGAATTTAGATATAGAATCTGTTTTTCTCTCCTCACTTCTTAGAAGAAGGGAAGCCTTGTGTTAGGACCCAATTTAAGAATTTTCTACAAATCAGTGCGATTTTTAAATTTTAGAACAAAAGTGGTCGCACAGGGTAAGACTAAGGCTACGCCCAGGGGTATGAAGTGATTTTCTCATGGTCTAGTCTGTACCATTTCCCACTCCAAAGAGAGCAGACATCCTACTTCCTGCCAGCCTGGTGCCAATTATACTCTGGAAGCAGCCACAGCCCAGCCCAGAGTGATTTGTAAATTTAATTTCTTCCTTTGTGGGGGAAAGTATATGGCCCTTCAGTTACTGCCTCCACTTAAGTTAACCAATTGGGAAACTTTCCATGAAGGGAATCACAAGCAAGAGCCTATATCTTACCCTCCATGACATACCCTGTGTCTGTATCTTAACCCTACGTGGTATATCCTGTATCTGCATCTTACCCTTCCATGACATACCCAGTGTCTGTAACTTATTAATAATAATCCTTTCATTTGATATAGCACCTTATCACATTGTTGAGACGTTGCAAAGCCCTTCATAGAATGTACTGTAAAGTTAATTGACTTTTGTATTTTGTGGGCGCAAAAGGCAGACGGTTAAGCACAGCAGTGTCCCTTGACAAACAGTCATGAATTGAATGATTACTACCCCAGGAAAGGACTAACAACTGGGTTCCTACTTAGGGCTAGGTAAAGAGAGGTGTGGAGTAAGGAAACTTGCTTAAGGTTTCGCCCTGCCTGGAAGTCAAAACCGGGTGCTCTCGCTTGCGAGACGAGTGCACTAACAACTATGCTAAGGGATCTTACCTCTCCGTGACATACCCTGTGTCTGTATCTTACCCCTCCATGCCTCTATGCCATGGTCTGTGTATTGGTGCAGCCTGACAGATGTTATAAGATATTTGCAGAAAATCCTTTTCTATCTGACAATTTACCTTTCAAACTGTCTCGGTAGTAACTAGCACCTTTTCTTAAAATGTTTCATTATGAACCAAACAGACATGCAACACTACGAATGAATGATTCCATTCTGTACTCTGTTTGCAGAGATGATTAATACAGCGGACCATACCTACCTGAAACTAACTTTTAATTGACGTTTAAATATTTACCAGAGAAGAATTCGTACTGGAATGAATTCTGTTTGGCACATTTCGCCAAACAGAGGCACTAAATGATGCCATCACTATGTCATTAATTACAACATTCCAAGACCAATTTGCTTTCCCCACTTCTACCGCAGGAGCCTCTGTACTCGTATTCAGTGCTTTACACTAGAAGTGAGTTAAAGTGGCAACACTGTTTCATTGCTTCCAAAAATGTAGAGTTGTTTGTTTTGCACGGAGTCACAAAGCTAAATATCCAAACCAATTCAAATGATTCACTGGTGAAATCACTCAGTTTAAAGGTATGAGATATCGCTATGGATTTAATCCTTAATTTTCCTCAAGTGACCATGAACATCTGTCAAAGATTGCGACTGAGTTGGAATCTTACGTTCCAGGTCATGGCATCAGCTAGCCTAATGTTATTCCATGGCCACCGCTTCTACAAAGGATAATCATTCACCTTTTTCTATGAGATAATCTATAATCCTTGTATTTTGACATGACATCTTTCACGTCGTGAGAACGTCTCAAAATTCTTTATAGAATTCACTGTAAAGAGTAGTAGTGACTGCGTATTTTGTAGGCGAATGTGGCAGCCAATTTTGCGTACAGCAATGTCCCACAAACAGCCAGACAGTGAATGACCAATTTTATCTAGAAGATTGTTGGCCAAGGACACTGGGAGAAATTCTCTTCTCTTTTTGAATAGAGCCATGCAATCTTTAACGACCCGAATGTCTCTTTACCTGTCTGCCACCCGACTCATATCTTTCGAGAAACCAAGATAACTTATGGGAGGTAGATCAAGATTCCTATTTCAGAGGGTTTTTTTTTCTTTCAGTAAGAAATCAATGGAAGTATGACTCAGAACTGCAATTAGAGTAAGATGATCAAAGAGAACCAAAAACATGAGATTCATCAGGCACGCATTTAAACCTATTCTGCGTAATCTGGGAGTTGACATGTAAAACTGTGAATGATTGATCCATTTTGTACATTTACAGAGATGAGTAGTGTAGGACCACACCCACCTGAAACTTAACTTTTGATTGAATGTAACATTCAAATGTTTATCGGACAAGATATCATACTGTAATACCCCTGAACATCTCACCAAACAATGCAAAAGCACTAAAACAACCTCACACCATATAATAAAGTAACGATATCCTTTGCGTTCAGGGCACATCTCAAAACCTCTTTCCCCTCCCAACCATCCTCCGCTCCCCTCTGCATCCCCACCCCCCCTCCAGCTCAGGTACCCATCTGGCATAAATTATATTGTAGTGTATTTAGTGTAAGGTGGAGTGTTTTTGCAAATGAACAAAGTAGCAGAATATTTACCAAAGAACTCTACGGTCCGGCCCGAAATCTGCTTCATAGAACCCCTCTCTACAGTCTTTCCCAACCAAGTCATGTGGATGAGGTTTGAAGGGTTCACTTTTCGTCACTAAAGTAATTAAAACTCTCCCTCTTCCGACATAATTCATGATCTGTGAATGCAAAAAAAAACCCCACAGATGTCAGCACAAACATTACCATCATATTACAAGTCAACATTGAATCATGCACAGCATTTCAGACGTTGTGGCTATATCCTTGTTCGTTTTAAAATTCGAAATGTGGTGGGAAGAACAAACTTGGTTTTGAAGGAAAATTAAGTTTGCATCTCTTCTTTGATTTCATCGATTACAAGATCGGTGTGGATGATCGGCCCATCTGATATTATCCCTCCTAAACACCCACCCTACCGTCCCCCCATCACAGCATCAAGCTGCTCTTTAAATGAGTCCCAGTGTCCTGACCTCTACCATCCTTTCTGGAAGCTTGTTACAGTCATCGATTAATCTCTAGCTGCACAATAACGCAATCACAGCCTTTCTTAGAAGCAAAACCCTGCATGTTACAAACAACAACAGGTTAATCTGATACACAATACCGCTACCACTGTACCCCGTCGTAACAATCCTTCCTTCGGGTGGAGGGATCTATTATAAGCCAAGGTGTGGAGTGGGTGTAGGCTTAAAATTCGAACCTGGACAGTGAGGATGCTAAGGTGAGGCAACATTTCTTCATACAGAGAGTAGGGAAGTTGTGGAACTCTCTGCCCCAGAGAGACAGCAGAGAGATACATGGATATTTAGGTAGAAAAGGTATTTTAAAGGGTGTGGTGAAAGGGCAGTACATTAATTAAAATATCTGTCAAGATCTAATACGCTGGCAGAACCGGTTCAATGGGCTGAATGGCTTTCTCCTGTTTTTTCCTCTATGTTTTAACGATGAGGTTTGACATGTGGCATCTTGTAATCACAGTAAGTCATAATGTCTCCTTTATACCTCTGCCCGCAATCACGTTCAGTCACCTTTCCCCTCCCACCATCCTCGGCTCACCCACACTCCCCCGAGCGCAGGTGCCTATCCAGCACTGTCAAGGGCTTTGAGATGTCCTCCTGACATGAAAGGAGCTGGAGAGTCAATGATTTGCATCCCGAGATGTAAGTTGGGATCAGGAGGGGTGGAGGACAGGGAGAGTAGGGGTAGGAGGGTGACCAAAGGCGTGGTCGAAGAGAGTCTTGAGACGGGTCTTGAAGGAGGCAAAGGAGGGGGTGAGGTGAAGGGACTATGGGGTGGAGTTCCAAAGGATCTGGGTAGAAAGGCTGAAGGCCTGACTGCCAATAGTGGGGCAGGCAGGGAGGGTGGGGAACATGGAGCAGACCAGAGCCCGCTGAGGCTGCAGGCATATCTGTGTAAGTTCAACCACTAGACAATGCCATTTATTTGGAGGATCATTGGGAATCGCTGAATTGGACATCACTAACTTGTAGAGCGATCTCTGCACCAGTCCAAGTCATTCGGGAAAGGCACGGTTACCTCCAGCACAAAGCAAACAGGTTGAGGTCACTACGGTTCGGATGTTTGAGTGGATCAGGTCAGCCTGCCTGGCATCCATGTTAGTTATTTGGGCAAAATCATACCCGCTTTTACGAGTAAGTTTGTAAATTTCTATTACCTTTCAAGTGAAATTTCTGCACTAGAGATGACAGGGGGCTTTTTTAGCCCCAAAAAAGTATTTTAAAGAATTGCGGGGTTCCCGCCGACACTGCGTTGAATTGCTTCAAAGGGACGTTGCGGGGATGTTTGGACGGAAGCCCCTGTGTAATACTGTACGTTTAGCAGAGCGTTCTACCTGTATTGATGGATATGTTCTGCTGTTGTCTGTGCTGTGCTCCCCTGGAATGCTCCCAGCTGATCGTCCTTCACACTTATACCGGAAACGCATGCCACGCTGCTTGGGCTGCTCGGCAATTTCCACGTAAGGTTCTCCTGAGAACAGAATATCACACAGTCACTGCAGAGAGAACTACAATACTCACACTCTTGTCATGCAAAGGTGAAAGGAGGTCATCATGGAAAACCTGCAGTTCTCAGCCTGTTTCATGTCTCTTCTCCCCTCTCCCCCTTCCCCCCATCTCCCCTCACCCCCAAACAATCTCACCATCGGCGGTCAGCCATTTTGCCCCCGCTCTCTGGAATTCCATCGCAGAGTCCCTCCCATTCGCTCGCTCACTCCTTACCCAAGTTCTGGACCCATCTCAAACTCTTTGGCTGCCCTTTCAGGCATCTCTCCCCTCCCTCTCTGCTCGCCCAGCACCCTCGGCTCGCACCCCCCACTCGGATGCCCAGGTGGGTTGAGACGTCCTCTCAACATGAAAGATGCCATATAAATCTTAACTGTATTGTATAGTTTTCATGAGATATTACGGGCATTTACCTTGAAGTATAAGCGGTGACATTGCAGATTGATGACATCGAACTGCAAAGAGAGGATGACAAAAATAAGCATTGCTGTTTACCTACAACTGTGCAACAGTAGAAAGAAGATATATTTTTCACCTTGGTGACATTATCAGGGCAGCACATTCCCTTAAAATATTGTTCCACATCCTAAAGTATGGATAGGTCATTTTTAAACCAGTTATTAAATTATACTCTTAATAATAGTAATGTTAATAATAATTGTTGCATGTAGGAGGATGTCTCAAAGAACTCCACAGGATTTACTTCAAAATGTAGTGACTGTGTTTTTTGTGGACAAACAAAGCAGTCTACTTGCACACATCAATGTCCCACAAACAGCCATGGAGTGAAAGACCAATTTGATTCGGGGGAATTGTTGGCCAGAACACTAGGAAAAACTCCCTACACTTTTCGAATAGTGCCATGGGATCCTGAATGTCCATCTGAACAGGTAGACGGGACCTCAGTTTAACATCTCATCCGAAGCATGGCGCCTCCAATAATGCAGCACATCCCCAGCACAGCCTGGACTATATGAATTCAAAGTTCCAACATGGGGCTTGAACCCGTGATCTTCTGTGTGGTTAAATGAAAGCATTAAAAAGCTAGGTTGAGTCAGTAATGTCTCTGATGAGGTCACCATAAAGCCGTACACATTTCAAATTAAAGTTCATTTAAGTTACACCCACATCCTAAGTTTGTTGGCTGTGGGTGTGCAGTGGAAGTGATGCGTGTGCTGCAAACCTACACTCGGCCAAAACAAAAATAATGCTCTTAAAGTTGTTTTTCCCCTTTCGTTCAGTGTTTCTACAAATAGCTTTTTGTGTGTTAGGTTTTCTAGGGCTTTTGCTGCAAAGCAACCATTTGGTACATACACTTCACATGTACAGTACATCCGAGCACTGACTATCTGTGCTGACTAATTGAATGCAATCAGGCGTTTGTAGTGGTTTAATATATTTAAATAGTCAGTGATGCGTTTTATTAATAAAATAACAGTTGCGTACAGCAGCCTTGGTTTCAGCCCAGTCTCTGCCAAGTTTCGTCGGCTATTAGACACAGGTCGCTTTGTGGACATACCAAGGATACACTGTAGTTACTCTTTGTGATTCTCACTGTCTCCCCCATTACGGCTGGATTCAAAACGGATGTTATGGATTAAAATGTTAAACAATGTTAAATATTGACCAGTTACCCAAAATATCAGGTACACAACGAACAGAAAATAAATCATTGATTCTCACCTAGGCTTGAGTCCCTTACTAGTTTATCCTTTTGTGTTTCTTTGTTTTATAATAATAATCCTTGCATTTGATACAGCAGCTTATCACAACATTGAGACGTCTCAAAATGCTCCGCAGCACTTACTGTTAAATGTAGTGACTGTGCATTCTGTAGGCAAATGGGGCAGCCAATTTGTCCACAACAATGCCCACAACCAGTCATGAAGTGAAGTTTCCTAGCTTTCCTGCTGCTTAGACATTTTTTTTTACCAAAACCCTTCACTAAAAAGTGTCACTTGCTTTTAATGAAATGACTGAACAACAGTTTGTTGCAAATGAATTTTTGGGGGGTCTCAGCTGGGTGCTTGACACATATGGAAACCCGCCATCGTGCTTAAAAGGACTCAAATCAAGCTGAGAATTCCATGCATCCCATCAACACACGGAAATTTCCAGAGATCAATTGTGTGGAATAGAATATGCTCTCTCTCCCTGGAGAGACAGATCCTGCTTACATAATTCCAGAAAGTATTAGGCACAGGTTGGCAGGAACCAAGGCTTGGAAACCCCTTACATCATTGTAAGTGATGATATATGGGATGCAATGTGACTAGGACCATTATTATACGGAGGAATCACTGAAAAGCAACTGACTGAAAGCCAAAATAACATTCAACTCAAGAAACACTGAATAGCAGCACAGTACTAACTGCTGGAGATCATGTCATCCGTCTTTGAGAGTCTGCGGTTTGCGCTATCTCAGTGATAGTGTAAAGAAGCAAATAGTTTGGGTTGTGTCTTCTGAAGATTTGCCCACAAAATACACAGTCAATTCACTTTACAGTACAATCTGTGAAGCGCTTTGAGACATCTCGAAGATGTGATAAGGCGCTATATCAAATGCAAAGATTATTATTATTTATGGATGAAGCAGTTATTATTTTGAGGGATTTGGTTAAGACTATCAGAAGCAGTGTAGTAACAAGAAATCTTACAGGGGACCTCATAGTGGTGTATGCAATTGAACAAACAAAACCAGAGCAGTACTTCAGGATGCCTCAAAGCAGAAGAACAAGAGGACACAGGATTAGAGTTTCCAAGGGCAATTTCAGGACAGATACCCGGAAGTTTTTCTTAAAGACTGGAACAGGTAGCGAGGAAGAGTGAGTGATTGAGGCCAGGACATTGGACTAATTTTTAAAAAACAGTTTGATGCTGTGATGGGGAGGCAATGGGGTAGGTGTAGGATCAGATCTGATGGGCCAAAGGGCTTTCTTCATCCTAACTGATCCTGGGATCTTATGAATGCCGACCCAACTGAAGCACAGTAAGTAATGGGTGCAGGTTGTGTGCTGACAAAGTTAAAAGCCAGTCATACTCCAGCCAACAATAGCCAAATGCCGAGAAGTGTAATTTGTAGCATCAAGTTGCAGTCCTACGTTATTCTAGGCTTCACGTTACGGCTGTTGATTAATTTAATGCAGTCGTGGATAAAGAGGTACTGTACTAGAGCACAGCTGGGGATTGGGAGATGCGGAAGCCACAATGGATTTGAACACTGGCTGTTAATCCACAACTAGGTTTAAAGGCTGTCTGGGATTAATGGGATTGAAGTCTCCTGTTTGTAAAGCTTGGGCAGCCTAGTGTGCAAGCTGGGGAGTCTAAGCTTTGGCTCTCGCCAGCCCTCACCTAATGCTCTGAGGAATTAGTTAAGCAGGGCGAGCCTCTTCCCTCCCCTCCGGGTAGGGGGATTGAGAGAGGGCGCGTTCCATTCAATTCCAGGTGCAGGGAAATTCCCATGTGTAGGCGGCATGGGATGTGTGGAGGAACTCTCAGTCTGGTTTAAGCACTGTGACGTGTTTCCGCATGTGTCAGATACCCATCCAACCAGAAAAAAACAACTATTGTGATACACTGATCCACGTCAGCTGACAGGATGTAATGGAGCCAACAAATGTGCTCCATCTGGTGGTGAAATTTAGAACAACTTTTATTTAGATTTAACTCTTCCCCCACCCCACGCGCCCCTCCACCCTCCCAGTGGCAAACCCACTCAGTTAAGTGAGTCTTTGAGGTGTCTCAGATCTGAGCCACTGGCTGGGGTTCCAACATGGGGCGCGGAAAGAAGAAGGGTGGTGGTGGGGGGGGGGGGAGGGAAATTAAACCAAAAGAATGTCTTACTTATAGTATGATTCCGCACGTAAGGAAACTCTGAAATTACGTTCAATCCATCGGTCTCAAAATGAACCCGTTTGGAGGAAAGTCCCTTTCTGTTCACCCTCCAACAAGGGAAGCAGTTTCCCGAACAATACAATACAAAATTACATTTGTAAAGCGCCTTTCAAGTCGGGATGTCCCAAGGTGCTGGACAGTCAGGGATTTGGACCCAAATGGGGGGTGGTGTGGGGGTTGGGATCAGGGAGGGTAAGAGGGTGGCTGAAGGCACGGTCGAATAGGAGGGTCTTCGCAACTATTAAAGTTGACTTTCGATCTATTAAGTAACCGTTAGCCGTTCTTCATATTACAGAGACACAACCACTTTCTGTTTTGTTTGTTAAATTTGCAAATTTGACCGAAGTTTCGGATTGTTTTTGCTCTCGATAACGCCCACGCCTTGTTTCACTGAATGGTTAATTGTCTGTTGGAGTCAATGGAGTCAATGACCACAAACAGCTAAAAACAAGCAGATTAAATTTCAAGCTCATTTTCAAACACTTTCTTGTTTAACAGCAGAAGGCAACAGAACGCTAGGGTAAGCCCCGATGGCAATAAAGGCTTAAATGCAAATCTTTCCATTATCTGACACAATAAAAGGCACACATTACATTTTCCCTGCAAGGTTTCGATGGAACGAAATCTACAGTAGAGGGTCATGTCATTGCAGATTGGGTGTTGTGGGGAGGGAGTGTGGGGGAAATTATTGTTCGCTATTACGGTGAAAACTGATGGTTCATTAAATAGAAATGCATAAATTTTATAGCACGGAAACACACAAACTTCCACCCCTCCCTGTGTTCCCTCCCTATCCCACCTCTCTTAATACCTTCTAAATTTCCTTCTTCCTGATGTGAGCAAGTCTTCTTTTTTAAATCTGTTTCATTTCCAGTTACTGAAATTTTCTCCTTAATAACAACCCTGAACTCCATTACCCTGGCAAAGAACATACTTTTTATAGCTAACTGACACTGATTCAGAATCTTGGGAAGTGTAAAAAGGCATAACAAAAATAATAATAATCCTTGCATTTGATATTGCGCCTTATCACATCGTCGAGAAGCCTCAAACGCTTCACAGAATATATTGCGACTGCTTATTTTATGGGCGAAACGCAGAAGACCAAATTTATAATCGTGGATTGAGTGACCAAATTTATTTGGGGGATTTGTTGGCCAATTTAAGATGTTTGTTTTAAAAAAAAGCACACACTTTACTCTCAGCCTTGTGAACATGTTTATAAGTGCCCTTGAATTTTCATTCACTGTTTGTTCCTCTCCTCCCCACCCCATCCCACCTTGACATGGGCCAGTGGTTATGTTTATAATGGACCAAGCAGACAGTTCAACAGTTTTCCAATGCATTGAATTCCTGCCAATGTCTGGAGCACCTGACAGGTGATGGGCAGACAGTGGGGACTTTGGATTCCTTCTCCCCTCCCGCCTCAGTCAGTAAAGGAATTATTGTACTTAACAACAAGCCGAACCAGATTTCTGAAATGTGGAAGTGATCGGAGACCAGAGAGACAAAAAGAAAGGGGGGTGGGGGGGAGGGGGTAGGAGGGAGGTTAGAATCTAACTAAACAAAGAATTTTCAGAGGTAGAAACTTTTACATCTATCAGAAAATTGCTTACTTCTTACATTTATGTACGATACTCCTTGCATTTGATACAACCACCTTAACATGTTGTTGAGATGTCTCAAAGTGCTTCACAGAATATCTTGTAAAGTGAATTGACTGTATATATCTTGTGGTTGAAACATTTGAAACAGCGCCTTTCACATAGGAAGGTGGTCTGAAAAATGCTTCACAAAATTTTTACTGTCGTATTTTCTTGGCAAACTATACTACACCACAGATACAATCTCAAAAATCCTATAGTTATTTAAATCTAGTTTATTTTATGGCCAGCAAACATCTGTGTGCTGAGTTTCCCCCCCACACAATGGCCAGACTCAAGTTTGAACGCAAACTACAGTAAACTCTCCAGTACTTTTGGAATGTTTTTTTTAAAAAAAAAGTGAAACACGATCTAACTTGTTCAAAAATGTTTCCAGTAACAGGCTGGTCATCTTACCGTCCATGCTGAATGCGGAATGCACTCCTCACGACTTTCCCTTTTAGTTTTTTTTCTTCTTTTGATGCAACAAAATACCCCCAGCAGAATTATTCCGGTAAGTCAACTGCCTTGTGATGTCCCTTCCTCGCTCGACTCTTGTTCACACGTCCCTGATCATTGAAAAACACACACTCTCTGCTGTGAGTTGTAGCTGTTAAGTCGTGGTGAGACTTCGTCAGGGAAACACCGCCTACTCCTGACGTCTCACTGTGAAAAAGCTCTTTCAATAGCCTTCACTCTGATAAGCTAGCCACACACACAAATACACACACACACACACACACAAGGCAATAACCTCACTTCCAACCCTCTCCTGTTGAGAGTCCACTACACCAGCCCCACTGACATAGGACAAAACAAGCACAACTGTCTGTGAAACAGGAGACTTTGCCAAATACAGAATTAAATGTTAAACAGGTTAAATCCCCAGTTGACAGAGCACCTCTCCTATTTTGCTGACGCTCAGTTCATTCAACTCTACTGGTGATCGAATGGTTTATTCACTGCCTTCATTAATCAGGTTTTGGCTGGACCGACCCCAGTGTGGCCCGGTCGGCAACGCTCTTTTGGGTCTCAGTCACGAAGGTTGTGGGTTCAAGCCTGGATGGTTGGACTTTGAGCTCATGGTCCAGGCTGACGTTCTAGCGCAGTGTTGGGGGAGCTCCGCTGCCTTGGTTGGATGACGTTCTTTAGGCATGATGTTAAACCGAGCTGCCATCTGCCTGTTCAGGTGGACATTAAAGATCCCGTCACACTATTCGGAAAAAGAGATGGGAGATTCTCCCTGTGTCCAGGCGTTGGCACTGCCCTGCTCCATGTCCCACCCCCCCCACCCCGCGCTCTCACCCTGCCCGCCTCACCATTGGCGTTCGGGCCTTCAGCTTTTTTGGACGCCACTGTCCAGAACTCCATCCCCGAATCCCTCCACTTCGCCCCCTCCCTCTCCTTCAAGGCCTGTCTCAAGACCTTCTTCTATGACCGTGCCTTCGACCACACTCCCCTACTCTCCGCCCCTCTTGATTCCAAACCCCTTGGAAGTAAACCCTTAACTGTCCAGTGCTTTGGTACGCTTTCCGACAAGAAAGGCACTATATAAATGCAATTTGTTGTCATTGTCCTGGCCAACAAACCCCAGATTCAGATGAAATATTACCCCTCTTTGAGAACTCAACTTCTCTTTTTAAATTGTGCCATTGGATGTTGGGAATTCACCTAAACAGGCCAGACAACAGACTCGATTTAACATCTTATCCGAAGAGAGGCATCTCCAACACTACAGCACACTCCACTGAACACTGGGTTCAAACAAATGCTCTCAATCGTCGCTCCCTGTTACTCCCCACCAACTCAGAAATAATTGAAAAAGATCAATTAACATTCTTGGATTATGATCTTAGAGCAAAGAGTTCTCCCCTCCTATTCACATCAAACCCAGAAACGAAACACTGAACAGAAAAAAGGGAAGTGAGGCATCCTCCCAAAGGTTAAAAAATACACATTAAAAAAAAACTGTTGATTCACAAAAAGAAGAGAAGATTCTGGTTACCTGGAGAGCAGTGATCCACCTGCTGGTAGGCTAACAACATTTCTTAACAAAAGAAAATTAAAAAATATCCCACTATTATAATTATCGGAACAAAATACACTCAAGGCCTCCAATTAAAAAAAAACTTTTTGTTGTAAACATGATAATAATAAAAATAATCATTGCATTTGATACGCAAGGACATCGTGTCAGCCTGGCTCAGTGCTAGCGCTCTCACCTATGAGTCAACAGGTTGTGGGTTCAAACTCCATGTCGGGAACTGGAATCACATTGTCCAAGCTGACACTTAAATGCAGCGCTGGGACAGTCTGGACTGTCGGAGGTGCTGTCCTTCGGATGGGATGTTAAACTGAGGCCCCATCTGCTTGTTCAGATGGACATTAAAGATCCCACGGCACTATTGGAAAAGAGAAAGGAATTTCTCCCGGTGACCTAGCCAACGATCCCCCAAATAAAATTGCTCATTCACTTCATGGCTATTTGTGGAACATTACTGTGTGCAAATCGTGTTTGCCTACAGAATACAGTCACTACATTTCACAGTATATCCTGTGAAGTGCTTTGAGATGTCCTCCCAATGTGAAAGGCAAGCTATCAATACAAGCATTATTCTAATTATGCTGATATCAGGCAGACTTTAGCAGATGTGGTTATCATGAGCCAATAAGTTTGATCAAGTTGACCTTTAAACTAGACTCTCTTCCATCTCCTCATCACAACTTAAAGAGCGAGTATCTGGTGCACCCTGGTTGGACTAACAGTAATACGATGAAAAAATAATGGAACATTTAAAATGAGAGAAGGGATGGTTAGTTCAGTGTTTAAGTGTGCATTCCATTAAAGGATTATAAAACTGTACACTTGATGTATGCTAAATTAAACAGCATAGGAATTAATGTGTGAGTGATTTTGGTCGAGATGGCAGGTAAACTGAAATGGAATATCAATTTTACTAGGTAAAAAGCAGTATTTAACTCATAAAATGCTGTTATCTAAATATTCTATACATGTGTTTTAATTAAATGTGGTGTTTGTATAATGTGAATGAGGGTAACCTTTTCTAAATCCAAAGTTGGCATACTATTACGATAATAAGTAACAATCCTTGCATTTGATTCAAAATACCTTCAAAATACACAGTCCAACAACAACAGCTTGGATTTATATAGCGCCCTCCACGCCGGATAGCGTCTCAGAGCGCTTTACAGTAATGGATCCCGGGGCCGAGCTGGGGGGAGGGGGAGGAAGGTGACCAAAGGCGCGGTTGAAAAGAAAGGTCTTCAGCAGAGACCTGAAAATAGGAAGAGAGGACGCGAGGCGAAGGGATTGAGGAAGGGAGATCCAAAGCCTTGGGACAAAGTGGCTGAAGACACGGCCGCCAAGGGTGGAGCGGAGGACTCAGGGAGCACGGAGGAGGCCAGATCCGGAGGAACGAAGGCAACGGGCACTGTTTTGAGGAGAGAGGAGGTCAGAGAGGTAGGGGGGTTGTAGAGGAGTGGAGGGATTTGAAGATAAGGGTGAGGATCTTGAAGTCGATCCTCTCTGGGACAGGCAGCCAGTGCAGTCTGGCAAGGACTGGAGTGATCGGGGAACGGAGTTTTGCGTGGGTGAGAATGCGGGCGGCAGAGTTTTGAATGATTTTGATTTTATGGATGGTAGTGAATGGGAAGCCGGCGAGGAGGGCATTTGAATAGTCCAGCCGAGGGGTGACAAAGCCAGGGACCAGGGTTTCAGCGGCTTTTGGAAAGAGGTATTGGCAGAGACGGGCGATACGTCAGAGGTGGAAGAAAGCGGTGCTGGTGAGGGACCGGATGTGGGGGTCGAACCTGGCGCACAGGTTGCGTACAGGTTCAGAGAGTTTTAGGGGGAGGTCGGGTAGGTGGAGGAGGTGAGACAAGACTTTGACAAGAGATTTTAGATGTTGACGAGAGCCAAAGAGTATGGCTTCCGTCTTGTCAACCTTCAGCTGAAGGAAATTTGCGCTCATCCAGCCGCTGAGGTCTGACAGGCAGGCTGACAGAACATCAGGGGACTGGGGGTCGCAAAGTGAGGTGGAAAAATAGAGTTGGGTGTCATCCGCAAACATGTGGGAAGATCCCCAAGAGGGAACAGGTAGATCAGAAAGAGGAGGGGGGGTCAAGGATGGATCCTTGGGGTACCTTGCAGGGTGAGAATGGGTGGAGAAGCCGTTTGTGCAGATATAATGCTGGTGGTTTGTGAGGTAGGACTCGAACCAGGCGAGTGCGGTCCCACTGAGGTGGATGACGGAGAAAAGGCGGTGGAGGAGGATGGCGTGATCAACGATTTTTTTTCCCCGGTTTCCTGACCAACAATTCCCAGAAATTCCCTTTTGTTTGAAGTATCCTTCTCTCCCTGGATAGATGCAACGTGCTTCCATAATCCCAGAAAGTATTGGGCACAGGTTGGCACAAGCCAAGGCTTGAGGACCACAAGGAGTGCAGTCGGGATAAAATTGGTCATGACTGTTTGTGAGACATCAATGTATGCAAATTGGTTTCTGTATTCACCTGCAAAGTACACAGTCATGACAATTTACAGTAAAATCCTGTGAAGCTCTTTGAGATGTCCTTCTGACATGTAAGGCGGTGTATCATACTCAAAAACTCTACTCAAGAACAGCGGCTAGGAATTCTGTAGACCTACCTGGCTCAGGAACAAAACTATAGAGATAGACACAAAGGATGGACTCAATACTGATATTCCATTACCAGTGTCTGCCCCAAAGGGAATCATGCCTACTTTCCACCTAGGCCTACCTCCCCCGCACATCCTCCCCACCCTTCCAACAATTCTCTTGTAATTGAATGGTGGAAATGTTTGCCTACAAAATATTCAGTACACTTTACAGTAAATCCTCTGAAATGCCTTGACATGCCCCAACATGAAAGACGCTCCATCAGAATCAAGGATTATTTATTTAGCTTAAACAAAAAATCCTCGCATTTGATTATAGGGCATTAGCTATTCACTGTTTGTGCTACGTTGTTGTTTGCAAACTGGCTGCTGCGTTCGCCAACTAAAGCAGACACTGACTGGACTGGACACCAATTCCTTGTGAGATGCTTTGAGAAGTTCCAATGGTACATCAATTATAGAATCCTACAATAACAACAACAAAATTCCATTTGTAAAGCATCTTTCACGTTGGGAGGATGTCCTAAGGCGTTGGACAGACAGAGTTTTGGACCCAAGCTGGGGTTCGGGGTGGGGGAGGGTGGAGGTCAGGGGGGGAAGCAGAGAGATTGACAGCTTGGTCGAAGAGGAGGATCTTGAGATGGGTTTTGAAGGAGGCAAAAGAGGGGGCGAGGTGGAAGGACTGCAGGATGGAGTTCCAGAGGGTGGGGGCAGAGTGGCAGAAGGCTCACCCACCAATAGTGGGGTGAGCGAGGTGGGGGACGTGAAGCAGGCTAGAGATCGCTGAGTGGAGGGAGCGAGCAGGATGGTAGGGAGTTAGGAGGTCGCAGAGGTAGGGTGGAGCAAGACCATGGAGGGCTTTGAAGGTGAGGACCAGGATCTTGAACTGTACCCTCTGTGTGATGGGAAGCCAGTGGAGTCGGGTGAAGATGGGGGTGATAGGGTCGTGGAGCCTAGTGCAGGAGAGGACATGGGCTGCAGAGTTCTGGATGATCTACAGCCTATGCAGAGAGGAGTTGGGGAGGCCGACAAGCAATGAGTTTGCATAGTCAAGCCTTGATGAAATGAAAGCATTTATGAGGGTTTCGGCAGCCTGCGGTGTGAGACAGCAGTGGAGCTGGGCAATGTTGCGGAGGTGGGGGAAGGCAGAGCGGGTCATGGTGCAGATGTGGGGTAGAAAAGATAATTGAGGGTCAAACAAGATGCCAAGGTTTCAGACTGGCTTAGCAAGGTAGAGTATGCAACCATGGATGGTGATGCTGTCAACGCCTAAGGTCAGGACAGCAGTTGTCCTGGAGTCAAGGGTGGAGGCAGAGAGATAGGGTTGGGTGTCAAACGCATACATGTGGAAGTTAACCCCATGTCTGTGGATGATGTCACCAAGAGGCAGCATATAGATATTGAAGAGGAAGGGACCAAGGACAGAGCCCTGAGGAACACTGCACGAGATGGTGCGGGGGTTAGAGGAGAAGCCATTTGTGGAGATGAAGTGCAGGGGGTGCGAGAGGTACGATCTGAACCAGCCAAGGACAGAGCCGTGAAGGTTAAGGTGAGAGGCAGTGGATGAGGATAGAGTGGTCGATGGTGTCGAAGGCAGCAGAGGGGTCAAGGAGGATGAGGAGGCAGAGGAGCCCTGGTCGCAGATGGACAGAATGTCATTTGTCACTTTGACCTGGGCTGTTTCTGTGTTGTGGGCGGCACGGAAACCCAATTGGAGGGGTTCGAGAAGGGAGTGGCGGGAGAGGAAGGAGTAAAGCTGGGAAGCAATGACTCGTTCCAGGACCTTGGAGGGAAGGGGAGGTTGGAGATGGGGCGGTCGTTTGGGAGTACAGATGGGTCCAGGGAGTTTTTTTTAAGGATAGGGGTGATGATGGGGGGTTTTAATGGGGTGATAACAGTATCAGTGGACAGGGAGAGGTTTAAAAAAAATTTCTTCATCTCCCCTCTGGTTCTTTTGCTAATTATTTTAAATCCGCATCCTCTGGTTACCGACCCACCCGCTGGAGGAAACGGTTTCTCCTTATTTACTGTATCAAAAACCCTCATAATCAAATACGAGGTTTATTACTTATTATTAATAAAACATTTGCTTTAAAAAGAAAAAAATGCTGCAACTTCAGAGAATGCAAGTTATCTGTATATATTATATGTATGCATATATGTATGCACATGTATGTATAATATACATGTATGTATATAATATGTTACCCTGCTCATGAGAATGTAAGCGTTAAATGGTTGCAGAAAGCAGACAGATAGATGACACTGCCTGATGCTTTGATTCATTGTGTAGGAGTTCACCTCAACAGTAAGTAAGGTTAGCATTGACGTAAACAGCAGCTAAATAAAAGGTGGGAATCAATTTTTAAAACATTTTTTTGTACACAAACAGACATAGATACGTATAAATCTATATATCATTTCAGATCCAGGACCTCTCTGCACTGTAATAGATTCCTAACATTCTTGGGTTGGACGGGAGCAGGCTGGTTAGACGTCAATGCACCTTCTGAAACAAGAGCGAGGAAAACCCTTAAGTGATATTGACGTGTATAATGATTAGATATACAGCACTTGGCATATATGGGTCGTAAATCTATTAGACAGTTCACTAGTTTTGCTGTGGATTTTGCATTTATTATTTTCTTTCAAAAAAAACCCAAACAAGTTAACTCTGCTGGTCACAATAGCCGACAACTTTGACAACAAATTGCTTGATCCATTTATCGTCTTTAAAAACACTTTCTTTGCCCAAAGTTCTGCAGTCACCTCTTCTCATTTCAACCTGTCTTTGGGCGCCGGCTGTTGGCACATTTGTGAATAACACAAGAGAGAGAGAAAAAGAGAGAGCACAATACAGAGGCTCATCTCTCTCTGGCGTTTTCTTTCCTCCTTCCAGGATTTTTAATGGATTTCTCCATGGTGAGTTAGGGAGATTGCACCGATTGCTCTGGGACTCTTCACTGTTCTGTGGGAATTAACTGGTTTTGTGAACTACCAATTTATCCACACCAAAGTTAAAAAAAAAAACAAATTAACCAAAGTTTATTTAACTGCTGGATTCAACTGTAGGTGGACAAATATCAGGACATATTCATTGCAAAATGTATAGGGCATTGGATGTTTCAATACCAAGTTCTATTTTAATATTTTGACCGTTCTAATGAAGGGTCGTGAACCCAAAATGTTGACTCAATTTCAGTTCTCCATAGATGCTGCTTGACTTGCTGAGTGTTTCCAGTGACTTCTGTTTTTGTTTCGGATTTCCAGCATCTGCAATATTTTGCGTTCATTTTGGTATTGACAGGCTTGAGAAATTGAGTGTGTGTGTGGTGGGGGGAGCGGGGAGAGCCTTCAAATCCCTTCATGCCCTGGAATCTCCTTACCTCTCCGACCTTACTATCCTGCTGTAGCAGACCACTTCACTGCCTGCTTTCCCCATTCAACTGCCTCCGGCTCACACTTATCTCTCGTATCCTCCGGTCCACCATCGTGTCCACACTTTCAGCCACTACGGCCCAAAGTCTGGAATAGTCTTCCTCTATCCCTCTGCCTTGTTCATCTTTAAGTTGCGCCTGAAAACCTTCCTCTTCGACTGTGAGGAAGAGTAAATCCGCTATATAAATGCAAGTTATTTTAAATAATAATCATTGCATTTGATATCACACCTTATGTCTTCGAGACATCTCAAAGCATTTCACAGAATATACCGTAAAGTGAATTGACTGTATATTTGTGGGCAAAAAGCCCACAATCAAATCATAAATGATTTATGGATTCCACTTTACTCAACTATGATTTGTGGTATAGTTGGAATATTAACCCTCCCTGTAAAGATTCTTCCCCCTCCATCGCTTCCTCTTAATACTTTTTATAACCTTGCAATTTGCACCCTCTCATGACTAATTTGTTAACCGGTTTTAAAAAAAACATTAATCTCATTAAAACTCTTCAAAATCTCCGAATTCCTGGGTGAGGTAATAATAATAATCTCCTCAGCTCTAATGAAAACAAAAGCCTCAACTTCAAGTCCTTACAATTGCACAAATGGGGCTGGACAAGTCATCCTTTTGTGGTGGTTTCGGTAGTCCAGATCCTGAGCCAGGTGGATCCTCAGTATTCCAGAGCACTGCTGATGACAGCACAGCTGTCCGGCAGGATTTGGAAGGGCGGACCAGTTACTGGGGGCAGGGAATTATCCCACTCAGCTCCCATTCATCCTCCAAAGCACTAACTGGTAGGGCGATCCTAGCTGGACAATTAGCAGGGAAGCTGGTCAGACAGCAGTATAAATGGCAAGCTATGCAGCGTTAGCTGGTTAGACTCCAGCACTCCCCAACACACACTCTGGGGTCCCCAAGCCTTGCCTCTTGCCAACCAGATGTGTCCCTCCAGGGAGAGAGGGTATTCCATTCCAACAATCTATCTCTGGAATTTCCACACGTTGGTGGGACGCATGGAAATCTCCACTTTGTTTGGACACTCTTAAGCTTGTTGACGGGTTTCCACATGTGTCAGACACCCGGCTGACCCCAAAAGAAGATTGCAAAGGAGGATAAAATAAAGATCTTGCAGACGGATGGGCTGCTGTGGCTGGGAGCAATCAGACCATACAACCTGGTGCTGAAACAGACAGGATCGGGCAACTTCGTAATGAGGTTGGAACTCATGGAAATTTAGGGAGACCAGCAGAGAGTGTGGGAGAAATGTAGTCTCAAAGTGATGCAAGCTTGGAAGATTTAAGAGGTTATATACTTGCATGTTGTTTTCCCCTCCATTTCACTCCTCCAGCAGTCTTCAGCAATCTCATCCATGTTATTCATCATTAGGAAACCAACATCAGAGGATTTATAAAAATAGCCAAGCTCCATCCTGTTCATTTATCCACAATGGCGGACTATCCAGCAGTGAATGGATCACAAAGAGAAGGGAAGATGCCTGGCTGATTCTCCCCCCCACCCCCTCATCCCAGTGGTTTCAAGACCAATTATATCACACCAACTGCAGCTCACACCCCCAATCCCATGTGCCCAAAGTGTTTGGAGATGTTCTTATAATGTAAGACACTTATATAAGCACTCCAAGCCACTGTCGTATTGAAGGCCACAATATAAATGGAAGGGGTTATATATGTGCAAGATGCTGTTGTCCTAATTGATTTTCCTCGTGCATTACCTAACTTTGGAACGTTGGACCAGGAGTCTAGTAATAGTTTTAAAGCAAATGCTGCTACATTGATGTGCTCTGTAGTATTTTGACCCAAAGTACAATATAGTTGAAGATCTCAGTGAGAGCACATCAAAATTCTGTTTTTGAAAGCTTACAATTGCAAATAGTGCCCTTTGGACAGGAGTAATTGTGAAGACATTTCTCTCCCTCCACCAACCAACTTCCACAATATGCCTACAAATGCAGTGAATAGACTAATAGATTTGATAGGCAGTACCTGTGATCTCATTTGATAAGAGATTTGGGGAAAATGTAATTCCTTTTAACAAAGGGATTTCAACTTGTAAACTTCATACCAAGTACAATCACCCCCCCAACCCATAACATAGCAAATTGTTTATTTCCCCTTCTTCCTTCCCCCAAATACTACAGATGCCAGGACTGGAATCAACCAAGAACCTTTTCTCTTCCAATCAGTTTTTAATAGTAGGAACAAGATTGATAGTTGTCTGGCAGATAGATCCCTTTCTGGCTGTAATCCCTGGCCCCCAAAAGCTCATTCAATCCATGACTGTTTGTGGGACGCTGCTGTGTGCTGCCATGTTTCACCCACAAAATATAGTAAAATCCACTTTACAATATATTCTGCGAAGTGCTTCGAGACATTTTAATGACATGATAAGGTGCTATATCAAATGAAAGTATTATTACACCCATCATATGGATATTTCGCCTGCTGCAGAAGTGCCTAAACTAAGTGATATTTACTTAATTTTAGGTGCATTAATATGAAAGTTGCAGCCAAGGGTAAGTGTGAATTCAAACTAGTTTCAATAATGGTTTTAAAAGATGTATATTGCAATTCACCACATTTGATGAATACGGAACTTATTTTTGAAAGCACAAAAATCAGACAGGATTACTATTTTTTTTAAAAAGTTTTTTTTTTACTCTTGAAAAGTGACTTTTTTTTTACAAGTAAATACAAAAATATTCTTTCAAATACATATGGATATTTAGGTCTACAAAACAGGATCAACTGAATGCATTGGAAAATGTAAATCACAATGGCAATGAAGATTACAGCAGAAAAAGTATACTTTAAGGAAATAACTAAACTTATTGTTCTGCTTTGTGGACATTTAAATGCAGTGCTTATATATGCTAGAAATCAGCAGACTTATCACTGGTCAGTATTAGGTACTAAGCCAGAAGCAAAATTTCCTTGCAAACAGTTTCTTGAAAAGTGATTCAATTCTGCAACTTGTTTAACCTTAGCTAAATATTTTTAACCTCAAAATCCCAAATACCAATAACTAAAATAGACTACAATTTTTTTGGGTTTTTCATATATATACACACACACACACACACACAACGTAAGAGGGAAATTAACGTAAGATACATCACAGGACACTTTTTTTTAAATTATTTTACAATTATTAAAATTACACTTCAGCCTTCTTGAAAGAACTGGTCAATGCAATACTGATTTTTCAATAAAAAGGCTGATCACAAGTATTTACACACATACACAAATACATAATTTAAGGTATCCCAAACAAACAAGTCGAGACATTGCTTGATCAACACAAGGCCAGAAGCTATTCCATCCATTAAGGCTACGATTGCTTCTTTTTTTTAAAAAAAAGGCCTGGAGTTGAAGGATGTTGGCGAACCATCAGAGACGGTCATCAGCACATACGTAGCTTTTCAAACTGAATGTACTTCAGGTATTGGTACCCGCATCTACTCTGTGATAAGCAGAGCAGACCCACCAACTGAGCCAGAACCCACAAAGCCATACCATCTTCTGGCTTCCCAACATCATGTCAGGGTGGAAATTACAGACGAGTGCTCCGCTTAGTATAGGGCAGCAGAATTTTTTTTAAGTTAAACAAAAGAAAACAAAATCAACATGCCTGAATGGTTTGACAATTACAAGCTAGGTTTACCTGGCAGTGTTGCTACCGATTAAGGGTTAATCTGATCGAATTTTTAATGACGCGAATGCTACTCGTAGGGACTGGAGAAGACACATCTGGTAGCTCCTTGCTAGGTAGTCTCTGTAAAAGAAGCAGCACCAAAACAAAAAACAAGGACAGGAAGAGAAGTACAATGTTAAATTATATTATTTTTTTTAAAAATGCAATTCTGTATGAATTCCAGTAGTATAACAGGTAGTTTTATTTAAATTGTGAAATAGTTATTTAGCACCCTTAAAAAAAGAATCTTCAGGAAGTTTTGAGTGTAGACATTACTTGTAGATCACCGTTTCCTGTGAAAAAAGAGAATTAATAGGCAGTACCTGTGATCTTGTATCAATTGTTGGAATGGGCATGGATTTCACTTCTGCGTGGTTGTCCTGTTACATAGACATTACATACAGACGTTAGTTATGACTGATGGAAGCAATAGTATGTAATGCATTAGAGACTGGGTAAAAGTTTTAGAAATGTCAAAACCTTATATGAAAGAATGATGATGAACTTTCTCCCCCACCCGACTCAATTTTTATTAATTTAAAAAAGTTACATTCAAAGAGCACTTATTTTGTAAGAAATGGGTCAAAGTTGAACTGGATTCGATAAGCAAAGGAATTCAGCAGAGATACTCAGGTGCTACCGCAGATTTCACTGTTGTACTTTATTCTATTTGCAGCAAAACAAATGTAAGCTTTACTCAGTACTACCCCCTGCTGAGCAAACACAAATTATTCCCCATGGGGGGTGGGGGGTGTTCACACATGCACACATTAAATTCTTGGAAACTTCGAAAAGTACTGATAGTGGAAATCCAAATTAGGGCTGTGAAATCTTAGAATACGTTTATACTGGCTAGAACTCATTTAATGCAATGTTACGCTTTTATCATACAGTGAGATAGGTCATTCATTCCATCTGTACCATTAGACAAATGAACATTGCCACTACAGCTAATCAGCTTCAAAGTATCAGCTATCATCTACCTGACACACATCAACACAGAAAAGACTCCCCCCCCCAGCACCCTTGGGAGTCAACCTTCAGTTGTAGTCACTACTACCTGTCGATCCTTCTGAGAATTTTGTCCGTCCTCTTCATTTGATGAATGCGGCTGCTTGAAAGCAGAATCATCTGGTTCAATGGCACACAGCTGGTAGGGAAGGCAAGGACATTTCTTTACACAATACATTCAGAGCATTGATGGTGCAGTGAATGTTAATTTCACATCAGATTTCCTAAGTTTAGGGACCTCACACATTTGACAATTCCAACAATGTCAGTAATTAACTGTTCCTTTGTTTAATAAAAATGGTGGAGGCACCCGACTGAAAACCCACTCTCCTAGCACACCCCTCCGCCTCAACAACAACAAGATTCCATTTATAGAGTGCCTTTCACGTCAGGAGGACGACCCAAGGCGCTGGACAGTTGGGTCAGGACCCAAGCAGCGGGGAAATGGTCAGGGGGAGGGGAGGGAAGGGAGGGAGCGAGGTAGAGTCGAGAGGGGAGCTGAAGGCACGGTCAAAGAGGTCAAAGCCTCACTGTCCTTGCTGGCATTAAGTGGCCAGGGACAATACAAACTTCGACTCAGTTTGAATTCAGGGATAGTTTATTCACTATCCTCTGCTTGCAAGATTCAAAGAATTACACTTAACTGGAAATTCTGGCTCACCAGACCTGGTCTCCCTCCCATTGGTTTGGCTAGCCAGGGTTTTAGTGTAGTACAATGAGCTTGGATTAAAAGTGAGATGTAGGGAGGAGGAAAAGCATTGTGGATAATTTATTTGACCTTTGGGAGGAATAGACACGTGCCAAAAAAGTCTTTCCAAATGCAACGGCAAAACTCAGTCTTGGACAAACTTTGGCTTCAAAGAAAGAAAATAAATGCTTGGCATGGAAGTAGAAAACAAGCTTTTTCAAGATACTTTTGCAATCAGAACTATGAGAATTCCTTCTGAGATGAGGAGAGGACGAGAATACTGACATATGAAAGAGCATTAAAGTTGAGTGATTGAAGGCAGCTGTTGATTTTTTTTGCCACAATAACCTCTCATGAGTCTGATCCTCCACTCTCTTGACTCAACTAGGAACCCTCCAGTTCTCATGCTATCTATCCTTTCCAAGAGAATTTGCCTTTTTCAGAAATTTGCTTGTGTTCCTCTAATTCCTAAATAAAAAAGTTGACCTGATGTTCTTACACAAGTCTTTTCTGAAACATTGGAAGCCCATGCTAATTCTCAAATAAAGGGAAAAGAGAAACAACTGGCAATGAACAATCAGCACTTTGAGCAAATTAAAATTCACTTTTAATAAAATCTGACCAAATGTGATTTTCCCCCAATTGTCTATCCAATTTTAAATGAAGGTACCAATTATTACAAGGAGTAATTGTATCTTCCTACTGTCTCCCAACATCTGCACCTCATAATTAGGATTATTTCTATTAACTCCTTTCTATCAATGTCACACTAGAGAAAACGTTTTCCAGTTAAGGATGTGTTGAATTCCAGATGAGACCGAAGTACTAACAGTTTTAGTAAGTTACTGCACTGATTGAACTCTACTGGTAGTTACCATTTGGAGATCTTTCAGTCGTTTTGGAGATTCTTCCAATATAGGAGAATGAGGTCTTTTTGAAGTAGAACTGTTTGGGCTAGGATTTAGCCTGGTCCCATTTGGCAGAGGCTGGTTAGATGGAGAAGTCAAACGGGGAATTACATTGCGCCCAACCACAGTGGGGATGGTACAGACTGCTTGAGAAATAGTGGGATTTCCTGTGGAGGTAGGCTCATTCTCTGCAAGAAAAATATTGTAGTTAACATTTGTAGTTTTTCAGAAATGCTGCAAACCAGTACAGAGTGTTTACATACTTGCACCAACAACTGGGATAGATTTCCCTTGGCCAAGTTTGGTTTCTGGACAAATACCTTCACCAGGTGACATTTTGGTTGTATCTGTAACTTGTATTTTCTCAGGAGATGTACTGTTTCTGGGGGAAGGGAAGAAAGGGAATCCATACTTTAGTGTGTACATTAGATATTTGTGTCTGTATACATTAGCATTACACAACACAATAAACACATCAGTTAGCCTCACATACTTCTGCAAATCCTCTGTTCCAAGAGGATTTGGTTTAGAAGGTTTCTGCAACAGTGCAGGAGAACTGAAAGGGGAACCACTATCCGTGTCCCTTGAAGTATCCAAAAGGTTGCCTTCCAAAGATGTGCGATTTGCATTACTGATGGTGCCACTGGAATTTCGATTAATGTCTGGTGCACTTTGCTTGAAATAAAACAGGAGACAAGTTAAAATCTCATCCAAAGCAGGATGTCTAATAAATTTCATGCAAAGTCTATATTTACCTTCTTTTTCTTCTGCAAAATTTCAGCTGGTAAATAATGATGGAGCTGTTTTTTTTTGACATGTGTGGCTTCTATTCTCATTTTCTCCTTAAGCATGTTGATGTTGTTTGCCTGCCTGTATACTGAAATAAAAAAATACATATTTAGAAGTGGATGCAGGATGGGAACCCAGTTTTTTTTTGCATGGGATACCTTGAGTGAGAAACAGATTTGAGTCCTTAGATTATATCACTGGACAGTAAATACGTCATTCACGCTACAAACTACAACAGAAGACAAACTGGTCCAGCTTTTACATGCGATTTAAAATACTGCCCACAAGATAGTTAATCCACTTTACAATATATTCTATGAAGCACCTTGAGACATCTCAATGTGATAAAGCACTATATCAAATACAAGGATTATTAGGTTTCTTGTACTCCATTGGCACAGAAGCCGTAAGTGCAGAAGAAAAACAGTTTGGTTCGTAACTACAAGTACTGGGAGAATGGGGGTTGAGAAGCTGAATGTTTTGCTGCACAACCTGAGATTTAAAATACTGAGGAATGTGGCAACATAAATTCTTGTTCAGCACAGTAAAAATATATATTAATGTAATACCACAAAACAAAGGGAGACAGAGATCATGTTAATGTCAGAAGTAGGAAATAGGCGCAAATTCAACCTTTAGGAAAGGGTACTAAGCTTATTTCATACCTGTGACCTGAAAAGACTAACTTTGAGATATATTTTTGTGTTTGGTAGGAAGTGAGATGGGGTCAAATTATCCCAGGATTGGATGGTCCCCAGGGCTTTTCCAGTCTTTCCTTTTTACACATCCTTGCAATGTAACTGCAATTATGAAGGAAGGATTTTAACAGTAATCCCTACATTTGATACAGCTCCTTATGCTGAAATGTTAAAGCGCTTCAGTGTTCTGAAAAGTTTAGTGATTATTTGTCAGTGAATGGGTTAGACAAGTTGCATACAATAGTGCTCCACAAACGGGCACAAGTGAATGACTAATGTTTTATTGGAGGATTGTTTGTCTGGAGAAACACGCTTCTCTTTTCAAAGTTAGCCAAGAGACCTTGAATGTCCATTTGAACAGGAAGATGGTTTAATTTCCCATAGCTCCAACTGAGCTTCAAGTCCCAATGTGGTGCTTGAAGCCACAACTTTTCAGCTGAGAGGCAAAAGTGCTACCAACTTAGCCAGCCTGACAGGTGGAAGTGAAGAATTACCTCACCCTTGCCTCCTTCAAGTTACATCTCAAGACCTTCCTCTTAAACTGCACCTCAGTCACCCTCCTACCCCCACCCTCCCTGCCTCCACCTCTCGTAATCCCAACTCAGGTGCACATCAGACTGTCCAGCCCTTTGTCATGTCCTCCCAACATCAGAGGTACTATACAAACAATTTGTTGTATCCATAGATTTATAGTAATAAGCAAATAGCTTAATTAAAAGTAGCAATATAAAAGCACATGTACCTGTATCGGTGAATAATTGAATGTCTTGTGTCAGATCAATGTTGACGCTCTCTGCATTTTCCACCTTCTTAAAAATAATCCCAATAAACCACATGGTAACATAATCATCCCTAAAAAAAACACAAATCCAAGGAAGACATTAAATGTAAACCGAAGTTTAAAAAAAATTCACAGATCAGCATTTATGGTATCACTTTTTTGGTATTTCATTCTGATGAAGTCGCTCTCCTTTATACAAAGCAGGTTGGAGAATCCTGAAGCTATTGAGAACAAATAGTTCTCAAATTAATGGTAGGGTTGGCTTCAGGTTTCTTCCCATATTTCTACCTAAAACTAAAGGACCATTTATGATTGATGAGCATAAATAACTTTCCTGCTGTCCCCACACCTCGACACATCAGGGAACAGTGCAGTTAAAATCATACAGCACAGAAGGAGGCCATTCTGCCCATCGTGTCTGTGCTGGCTCTGAAAAGAACTATCCAATTCAATCCCACTCCCCCACAGCTTTGAAAACTTGTCCTCACCACATAATTATCTACTTCTTTCTTAAAAGAAGTTATTTATCAGCTTCCACTACCAGTTGTAGCTAATTAGTGAACCTTGGGGTTCACTAACTAAATCTGGGGCTAGGTTCATAGTGAATCTAGGTTGTTAGTGAACCTAGCCCCAGGAGAACAGCTGGTCAGCTTAAATGCAATGTCTGAAATTCTCAAACCAGCAATGTGCACCATTCAAATAGTCAGGGACAAACAAAATTATAGTCTATCTAGGAAAAATGTGTTTGTGAAGCAGTTCTCCAAATTAGACTGACACTCTAGTGCTGGAGACAGCTACCTCAGATTGCTGTACTTTTGATGAGATGTTAAAAAAAGTCCATTTGCAAGTTTAGATGGACATTAACAACTTTCATTTATCTAGCACCCTTCACGCAGGGTAGCATCTCAAACCTGATTTAAGAATTAAGAATCCATAGCACTATTTGAAATGACAAGGGAGTTTCACCCTCTATCCTGGACAGAAATCGGAGATAAAATTGGTCATTCACTTCATGGCTGATTGTGGGACTGAGCAAAAATTAGCTATTGTGTCTGGCTCCAAATACAGTCAATACACTTCACAATAAATAGTGAAGCATTTTGAGATGCCTCGACAAAGTGATGAGGCCCTACAACAAATGCAAGGATTATTTTATTGTCTCAATGATGCTACTCAGCTTCCACTCATTGGATCTAAAATGTAATATCCCCATCCAGATTTAATTTGCTGATTGTGACTTTTATTTGCTGATGTCAGAATGCAAGATTCCCAAAGTGGGGAATCCCAAGCCAGGAAAGTCTTGAAATGCAGGTAGGAGCGCAAAACGTCCAAATCCTGTTTGTCAATTTTTTTTATATGTACTTTATATTAGGAGCTGTTATGATGCAAATCTTGTAAAAAGACGAGGATTTGCATTGGACTCTTATCACACAAAGCAATCTATTGTGATGAATACAATTCTGTAGTTAAAACTCAAACAAGAATATACAGTGCCTTCCCAAAAGGAAGTAACAATATCCACAAAGCTGTTTGGTCCAGCCTCTTATTTTCAAGATGGACCAAGAAACCATTAAATCCATCTTGTGTGCTACAATAATTCAGTACTGCAGCAACCTGTATTTATATAGTACCCCTCATGTCGGGTAGTGGTCCAGAGTGCTTAATTTGAATGAGGAAGATGTTTGAAATGCCAGCCATTTTAAAGGTAAAGCATGGGTAAGGTGGGTATTTCCCCTCGTGATCAAATATCAATGAATGAGAATATTCCCAAAGTGGAACAGCAACTGCTTTAGTCAAATACAGCAAATTAAAACCATCTGTCTCAGTCGATTTGATTTCCATCCATAAATGTGGAAGTATTTAACTGTACCAGTACATTTCTCAGTCTGTCACACTGGGTAGTAGGGGAGTGCTTGCACTTTGCTCACCCCAATATTTCAAAAACAGTTGAAGTTAAATGTTTACAGATGAAGAAACTCATTTGTAAAAGCAGTTCTGGTGTTTTATTGGGTACAAAATCTAAATGGTGCCATTATAACTGAATGAAACATTTTTTGAGTGCACAATTTTGTTTTAGAACCCAACATTTCTGTTACAACTAAACATGGCCAATTAAATTCTGTCATATTTTCATCTGCACTGTACATCATCTCAGAGTCTCACCTTCCAGCTATTTGAATCATTAGCAAATCCTTGGCATCCCTTAAAATTGCACAAGCCACAGCCTTCAGTAGCTGCTAGATACAATCTTCCCCTTATAACTTGCTGGGACACGATCCACTAATTTATTCTCCCTCAGTAGACGTACTCACTAATTTGATTTCTCACTAGATGTTCCAGGGAATAAAGTGGATAAACAAAAAGTGACTAGAAATAATTTTACAGAACCCTAAGCAACTAAAATGTTCTGTAAGAATACAGCTGTGTGTAATTACTTGCATCTCAGTGGATATAATACACAACAGGCTGGAAAGAACAAGTGTTGACCCTGCTGCATTGACTTATCCACTTAAGACAACCCCATGCAGAACAGAATAAATGCCAAATGGATTGGTCATTTTGTGGTTTAAGCAAAGCTCGATTTTAGTTGCTAAATAAGAATCATGAACCACATTTTGCCACAACACATTTGGTGTAATATTCCCCCAATAAGCTTACTAACAACTAAAAATGCTTTGGCAGCCATTACAAGTTAAGCAATTGTGCTTCATTTCCCTCCTATAATCAACTTCAACTAACTCAAAGCAAGATTAGTTATTTCATCCATTTTACATATTAAAACAATTCAAATAGAAATGGCGACAAATAACCTTCTGCAATATAGTAAATGTAAAATTCAAGGTACCATCATATTACAAAGTTTAAATAAGCTGTATGGTTTCAAACAGAGGTGTAAAACTAAATATTCAGCAGACAGACAAATCTAGGCTTTTGAATTGATTTATTTTATATTCCAACTTACACATTGTGATGTTCCTTCAAGCTATGAAAAGACTGTGGGTTTACATGGGCAAGAGTGATGTAGTCATTTCGTTCAAGGTTGCCAACAAGAACCCGAATTTTAGATTCAACAAGTCCAACCCTGAAGAGAAAGAGACACATGATTTACCAGTGAACTATAAACACATTTTTAAAAAGGTACTTAAGGATTACAATCTTACCATTCTAAGTGATGCTCTTCAGTAGATGCACTGGCTGTTAATACAATGTAGTGCCTAAAGGGAACCCACAATAAAAAATCAATACTCAAGTATCAATGAAGAGGAAAAATATTTCCTGCAGTACGCTGGCATCTTGACAAGGCTGCAACTTTCTTACTATTTTGAGACTAGAAGGAAACAAAGTTTCATAAGCACTCAATCCGAGCAAAGTACCCCTCTGATAACTCTATGGTTCTACTGAAACCAAAAATAGACATTCTCCTCGTGACCCTTTGTAGGTACTTAGTGGCACAGATGTCTACCAGGCTTGCCTGAAAAAAAGTCACTGATGTCATTTTTGTATGCTGTACATGTGTAGGAAATTGCCTAGTTAGTGCTGAAGCCAGGTGTACTGCAATTTGATTTTATGAGGTTTGCCTGCACTAAATGGACTGTATAACAGTAACTATGTGAAATGCAATCTAGAATAAATTGGTCTCTATGGAGCTCGGTTAAAAATGAAGTTTTAAGACTATGCAGACTAAATGAATATAAAAATCAATAATCGGACAAACTCAAAACATAAAAGCAAACACTTACTTATATTTTTGAAAGAAGTTAGGTGGTTCAAAGAGTTTAGACCAGTCTGTTTTGCTTTGGAGTATTTCGTCAGTAATGGCAAGACCTGATCATAAAAATGGCTAGTATGAAACTAGGAAACAGCACACACAAAGAATTTGCTAACAGATTTAATCCCTGAAGAATTACATTTGGGCTTTTTATAATTTTAAAAATTTGAAAGCAACATCTTGTTGCCCCTCAGTTATGAATATTCATTTAGAAAGTTAATTGCTAATGATATCCTAGTGACCGATTGTTGCGCAGAGCAAAAATGTGACCAAAGTGAGAATTAAAGCATGAAAGAGGAGCAATAAGTTCACAAATATTGCAATATACACCAAATGAGGACCAGTAGAAGTTTGTTTTAGAGACATCATTGCATTGATAAATATTGCAGAAGCAGCTTTCAACATAGCATAAAAGCTGAATCCAGAAGCCATATGACTATGAATATCAAACTTAAGAGACGAAGATTGAGAACCATTGACCAGTTAGGTCACTTAGAGGGCTTACTGGTAAATGGAATGCTGCATAACACCGAGCACTTCACCTTCAAGCAGAGGCGAGAGGATAACATTAATTTAAATTAAATCAGCAAGTAGACAAAGTCAATCAGACAGAGCCATCGTCTTCAAGCTACAGGAAGTGTGACGCACCCAGCGACAAAAGGTCTCTTTTGTAAGGCTCCACTCCTATCAAAAAAAAGTATTCCCCAGTTAAGTGTGCAGATTCTATCCTGCACCAGCCCTTAGAAGTAGCACAACAGTAGCTAAGTGACACATTAGTTCTCATGCCCTTTCAAGATGTAGCTTTTCCACTTCACAAATGCGTGCATTGGTGTGTCCTTTGCAGTTGCTTTGTGTCCACTTTAAATTTCAGGGTGTAAAAAAAAGGTTGGTTACATTGGCCAATGTGCATCCTAAACTGCTGTCAATTACTTTAGAGCTTAGCCACAGCCTCTTAATAGGAACCTCCCTTCCTTTCCCTCTATCTGCGGATTGCTTTCTGGGCGTAATAATTCCTTCAAAAAATATGGTCACTCATTCCACAACTGTTTGCTGGATACCGCTGTGCGCAATTTGCTGCAGCTTTTCACCCACAAAATACAGCCTATTCACTTTACAGTATTTTGTGAAGTGCTTTGAGAAGTCTCAAAGACGTGATAAGACCCTATATCAAATGCAAGGATTATTATTACTTCCAGTCCAAAGTCTTAAGATGATTGTGAAAAGTAGTTAAAATACACTCTTTAAAAAAATCTACAATGTACATTTAGGAAAGCACAAAACATTGAACCTTGTTTGAATTCTTCTACCATTATCGTTCGAGTTGATGAAGACACATTGAATGTGGAATTTTGCTGAGGGTAGGCAGGGGTTATTATTGGCATCAAGTGGTATCGGTCAGATGGATTTACCTGTTAAAGAAAGACATTCAGTACAGTAATTTACACATCAACTCAAATTAGCATTCAACATCCTACACAAGTCTTACCCGTGGATCCCAAACTGGCAGATTCAAATTGCTGTCCTCTGGTTGTTTTAGCAGCACTGGGTTTGGCCACTCCCTGAAAACGAAGATATTTTGAAAACCTTGCAATGAATATTTCTTAATTGCCATACAAATCTGAGTACCTTTAACGCAGCTACAATACTTAAACTCAAGTTTGCAACAATTAAAAAGCACAATAAAAAGAAATGTGGCAACTCAATTTTTGTATTTGCAAGCATTTTTGCAGTTACTGCATGGAATAAAAAAAATTGAGTTCCTGAAACCATCAATTGATAAGAAATTAAATTTTACATTAAATGTTGCAACCATAGCTTTCAAAAGCCTTAGTTCTTGTCTGAAATATAATAAAGCAGAACTTAACTTACTATAGCTTAATTTTAACTACAAATAATTGTACTTACCACTTGGAAAAAACTAGAAAAAACTTGTGGACTAAAGTGGATGCAACTGCATTAGGATACAACTGACAGGTTCGTGCCACTAACATAGCCCATGAAACACCACCAAGGAATCCAAGCATATTAGAGTAAATTCCACGCCCTAGAAGAGTTCAGAATAGAATTCAGTGTGCTTTCTTATAAAAACTGCAAAACCTAATGTTAAATATCCAAATGACTTACTTTTTGCCCATAGCTTAACGGCTCGAAGAGTTAACCTGAAGTTCTCTTTGTTTGGTACTAAGTGAAGAATTTCATCTGTAACTCTGCAACCTATTAAGAAAAAAATATTTGAAAGTGCCAATAGATACACTGCTGTTCAAAAACTAGATATCTATGATAAAGTACTGGACAACTCAAAAACTTGTCTGAAATAATGGGAAATAATACTATATTAGAAAATTTAACTTTTAATGTGGTCAGTTTAAATTTCAACATGTAGTTAAACATAAACATACTAGTGAGATCAACCCACTAATGGGGTCAGAATTCATTACATTGCTGATCTTAATAAGTTTCTATTGTACTCCAGTAGAATGTACATAGATAATCCCATACATCTACTAATATGACCCGAGAAAGAGCTGTAAGCAATCCCAGAATTCTGAGTTGCTTGAGCTGACCTAAGGAAAATCACAGAGACTTATGGACTGGTTTGCTTCAGGAAAGCTGCAGGTGCATGAAGGTCAAGGACAGTGGAAGCACGTTTACAGAACAGCTTGCTTCAACAAGTGAGCAGGCAAAGACTTGTTTGAAACAAGCTGGTAGGATTTTAATAAAAGTTTGTCCTTGGTTTGCAGCTGGTGTTTGTAACACCACATTGAACAGACTGGCGGATGCAACCAAAAAGATAAAAAGAACCAGAGATTTCTTTCAGTTATATTGGAGATGAGAATAGACTACCTGCAACCAATCTCAAGGAAAGAAGGATATACTACAATCAACATGGATTGACGCACATTAATAAGCCAATTCCTCATCAAAACCACTGAATCAGTCTGATCAACTCATTGCAGTGAACTTTACTAACCTGTCATAAGCATTAATTTGAAATGTATAATTTTGATATGCATAACATTGCTTACCTTTTCTTAAATTTTACCACTTAAAAGGAAATTTGTGTCAGTTCATACTTCACCGCAGGGTCATGAATTTATTAAGACATACCATTTAAACTTCGTATACATCGGATGTCAAGATTTTTAAGACGAGAATCATCTCTGAGGTCCAAATTGTCTGGAATTGTTTGCAAAGCCAGCCTAGCAAATACAAGATCAATCTGAAAAATAAAAAAATTTAAGAACAAAAGTTACCACGGCACTGGCAGTTCAGCAAAAAAGACATGAAAGATGAAAGAGGCACTTTGTATGACTAACTCCTAACACAACATAATGCATGTGGGATACCATAGATATACGATTACAGCGTTAGAATTGAATTGCAATAGTAATCTACACGTTCTTTCACACTAACAGCCTTACCTCAATGTTATCATATTCAAACTTGATAACTGGGACATAAGCATCTTCTACAGCCTGTAAAATTGAAGAAAAAAAGTGGATCATTAATTGTAATGAATTCTATTTTACAAACTCAATATTGTGAATAAAAGGAATCACATTTGGACAATAAACTAAAGTTATTCCAGCTGACTTTTCAGATATTTTTTGGACAAATGGGCAGCTGAAACATTGGGTATACCAACATCTTGACCATGACGCACTCAATGGGCAGCACTTTCAGTCACCTTTCTTTACTCTTTCAAAAAAATAGTAACTAAGTAACTCAAGCCTTTAGAAAACAATGTGGTAGACTTACCTGGATCTCCTTCTTTGAGTCAACCATAACCCTGACCTGTATCAATAATTGTAAATCTTAACCAGCACTGTATTTTGAAAACTCCTTTTTGAGCCAGATTTGAAAAATATAGTACATGATCATTAAAGGGAGAGAAAAGCAAACAAATCGTATGCTGGAAAATATTAAACTAAATGGTTTGCCAAGGAACTCATTTTAAGATAGCAGATCATTCCATTTCATTCTCTTAATCTCATTTCTGCTTCCTCTGATGCTATTTGAACATGGCCTGGCTAAACTAAGAGACCCATCTATATATTTTGCATTTGTCTCATAATACAAATCAAAAATTATGCTAGACTATATTGCCAAATCTGTTTCGGTTCCCAGAAACCATCCCAATGTTGTTCGATGATCTTGGAATGCCTAAGCCTTAGAGGCAGTTCAAGATCATTGAGGCTGATCCCCAGTGTTAAAAGAAACTACAAGCAATGACTAGATAAGAGACATCTTCAACCAAAAAACGTTTTATATTGGGGATTCAGTGAAGTATACAAGACACTGAATGGGATTGGAAAAGCCCAAAACATTTTCAGATTCACAATAATAATAATCCTTGCATTTGATATAGCGCTTTTCACGTCGGGAGGACGTCCCAAAGGGTGTCAGGGCACAGATTCAAGATTATGAAGGGAAGCTTTAGGGCACTTTCTTCACTACAACTCCAGTGGCACAACAGTGAATGAAGTCTGCGAGCATAGCTTTCCAGAAAAGACTAAATAAAAAGAACAGATTTTTAAAAAAACTCTCAGAAGAGTGCCTAAAGCTGATCTGGACACTCTGGGAGATTAGGGATGCAGTTGACTAGCCAAGCTACCCTTTTAGACCAGGGTCTGAATCTAGTGTTGTGATGGGATATAAATCTTTCCAATACAAATCCTATGTAAAGCAAGTTTGGGCAGTCTGAGCATGGGTCCATAAGTACAGGATAAAATTGGCAATCTCAGGTGCCATATAACAGGAATAAGAAAATTACTAATGCTGAAATAGGAGTGTTTGTCAGAGGGTGACAGTTCAGGTATATTGTTTGAGCAAGAATCAACGATTATTATTTAAAAAATACTTGCTGGTGGGTTTCATGAGTCCCATTTGTAATCTGATATCTCATTTAAGTGACAGCAGATTGCAGGGCAGTGGCATTTGCTCACATTTTCAACAAGACACCAGGTAGTCATTTGGAAAACACATTCCTTGCAACAAAGTCATTCAGCTAGTGGATCATTTAAAAAGAAGACTACCACAAACACACCGAACTGTTCTTTCAGTACAAAAAAGGAAACAAAATTGAGGTAACAAATATTCAAACATCAACACATTCAGACTGGATAAATCCAGCAATTGCAATAAGTGTCTAATAAACAGAAACAAACAACAGATTGCCCTGTTGCGGCTGTTCTTTTTCCTAAAGATGCTAACTCGTGCTGGGGAAATATTTCATGGGTCCCATTTGTAATCTGATATCTCACCCAAGTGATAGTAGATTGTGGGGCAGATGCAATCTGTATTGTCCTCATCACATATCTCTCTCTACATGTATACTTTAAAGCAGGAGTTGAACATTCGCAATAATTAGCAATTGTACAAGATACTGATGGACAGCCAAAATGTCAATTAACTATAGCTTACAGTAACAATTTTAATATTAAATTATAATACTAATAGCCAGTAAAGTGTTTGTAGATTTATGCATGTGCAACAAGAGTTTAATTCTTCTCTCCCCCTTAAAGCTAGGACCCTGCAAACCATAGTTATACAGATTTAGATCTATATAACTTGTTTCCAAGTTGTAAACTTATTTTTTTTCCTCTAAAAAGTATTATCACACAAAATCAACCTACTGATGAATTAGATTTTCCAAATGGTTTAACTTGCATTCACAATTCTATATAAACAAATATTCTTAGGTATAACCAGAGGATTTTGGATCACAAAACCACAACCTAAATAAACATGTGAATAATTTCAGTATAAATTATAAGACTACTAATCCACGATAAAGCAGTTTTGGAAGAACATGATTGAATACAGTGTTTATATGAAACACAATTACCCTCAAGTCCTTGATTCCTTCTTGTTGCTTTAACTTTTCAAAGAAAGACTGAAAGAAATCACTCCGTTCTACATGGCGTGGTGCAACACAAAGTGCATCAATATCAGCACCTGCAAATGATTTGTACAACACCACAATAAATGTACAAATGTTTTAAAATCAGTAAGTTTGGTAATGCCAAAGAACTTTACAGTACTACAGTAATCACTAGAAACAAGATCCAAGCATACCTTTTGTATGTACTCCGAGTCTATACGACCCAAATGTAAATATTTTCCCACCAACATTTGCTATAACTGATGGTGGAAGATTCTGAGAATAAAAATTTAAAGCAGTTAACTGATGCAGTTTTCTGCAATCTTAACAGAAACAATTGACTCATGTAAAATATCAAAATCTGGTGTGTTAACAGAACATCCTTTGCAATTTTGTTCAGAATTACCTTATCCTCTGAATATGATGTGTAGATTTAAATTAGTATACTGGGAGTTATAGTATCCCTTACAAAGGCAAAATAGCATGTTCTCTTAAGCTCTAGACCTAAAAAATTCTCAAAATTCCAAATTATCAGTCAGAACTGTACATTTAAAAGAAATCAATTTTGCATTTAAAGTAAGTCATTTTGAAAAGAAAATTAATTTGTATTTTGAAAACAAAGTTATTTTAGTGGTTGAAAGGCTAGTGGAATCCTCTTTGTGAGAATAGCAACGAAACAAATCATTTCCATTAAGCACCTCTTCAGAATGGATGAACTGGTGCCACAAGTGCTCCATTTAAAAATGAACACACGCTATTACATTGGTATGGCTCATGGAGACTCAAATTAATGGAGGAAAAGATACTTACATTTGAATAACTAAAATTTAGCTCTCACAATCATATGGGGAGGGGGTGAGGTGGGGCAGGAAAGAAAATTTTTGTTTCATCAACATTTCTGGGAAAGAGGTGCTTAAAAATCTAGAAGCAGAGTCAAGGTCAGCACAATCACAAGTACCTCTAATATTTCAGAGTGTAAATGAAACACACCTCATTCAGATTATAGCAGGCATTGCTGGGAAGGAGTTCAACAGGATTTGCTCTAACACAGAATGTGAGTTTCATAAAGATACCATTTAAGAATTGTTAGGTAACCATGTACAATGTATACAACGGGCTATACAAAACAGAATTTCTGAACAGCAAATAACTTTACCTTTGTTTCGCTGATTTCTGCAATCCACTCTTTAACCAAATTGTTCAATTTAGCCAAAACAACTAATCTGAAACATTAAAAGGGATATTTGTATTGCTTTTAACAGGAAAACAAAAATGTGAATTCGTACAGAATATTACTAATACTACAGTATTAGCACCTGTGGTTTAATTCCTCTTCTTCCTCAAATACTCCAAATGGTTTCAAGGCTTCAATCAACTTCTGAGTAAAAATATCATCTATTTCTTTGGGGTAGGCAAGGCTAATTGGAGAAGTAATCCCATAATGCTTCAGAGACTGCTGAGGTTGTGTCCCCAGCATAACACTACTGCTGGAACAAGATGCAAAACATGGTTAGATATTGCAGGAACCTCAATACACTGAAAGTACTCTTCAAATAAAAGCCAACAATGGACCCAACATTGTAAACAGTATTAAAATAATAACAAGGACATCTTACCCACACAAAATCCTAGGCTCTAGCAATTGATATGATGCAATCAAGATTGCCAATCAGTGTATTTTACAGATGGGCAGCAGATCTGTCATCTATTTTACAGATTAGCAATCAGTTGTCCTAGACAAAATGACTGTCCATCTTGAATCACCACGCCAACAATATCTCACAAGATCAAGACATGTGTCTACTGAATCCCTAAATGTTGCAACAGATTTTAAACTGAAAGCGAGTTGAGAAATGGTAGTAGTCTAGTGGAGGAGGAAGGGGGGGGGGGGGGGGGGGGGGGAAGGAGAGAACACCTGGGAAGTTTAAAACGATACAAATCCTGACAGCAAGACAGACATGTAAAATACATAAAGAAAATCTAGTTTTATAATCCTCAAAAAAAGTTTGACTGAATTTATCTTTAATTGTTTTATCAACCCTGAAGCCAGTGTGCCGTAAATTTTCATGAAGTTTCCTTGCTCCAATCACCTTCACAAAAAGACCTCTCGATTTAAAAACTAAACAGCTCTTGCTCTCCATCACTTATTTTCATGTCTAGGTTGTGCGTTAAGAGACTATTTTGGTTTGTAGCTCACAGATTGTCACTTCTCATCAGCAACTCAAAAGTTTAGTTGCTCCCTTTGCAGCCCTATCCATGAATTGGAATTAGATCCATTGCATCCCTAACCACTAGTTTAACATATCCATCTTGCCATAAATTATTAATGGATTCTGAAAAGGCATAATCTCAAGATTTACATGCTGATTTGCCCAAACTGTTTCAAAATTACTATAATTGATTTTACCCTGAGGGTACTGTATTGCATATCTCACGAGTTCAAGACATGAAGTGTAAGGAGATATCCAAACAAACGGTCCGCTGGGTAAATAGCAAGTTCAAAAGAAAAACAAAGTACTTGGAACAACAAACAAGTTGGAAAGTAGTAGCAAAAAAAAAGCAATGTTAGTTTTCAATTTACCCATTACTTTCCACAAGTACTACAATGTAGCACTTAAGTAGAAAAGAATTGCTATTCAAAGCCAGATCACACTTTAATTCCCTAATTTAAGAATAACAATGGCACACAAACTAGAAACTTGCAGATTTAGTGGCTATTCTGTGTTGAGTGAACTAATCCCTGCGAAGCCATCAGCAGAAACGTTCATTGGCCTAATGGCACAAATTAGAAAATTTGTTTTAAAAACAAACACTCTTCAGGAGCTAATTGCTACTGTGATCCCTGCTGACACTTAAAACCCATTTGTAAAGCAATAATTAACAATACACCATAGCATTACACCTGAAGTTTAAATTCTTGAATCACTTTTGCAACAAGAGATTCTACATATGTCAAGTAACAGGTGTTGCCAGATTCATGGAAGGTATTAATTGAAGAATAGCATTTTCTTCAGTTGATCATTTACCCCTTCAACCAATTCAGGGATTCGGTGCCCATCATTCACCCAGGCAACCAGTAGATACTACAAAAGTATACGCATGGCACCAACCTTTGACAAGACAACTTGTCAGATGATTCCACACAGGAAAAATAATAATAAAAACAATTTATCTATTGAAAGCAACAGTTTATTTGGCCACAAGACAAACTATTCTCACCCAAGATACACATATGCACTACACAGTTTTTTTTAAAAAAGGTAGAAATCAGGTGCAGGATTCCTGGGTCAATATTTCCTTCCTTAAATATAGGGCATTGCAACTAGTAGAACTTTAATTACTAGCTCATTTTTTGTACAAAAGAAAAAAAGAAAAATTCAAATTGCATTAATAATTGTTACATATGGTCAAAGTATAAATGGAAATCTTTTTACTCATCTAAAAGACATTACACTTCTCAGCAGCACTTCAATTTTTAAGCAATGTGTGTAACTGGACATCTCCTTTATACATTTTTCTCCAATGCTCTGGACATGATTCTTTAAGGTCAGCGGCACACAACACCCATGGAAGCTTATGCCAATAAAACCAATCTTATATCACTTTACAGAAATGTTGAAAGTAGTCTTCGATGTTGCACCATCAACTATTGCTAATATTTCCTCCAAAGAACAAACACTGTACATGACAACAGAGATCAAAGCTTCAGGCCACATAACGGTTCTATTGGACATCAAAGAGTTGTAGTTATAAAACCCAAAGATCACAAAAAACGAAGAATTGATACACTTTTCTTTGTTTTGATGCCCGCGTAAACTTCAAAAACAACCAGTTATCCAGGCACCAAAACAAAACCTTGAAAGGCTAGCTTTATCAACTGCGAAGAACAGCGTCCAACAGTCGCTTAAAACAGGGTAAAACGCAAACATTGCTGTGCATGCATGCAAGAACCCAAAAGGTTGTCCAAACGTTTATGACAACGATTCCCAACAGCATGCAGTGCAACTTACATCGCCATAGACGTTAAACCTGGTGTAAAAGCTGCTAAGAGCAATTTTACGAGAATATATAAATATAATTCCTCGATAAAGTGGACTGCCAATTTAACTGCACAACTGATTTTTAAAAAAAAACGAGACAATTCGCCAGGCACCTCGATAAGAAAGCACAACAGAATAACAAGACGTTGGAAAGCACTGGCGTGTGTGTGTGAGTGTGTGTGTGAAGGGAGAGGAGAAAAACTGAGGCCTAGTGAGAGAACATTAAAATTAAGAGACCACTCTCTTATTATAAGACTCACACACACAGAGCCGGGAGAGGAGACATGAGGCCACTGCTCGGGCCTGGCTCTCCCCACAAATAACTTCTGGGGGAAGAAAGAATGATAGAGACACGAGACACTGCCCCCACCCCCCTCTCTCCCCCCACCACTCCCCACCCCCCCTCTCCCCCCACCACTCCCCCACCCCCCCTCTCCCCCCACCACTCCCCACCCATCTCACCCCACCCCCCCTCCCCCACCCCCCCCCCTCTCCCCCCCACCACTCCCCACTCTCCCCACCACTCCCCTCTCTCCCCCCACTCCCCTCTCTCCCCCCACTCCCCTCTCTCCCACCACTCCCCTCTCTCCCCCACCACTCCCCTCTCTCCCCACCACTCCCCTCTCTCCCCACCACTCCCCTCTCTCCCCACCACTCCCTCTCTCCCCACCACTCCCCTCTCTCCCCACCACTCCCCCCCCTCTCTCCCCACCACTCCCCCCCTCTCTCCCCACCACCGAGATCGCTCCAAGGAAACTGGTGTTGGCGCCGGTCTGGGACATGAGAGCCGAACCGAGGAGGAACCCCCCCCCTCTCTCTCTCTCTCTCCCTCTACACCCCCTCCGCCACCACCGGCCCCCCCACAGGGCCTACACCGCGAACTCAAGCCCCGACTTACGCTGACATCTCTTTCATTTCCTTCAGGCCAAAAAAGTAGATATAGATATACATATAAACCACAGCGACTGTGCCGCTGTCTGTGTGTCTGGGTGTCTGTCTCCGTGTCTCTCTCCCTCGCCTCGACGGACCGACCGACTCGACTCGACCCGACTCGACCGGACCGGACCAGACCAGACCGGACCGGGTCCAACTCGACTCAAAATTCAAACCAAACGGCGACTGGAGCCAGAAAGCGAAGAATCAGGCGAAGCCGCGGTTTAATTTTTGAACCGCTCTTTCTCTCCCTCTTCCTCCCTTTCTCCCCCCCCTCCCTCCGCGCCTCACGGTCTCTCAGTAGTAGCCGAGGAGGAAAAGTAGGAGGAGGCAACGCATCAGGGCCCGACCCCGGCTCCTAAATACACCGCGGGCGGCAACATGGCGGCCGAGCGGCTCCGCTCCGCAATCAGCCCGTCCTCCCGGCCTGCCCCGCGCCTGCGCATGCGCCAAAAGGGCGGGTCAGCCCCGACACCCGCGTTTCGTAGCCCAAAGTCGAGCAACTTCCCGCCTCAAAAGTAGCCCAATGCTCCGGTGAGCAGCGGCCGCAGTGACCGGTCCAATTCAGGTGCGGGTCTCCCCTTCTTTTTTTTTTGTTTGAAACTGTGTAAGAAAAGGTCTCGAAGAGGCAACGATAAAGAGGTTTTTTTTTTTGCTTTTTTTTCCCCCCCCCCCCCCCCGCCGCTTTGGGCGTGTGCAACAAAATCGCCCAATTGGGCGTGAACCCGCCCAACCTGACAACATTGCCGACGGCTCCAGCGTCTCCCACTGTCTGACCCATTGCTGTGGGTTGGCACGAGGGCCGCCTGGTGCCAACCCACAGCAATGGCACCCGCTGTGCTCCCCTTTCTTCCTTTGCCACCACCCCATTAGCAACAACAACAACAACAACAACAGGATTTCATTCATAGAGAGCGCCTTTCACGTCGGGAGGACGTCCCGAGGCGCTGGACAGTTGGGTCGGGACCCGAGCAGGGGGATGAGGGGGGGGGGGGAAATGGTCGAGGGGAGGGGAGGGAAGGGAGGGAGCGAGGACGGGGGTAGAGAGTCGAGAGCGCTGGACATCGGGAGGACAGCAACAACAACTTGCGTTTATACGGCGCCTTTCACACTACGCGGGTAGCGTCCTGGAGGGCTTATCCCCCCCATCTCTCAGTCGCTTTTAATGAACTGGATCCAGCGTGCAAAGCACTGAGATTATTCTTGCATTTATCTGCCTGCCAGCCAGCGCCTAGTGCCAACCCAAGGCGATGAAAATCGCCACATTTCCTGGTTTGTCACTCCCAAACCATCCTTCGTTGCTTTTAATTAACTGTATGCAGTCGGCAAGGCACCTTAATTATCCTTGCATTTTTGCCATAGGGTTTCACATCAACAACAACAATTTGCTTTTATATTGCGCCCCTCACGCAACGTAGCGTCTCAGAGCACTGGACATCGGGAGGACATGGCAAGTGCTTCACAGGAGTTATTGTGAAGTGTTAGTGACTGTTTTGTGGGCTAATGCGGCACCTAATTTGCACGCAACAGTGTCCTTCAAAGCACCATAAGCAGTGGCAAGCACTGTACAATGTACACAGTCACTACACTTTACAGTTGAATCATATGAAGCGTCTTGAGTCATCTCGACAACATGATAAGGCGCTATAGCAAATTTAATAATAATAATAATAATTATAATCCTTGCATTTGATATACATCTTTGTTCTAATTCAAGCTGGAGAGGGACATTTCAATTATCGTAACAAGTTAGAAAATAAGATTGGTAGATGCCTGAGAGCAGCTCAGTGGGTTCGAAAAGTGGGAGGAAAGAGGAAGAAAGAAAACAACTCAAAGATGAGAACATAGGCCTATTGTAAGCAATCCCAGAATTCTGGGCTGCTTGAGTTGACCAAAGGAAAATTGCGGAGACTTGTGGATTTGTTTGCTTCAGGAAAGCTGCAGGAGGATGAAGGCCAAGGACAGTGGAAGCATATTTATGGAACGGTTTTCTTCAAAATCATTGTAGGCAGACAAAGACTTATTTAGAACAAGCTGCTGGAATTTTGATAAAGTTGTCCTTGGTTTTCAGCTGGTGTTTCTAACAACACATTGAACAGACTGGTGTATGTGACCAAAAAGGTATAAAGAACTAGAGATTTTTTGGGTTATATCGGAGAAGAGAGAATGGAGTAGCTACCCGCAACCAATCTCAAGGAAAGGTTTGACATACTATAATCAACATGGATCAACACATGTTAACAAGCTGTTTCCTACATCAAAGCCACTATATTGATCTGATCAAGCCATTGCAGTGAACTTTACTACAACAACAACAAAATTACATTTGTGAAGCGCCTGTCATATCGGGAGGAAATCCCAAGGCGCTGGACAGACAGAGTTTCAGTCCCGAGTTGGGGGTCGGGGAGAGTGGAGGGCAGGGGGGAAGCAGGGAGATCGAAAGCACGGTCAAAGAGGAGGGTCTTGAGATGGGTCTTGAAGGTGGCAAGGGAGGGGGCGAGGCAAAGAGACTGCAGGATGGAGTTCCAGAGTGTGGGGGCAGAGTGGCAGAAGGCCCACCCGCCAATAGTGGGGCAAGCGAGGCGGGGGACGTGAAGCAGGCTGGAGCCCGCTGAGCGGAGGGAGTGAGCAGGATGGTAGGGGATTAGGAGGTCACTGAGGTAGGAGTACTAACCCATCGTAAGAATTAATTTGATTAATAACTCATCATAAGCATTAATTTGATTTGATGAAATGTATCATTTTGATTATGTATAACCTTGCTAATCTTTTATTAAATTTGACTACTTAACAGAATATTTGTGTCAGTTCATTCTTCACCGCAGGGTCATGATTTAGATAAACCTTAGACTACGTAACTGAGTTTACGATTTGGAAGAAAGTGAAAAAATCATTGTCTTAAGGACATTCAAAAAAGCATAGATTTGCATAAAGATTCAGTTTGTTTATCGTACAATATTTAAAAAATAATAGGATGGAAGCAAATTGCTTTGGTTCACTTTGTGAATGAGTAATGCAATTAGCAAACAATCAAAATCGAAGCTTATAACTATCAATAGGGTCTTCTCATCCCCTTTATAAATATATACAATTAGATTTAGAGGTTGATACATCAAATAATAACAACTTGCACTAGTATAGTGCCCTTCACGTAGGATTACGCTTTGGAGTGCTTTGCAATGATGGAGTTGTTTGCTGAGAAAGTGAGAGGGGAGGAGGAGGTGACCGTAGGTTTGGTAGGTTTTAAGGTGTGGTTTAAAGACAAATAGAGAGTCTGGGGTATGTAAGATGGAACTGTAGAGGAAGAGAGTTCCAGAGGTTAAAACCTGTGGAAATTTTGATGGATAGGTTAGATGGACCAATTGTCTGCTCTTGTTTGAAACTGTTATTTTGGGATACAAATATAAATTTTAAATATTGCGTTAAGCTGGTATTCCTAGAACTGGCACTAAACTCCCCATGGTGGCAGCTTCAACAGTACCACTGGCTGGCTCACAACAACAACAACAACACAATTCCATTTGTATAGTGCCTTTCACATCGGGAGGACGTCCCAAGGTGCTGATGGCTATAATAAGTGGATTTGAATCTCTGGTTTTCTGGAGCATACAATCCACATTCTCACAACCTTTTCACAGGAAGAATTTTCTCTGGGTTCACTTTCAACTGGTTTAACTATAATTTTTAGATCACTGCATTCCCTCTTCTTCTTGGATTTCCAAGCGAGAGGGATGAGCTGTTCCCCAGTTACCTTATCACTTCTCTTCATTATTTTAAAAGCCTCAACAAGATTATCTCTTAACCTTCTCAGCTCTAGGGAGTGGAACTCAAGTTTACCCAGCCTCTCATCATAGCTAAGTAAATATGTGTTCTATTGGAATGCCGATGACATTGTGAACCATTGCTATTCATGTGCATATAGTTTGAGAGAATTGGTATTGGAGACATAAGGCACAGCGATAGATCATAACAATAAATACTTGCGTTTGATATAATGCCTTATCATGTCAAAATGTATGAAAGTGCTACAGAGAGTTTACTGTAAAATGTAGTTATTGTGTATTTGTATGCAAATGTGGCACACAGTAATATCATACAAACAGCCATAACGTTTTTTATATGGGGGATTTTTGGCAGGGACACCGGGAGAAACTCCCTTGTCTTGTCGAATAGTGCCTTGGGATCTTTAACGTTCATCTGAACAAACAGGCAGGACCTTCATTTACAGTGTCATCCAAGGGACAACACTTCCGACCTTGCAGTCCTCCCTCAACATTGTATTTGTGTCAGCATAAACTATGAGTTCAAGGCTCCTATGGTGGGCTTGAACCCAGAACCTTACTCAGAGGTGAGAGTGCTACGAACTGAGCCTGGCACAGAACACTTGAACTCTCTGTAATTTGGATAAAGTGAGCATGGTATTAATTAATAAAGACACTGACAACAATAACAACAACTTGTATTTTTATTCTGCCATTCTTGCAGGATAACATCTCGGAGCACTTTCCAAAATAAGACTCAGACACTGATATCTACAGGTTAATATCTCTAAGCAAACATCTGCTAAGCAAACATCCTGCAGCCAGTTTTCTATAAATTAACATGTTGCAGAGTTTGGCAATAGTAAAAGAAACGTGGGCATTGCAAAAACATTAACACACACTTGCATGACAATCTCCTTGGTAATACATACCACCAGTTTATTCCACAGAAAGGAAGATTTCACGGTTACAGTAGATCTCAGCAGGTGCACAGGTGGGTTCACTAGGTTCAGTCAATGGCACCTAAGACTGTTTCTCTGCTCCTGCTGTGGGAATCTTAGGAAGTTATCTCAATGATTGACTCGCTTGAATACAACAACAACAACTTGGATTTATATAGCGCCCTCCATGCCGGACGGCATCTCAGAGTGCTTCACAGTAACGGATCCCGGGGCCGAGCCAGGGGGAAGGGGAGGAAGGTGACCAAAGGTGCGGTCGAAAAGAAAGGTCTTCAGCAGAGACCTGAAAATAGAAAGAGAGGGAACGAGACGAAAGGAATGAAGGGAGTTCCAGAGCCTCGGGGCATAGTGGCTGAAGGAACGGCTGCCGAGGGTGGAGCGGAGGACTCGGGGGACAAGGAGGAGGCCAGACCCGGAGGAGCGAAGGCAACGGATACTGTTTTGAGGAGAGAGGAGGTCAGAGAGGGAGGGGGGTGCAGAGGAGTGGAGGGATTTGAAGACAAGGATGAGGATCTTGAAGTCGATCCTCTCTGGGACAGGCAGCCAGTGCAGTCTGGCACGGACTGGAGTAATCGGGGAGCAGAGTTTGGTGTGGGTGAAAATGCGGGCGCAGAGTTTTGAATAATCTGGATTTTATGGATGGTAGTCGATGGGAGGCCGACGAGGAAGTCGTTAGAATAGTCCAGCTGAGAGGTGACAAAGGC